TTTCCTTCACAGCTTGCTTTACCTCCCTTATCTTCCAGCAATAAAGGAAAGGGTTCAGAGATGAGTTGGATAACATCAGGGACACTGCTACATCGATAATGATCTTAAGGGTTGGTGTCAGTGATTCAGTGATATAATACGCAACTGTGACTATACCAAACGGAAGATAACAAACCAGCAATGTCACTTGCACCCACAGTGCACTGGACACTGTCCTTTTGTACCGTGCTATATTCAGAGGCACTCCTCTTTCGTTTGGCTGTCCCTGGTGAATATGTTCTTGAACTTGCTTCTGATGCTTGGAAAGGCTGACATATATCTTTGAGTAGCAGAATGTAGAGATTACTATACATGACCCCAATAAAATGACGACGATTCCAGCATAAATACGGATGCTGTAAAAAGCTAACGTTGCAAAGAAAGCGTTTGAAACCCAAAAGGTGACAACGAGAATCCACACTTTCCTCCAAGTTACTACATGTCTGTATCTTAGCCCCAATGATATAGCGAGAAGTCTGTCTATACTGATTGCAGTCAGTGTAAACAGGGATATTGCGCAAAATACTGAGCCTATGGTAAGGTAAAATCTGATTAGATAAAAACACCATTCGGAGTGTACCGGAGACATGGTATAACCAATACGTAAAGGGTGTATTATAATCCCCACTCCTAAATCGGTACATGCTAGGCACCCGAGCAGAACTTTCGATGATGAATAAAGAGTAGTCACTTTTTGAAGGGCACTGATGATCAAAACATTACCGAAAATTGCAGTGATTGCTAGGGGACCAGATAACGATGAAATTAATATCTTCTGGCGTGGTCCGATCGCTGTGCTGCAAAGCAACTCTTGAAATGCAATTTGGTTTTCATGGCTCGTTAAGTTCGCCATTTTTTTTCTTAGCCAGTTGTGGCTGGAGTTAATGTTCGGTCTGATTATTGTTAAAGGTCAGCGCTCTTCTGCTTCTCCATCGTTGGTTGCCAGCAATTCTTTATATCTTGATTGAAGGAAATGTGTATTATAATCTTTTAATTGTGAAAATTAAAGTGAGTATTCGATATCTCTCAGTAACCCTTTAGTCCTATTCGTTTCCAAGGTGACGAAAGCAAACCTTTTTCCAGCTGAGTCAAGATTGGTAGATCTTGATATATGTGTTTTATTTCATCAACCAAGAAAATTACATCGGAAAAATGTTATTAATTAACACATTAACTGTTTCGGGAACGGATACAAAATTGATTACATCCGCAAAGATATTTCTCGGGCAAATATGACAAATTAACATCCCGGTTTCCGCTGATGCTGCGTGCCTAGATTCGTGGGAAAAACATCCTTTGACGTTTCCAGATTACCACTAAATAGCGCTGTCAGCACTTCTTACCACCAACGCGTCATTTAGTCTTACTTTCTCGCTGAAATAGTCGAGAACAAAACATGACGAGCAAAAACAACATCGTGCGAGGGCAGCGGAAGGAACTATGGACTTAAAATTTGCCTCTTCATTATATTAAGGTTTTTAGACGTGCACTTTTGAAAGGAAAATCCTATTAGTCGCGTTAGAGTTGCCCACAGTGCTAACGGATTTTTACGGGCTCGATGAAAATAGAGGCGGCCAAGCCGCGAAACGAGCAGCGGAGGTTTCCTATTTTTAATTGAAGGTTCACGGATAACGTTACCAATATTTCTCTAATGCACACTTACGTTAATTGAAAGCTTCATCGATATTGTTTGCCTGATAGAAAAATAATAATCAAAATTGTTCTCACTGCCGTTGGTATCGGTCGATTTGCACCTGTTTTTACTGTGACAAAATTAACCTTTAGGAAAGCTTGACAGAAGCGAAGTTTAGTTCTATTCCTTGACTTGCTGAAAATTTAGAACTCAAATTATGATTCTCTTAAACGAAATATTAAGTTTAAAACATAGTATGTAATAAAACAAGGATAGCTTGCAAATTGGGATCAATCTTAAACAAGGAGTCGGTAAACTTTCCATTTTAAGAGAAATAAACTTAACACTCCCTATTTCATGTCAGCCGGTAATTTTGGAGCAGAATAACGTGGGTTTGTTTTAAAGTCAGAGATTCGATTCATTTAGTAAGCTCAGTACCGAATGATATTGGCTAGGAACCTTACAGCTTTAAGTTAACTCCAAAAGTTTCGGTAATATTTCAATCATGAAAAGTAACTGGGAATTGTGGATTTTCCGGTACTGGTTTTGTGAGTGGTATCTTACGTTGCTGTAACAAATTTTAGCAACCAAAAGAAGTACCTGTTTTCAATTCATGATTGGCCTCGAGGAAAGGGAAAGCTTTAATTGCAATAATCTTTTGAAAACTGGTAAAAAAAGTGAATGTGTTTTTGTTACGTTTTTCCACAAACGTAATCGTCTGCAATCGCATAACCCTTTATCCTTTGAGTGATCAAGACAGAATTTCCCCTTACGATGTCAATACAATATCAAGTAGACAAGCGATGAGAATAAAGAAAAATATCAATTAGGGATAGTTAGTTGATCCAATACCAAATTCTCCGAACATTACGAGCAGACGGCGAGGAGAATTACCAATAAAATCTTGGGAGCGAAAGTATTAACATTTATCTTACGTGGAGCCTGACTTTGATTTCAGGTTCATAAATTCGCACAATCGTAAGCACGTTGGTTTTCAAGTAGCTGTAAATCATCTGGCAGATCGCTCACCTGAAGAGCTCAGAGTACTTAGGGGGCGTACTTATACAGAAGGATACAACGGTGGCCTTCCATTTAAACCAGACTTGTCAACTTTGAAGGATGTCCCGGATACTATGAATTGGCGACTTTATGGTAACGCAATTTACGTGTAATGGAAAAATGTAATAGCAGTTTTATGAGTGAAACTTTAATCGTAAAGGTAGATTTTTCGCATTCTCGAAATTTTTATTATTCCTATGACATCACGTATTAATTATAAAACATCCATTATGGGGAAAGTTATATGTTGGTTTGTAAAATGTGTTTATTGTATACTTGCACTCTAAGTTAGAAGATTTTAGAAACAGTGGAGAATTGTAAATGATTTTCACGTTGTGGCGGTGAGTTGAAATGAGTAATGCATCTTATGAGAAGCTTTGATAAAATAATTAAATTCTCATTGCTCTTTCGTTGCGAAGAAAATTAACTGACGTCGACTGAAATTCCTTGTGTTGGCACTGAATTTCAGACAAGTAGATCAAAGTAGCTGTTTGTGTCGATTTTAGGAGCGGTGACCCCTGTGAAAGATCAAGCAGTGTGTGGGTCGTGTTGGAGTTTTGGCGCCACCGGAACAATTGAAGGTGCATTGTTTCTCAAGGTAGATATATTCAATTTACTCTCAGAACTCCAAGCGAATCGAAACAAAGCTTATATACACAATTAACCTTCGGATTTTCCTGCCTTGTGATTCATCACAAGTTGTTTACTAGCGCTTTTTACAACAGATTCTACCATTGTCAGACCCTCATGCTTAACAAGTAGGATAGCATTACTATCACTACTATTTATAATTTCCTGCAGACGAAGAATCTTGTCCGCCTTTCTCAACAAAATCTGATTGATTGTTCTTGGGGTTTTGGTAACAACGGATGTGATGGCGGAGAGGAGTTTCGATCATATCAGTGGATAATGAAGCATGGTGGTATAGCGACGGAATATACCTACGGACAGTATCTGGCACAGGTGAGTGTTTAAAAATCAAGGAACTTATATTCGGTAGAGTGGTTTCTTCTGTTTTTCTGACTATTTTTTATTCGATCTACTCAGGATGGGAGATGTCACTCAGGGACTATTGGTGCCAAAATAGAAAGCTATGTAAACGTTACCTCAGGAGATCTTGAAGCGCTCAAGATTGCCATTGCTCAGAAAGGGCCAGTAGCAGTTGGAATAGATGCTTCGCACAGGTCGTTTGCTTTCTACTCGTTTGGAGTGTACTACGAGCCTCAATGTGGTACGTCTTAAGTTACTATCCAACCATGATTAGTAATTCTCTTAAGAGAAAGTCTTCCTAAATCAAGCTGTTATAAATTCAGTGTAGAGAAAGAAGGCAATGGATCGTATGCATTTTGCATCAGAGTTTTCCAATTAAATAACTTTTACTTTAAACTTCAACAATAACTTTTTCCAATTAAAGTTGTCTAATAGTATCCACAAATTCCCCAACATTTTCGAATGTTTAACCTTTTTTCGCCTCAGTATTTGTCTGTTTTGAAGAGGGACTTGAGTTTCTAGACCAATGTATGCACATAGCCGACTTTGTTAGCTTTAAATAACATATTTTCACTCTCTGTTAGGAAATAAACCCGAAGATTTGGATCACGCAGTGCTTGCCGTTGGATACGGCACCATGAATGGGCAAGCTTACTGGCTGATAAAGAATTCGTGGTCTACACACTGGGGAAACGATGGCTATGTCCTCATGTCTCAAAAGGATAATAACTGCGGTGTTGCGACAGATGCAACCTTTGTTAACTTAGAATAGCTTAGAATCGCTTGGCTGCTTAATTCAAATCATTGAACGAATCGGTTTTAAACTAAAGTAGAATCTGGTTCTCTCAGTGACTGAAACAGCTTCTAAACTCTAGAGGGCTGAAACTAAAACTATAAACTATCTGGTGAATATTGTAAATGATTCGCGAGAGCAATCGCTTATTAAACCTATTTTCGCAAAGTTTGTGTATTGTTTGACCTGATGGGGCATAGCACTTTGACTGCATCGTCTTAATCGATACCTTTTATAACGCCTCCTGAGAAAATCTGCTAGTTCGATATTAGCCATACCGAATTTTTCTTGACAATTTCTTTACTAAAGGTGAATAAAACACTTCTTTTCGTCTTCTTAAGAGCTTTAATTGACGAGTAACCAGTATTCTTACCCATTTAGGTTTAAGTTATTCCACTTAATGGAAAACACCATAAGCTCTATATCGAGAAACTATTCTTGTAGATTATTTCAGTCGCTATGGGAACTTTTCGTGCCGTTTGGTTCTCATTCAAAGTTCGTCTTGAGGCAAGGATGTAATGATTTACATCTATATATTCTGGACAATCCGAGTCGAAGGGGGCGGTTGCTGGAAGTCTTCGGTAAAGGTCTAACCAGAAATGGTGTTCCTTCTTTATATTCAACTTCTATGCCGTCACCATTCTCTTCGAATTCGATGTCTGCTTAAAGAAAACGGTTAAAAACGTTCAATAAAACAAGTCATATCAGCTCATGAAACGTTTCACTCCAGTACCCCATCCCGTTCGTTTTTCAGAAAATCAGCGGTAACCAGTTGAATAATCGTTTTGAACTGAACGGGGAGTAAACTTTGCTGCCTCTGAGCCCAACAGGAGGGCGCTGGCTTAGCTTTTGTGAGATCACCTAACCTTCCGGAAGTAACATCACTGGGAGTAAATAAATATCACGATGCCTGAATTTCCTCATATTTAACAATTGGTTCATACGTCAGCGTGCGTTCATCGAGATATGAAGCACGCGGGAAGTTTGGAGAGCACGAAAGATGCACAGGGAGCGTAGCCGAGAGCAACTCTAGCTTCTTGAGTGTCCTCCAAACTTCCCAAGTGCTTCATATCTCGATGAACGCACAGCTGACGTATGAACCAATTGTTTTATAACATTTTCAACCCGATGGAAAATTTTTTTCTCGAGGGATTTGTTTACTGACGTCATGAGCGTGCACAATAGGAATATGGAGCACGCTCGCGCAATTGAATTTGATTAAACAAATTTACCAGCTATGTTATAATAGAAGTTATGACAACGGTATTTTCAACTAGGAATTATTTTTAAATGTTATGCATACTGTAGTTAAAAAAAAATACACTGTTGGCAGTTCTTGCAAGCTTGTATGCTTTATATGGTTTGTTGGTTGTTTGTATTGTCTTTCCGTCTCTCTCAACTTCTTTCACATTGAAACTCAAGTAATACCTTGTCCTGTAATTGGTGCGTCGTTCTCTATAAGTTCAGAGGCTTTTGCCTGCTGATTTTGATAAAGGATGTCATTTTTCCATGAAAACGCAGATGTTGTTTGGCGCATGTTCTTACTCCGCTTTTCGCTTTCGAACTCTCCGTTGCAGCTAGGTACAATCTGTGAAAAAAAGCTTTGAATCTTAAAGATCCTAGTTATATTTTCCTTGCCCTACAAGTCAAAGTTGAAATGCTTTTACTGAAATTTAAAATCGTAGGAAAAACAGTTTAAGTGTTGTAAAACCAAAGCCAAAGTAATCACAGCGTTAAATTGCAATAGTGGATAACATAACAAGCCAATGAGAACTCAAAGTGAAATCAACAAATTGTTTCCGGCGCACGAAAACGCGATTGACCATGTCACAAATTAGAAATAGTCTCGCATCTGATTTTGTCAGAGGGTGGCGCCAGTTTCTAAACCAATCACAAAGCGGCGCTAAGCAAAATCAAAGCCATCCGGGTTTTTTTCGACAACCACTTGGAAATTTCTCCAATATTGGTTTATTGAAGGCATGAGTTATACTCATAGAGCGATTGTCTTAATTAAGCTTTTGTGACTACATTCCATTGATAGCCACTTAACGTCTTTCCACCATCTGCACTTTACAAAAAGAGAGGCAACTAAGAGGGGCGCGACACAGAGAGATAACTATCAACTTCTCCGGCACCTTTCGAACACTAACACACCTGAGATTTTTCCAAAGCTCCTTTAACAAAAATCATGGCAAAATGAAGTAGCTCAGGGCCATCCAATTTCATCATCCCCCTTTCGATTTCGGCTCGAAAGTGATCGCTTTCCTTCTCATCTTTTATCTCTTCTGAAAAAAAAAAAAATTCCACAATTATCAAGCTCTCATGAAAGTGATATAAATCACTCTTAACTAATAGCGAGAGATCATTCCTTTCCTACTTTGATAGCTTTTAATAATACACAATTTGTACTATGATTTTATATCTGACCTGAAGCGGCTTCAAGACGTTGATCTTTTTGATGACCAAAATTGAATTCTCCCGCGTCGTCCTTACTTTCCATTGATGGGTGGTCATCTCCTGTTCTCAAATTTGCCATCCCTTGTTTGTCATTTGGAGCTCGAGCGGTTGTGATCTGATTGGCATTTACTTTACTAGGATAATTTTTCGTTATCTTTATTCCTCGGTTGGCTGCAACTTCTTCCGTTTCCATGTTTTCTATACTTGTTTGATCACAAATGTCCTGAGGGCAATCCATTTTTTCCGAGTCCACTGGGACACCAGTGATCAAAATTTTCTCAGGGTTGCCCTCACAAACCTTTTTAGTTTGGTTTCGTGCTTTTCCTATGAGGGAGACGGGTTGGATATTCAAGGAGTTGTCTGGAAAGTCATCCAGTCTGACTTTGTCAAAACATTCAGAATGCAAAAGAGTACAATGGTTGAAGCTGTTCTCTGAGATCGGAGAAAAGCGCTCTAAACCTTTAAAAGGTCGGTCTTCCGCTACCACAGTTCTGCGGCTCATCCAGTCAATGACCTCTTCTCGTTCGTGCAACACCTGCATTTTTCCTTTCAATAAATCTCTTCCCGAACGTAACGGACTGACATCCATGTCATCAAAGCTAACCTATATCATAGTGACAGGATTTAATCAGAGACGCAGAGTTATTTTACTTCAGTAGAAACGAACAAAAGTAGTTCCAGTTTGATGAACACTAAGGCAAAATTTTGATTGTAGTCATTGTTGTGCCTGAGAAGTTAGGGGTTAGAATACTGGGAAATAAACCTGTTGGTTGTCTCTTAACTGCCCGTTAGATACCTGAGCAAAATGTTTAAACCATCCTAACTGATCAGTTAGTCTCCATATATATTTCCATATTTATATTACTATATCGAAAAACGACTCACGTTTGTTATCAGGTCATTTTCACCTATTGCACGAAGAGACGAGCACGTGTCGATGGACATTCTCTGGGCTAGTGGGGGATACTGGCATGAGAAGTCGTGGTTAAATTCATGCAAGCTATTGGACCCTTTATATAACTGAACATTAGTTGAGTCATCGTTGATGATGTTGAGTACATGTTCTTTCTCTGCTGGTTCTGAGTTGCCCTCAGGGTGGTCGGCCGCGAGGCATGAGTGACCACATTGAAACTTCGCGCACGTTGACAATACTTCAGCTACAGTACATCCAAATAAGATTGTTTCCTTTGAACTTTTTTCATCATTTCCGGGGAAGCAACTTTGCTTGGCCAATTTTGGGCAAAGCGATTCAGTGCACGTTTCTACGGTGTTTACACCGTAATATGGCGCTTTTTCAATCAGATAGGGGTCTGCCTGTGAACTCTGACAGGTTAGTCGGTTCTCTTCGGAGTCAGGCAGTGGTCCTTTGTTGAAAGAGCTTACTTTCATCAACATATTTCGAGGCAGTTGTCCGTCTGACATTCCCTTTGCCTTTTCCTTGGAGTTTCCGTCTTCATGCTGAATGGGTACCTCTTGATCAAGGCCAACGTGAGGACCAAGGCTGCAATCAGAACTCGTTCCTTCTTGGGAAAAGAGCTGGTGATCCTCGGTGAAATTGTCTGTGTCATCGTCTAAGTCCATTTTGCCGAACTTTTTAGCACGTAAGCATATTCTCTCGTGAACAGGGCTCTTTCTCTTCAGGACTCTGGGATCTTGATCTGAATGCTTACTGTGGAACTGATTCTTAATTTGCTCGATTTTTTCCATAGGTAGCAGATGAGCTTCTTCAACCATAGCAAAGAATGATATCGTGGGTCGGTATGTAGCTATGAAAGCGGAAAAGTAAACTTAACAAGAATTGTGATTGGAAGAAGGAAACACTTTTGTTATAATCAGTATACAGGAAAATGATGCTAAGAATCGATCTAGGCCTTACATCTGTCAGCATCAAAAAATGAATACCATCGACCGCAACATCAAATAAGGAAAGAAAACAAACTTACCTTTAGTCCCCATTGCTGGTGACTTGATTCCGATGGGTGGCCAAACAACTGACGCTGAAAAAAAAACATAAGTAATTCGTGATTCCTTGACCTCACTGTTTTGTCATAGCGCGGTGTGCGTGTTAGCAGACAATTTCGTAGTCATCCTTGACACATTTTCTATGCTGGAAAAGTTACGTTGAAGTACTCTCACAAAGAGACAACTCGGTGGATCAGGCAAAGAAAGTCAACGCACTGTGATATGAGAACATTATGGGCCTCCTGCTCTTAATTCACAAGTCTAAATTTAAGCGTTTAACATGTCATTCAAAGCACACCCATCATTTTCGCTAACCTTTGTTTATCAGATCATGTTCAAACTTCCCACAGACTTTCCAATCAAAGTAGTATCCAGGTTGCACGGCGACTGATTTCTTTCCCGCGTTATCTTCGCTACACTCGAAGTTGTCTTTTGAGCAGGTAACAGTTAACTTGGCGGGAAGTTCACGTGGATCTGCCCCCTGCTCTATCATCAGCATTTCAGCGCGTAACCCTGCGGGTGTAACTGTTCTTCGATCTTGAGCCAGAGAATTTGACATGGATAATGTTGCGTGATCTGTCGTAACTTGAGGTGTTTCTAATTGGCATATTTGCTCATCATAAACAGGGACTGTACATTCAGATTGATCGTTTCCACGTTTTTCATGACTGATTGATTCCGATGTTCTCTCTATCAGTTGCTCGCTGCCGCTCTTAAAGGCGAGCTGCTTTTCCTCCTTCAGTTTTCCTAAAACATTCGATGTTAATCCACCCACTTGAAGATCATCTGTTAAAATTTAACAATTGATCTTAATCAATGTTTCAGGCAACTGCTTTCCAGCGGCATGATGAATCAGTTGACGTATTTAACTTAATCAGAGTAATGACGTCATTAATGCATTAGAGAACCATTAATTGACGTCTTAATTTGTGACAATTAGGAATACAGTCAAGGAATAATGCGATATCATCAATGTTCTCTCTGTTAAAAAGGCACTAACTATTTTGGCCGCATAGTTGAAAACAAATGAGGCCATAAATCCGTAGTCTTCGTGTTGAAATCTTCCGTTTATTCCGTTCCCATTTTTCCAAAAACTGATTTTATATTGAAATTTTATTTGCTGTTACTTAAATGTTTGCAAAGTTCTGGTCTTCGGTAGTCATAATTTGTTTTAGTTTTGCTTCTGATTAGTTGACAAAATCTCCCGTGCATCGATTCGCTTAGAAGACTCGGAACTCAAAGTCTACTTGTTAAATAGTTTATCCAAAAACTTCCTTGAAAACTACTGCACTTTGGTACACTTATGAATCCACTTATATCTATCCAGTATACCTTCCAAATAGACTTAAAGTGCGCCACAACTGTTAGCATGTAATTATCTTATAATACATTACATTCCTTTCAATTTGTACTAGACACCCTTATGCAGTGCGGACCTATTTTTATTACTTGTCTGTTAGCATTATGTTTAAAATAACAATAACTGGCATACTTTATTTGACTTCTACTGTCAGACAGTGTAATGCAAGTACGCCTCGAGTTCCAAATAATGGAATTCTCTTCTTGTAGCATTTCGACATATTTTAATGTGATTCATATGTCTTGCTTTCTCTGGGTCTACCTTTTATCATTACGAAAGTCTTATTTTAACAGGTTCGTTTTTCCTTGGAACGAAATTTGTCCAAATTAATGAATTTAACTTCGAAAGGTGTCACTGGAAATACTGCTCTTATTAAATGACATCGTCCCAGCTCAACACCAATTTTGTCATAACGCAATTTAACCCCAGCTCCTTCGACTAATACGCCAAAAGAATACAAGCATGGAAATTCAATTCAACCTCTCATTCTCCGACTGATATGCCTACAATATTAATTCACATCTGGTACAAGAATAGAGCTGCTTACCATCATAAAATGACTTTTGTGATGCTTCATCCATACTTAGGAATCTTCAGATCAGATTATCCGACATTCTGCAAAATGAAAAAAGGGAACAAAGCAAATGCCAGATACAAGTAATAAAACAAAGACAAAAAGGAAGAAAAACAGTTACTTGCCGACACTTTCAAAAAATATTCTTTCAAAAAATATCATCACGAATTGTTTACAGAGCTCTAAACTAGCTTAACTTGATTTATAGGGTAGATCTGTTGAACTTGTGCCAAGCAACATATTAAATATGAAACAAAATACGCTATTGAGAATAAGCGATTTGAAGATAAACTGAGAAAAACTAAAACTTGTGGACTGAAAATACTCACCGCAACCCATGTCGGATTATTTCTCGAGAACAGTTCTCAAATTGGCGGGAAAAGGTGACGCGGGCTGCCACTGTTGCCTCACAGTATTCTGTGGCCATTCATACTTAGGGGGAGGGAGGGGGGCGGATGATCACAGCATACAACTAGGTATTTGGTTCTAAATAGCGCCAAGGAAGTAAATTCGCTTTTGTCACCTTGCGAGCGCGGGAACACAGCCACACTAAGAATTTTAAGAACAAAGGCCAATTTGGCGGCGCTCTCGTCGCATGACAACTACCTGATAGTAAACTATTCCACTGATTTTGTTTTGAATCACAATCCAGATTCGAAGTCAATGTGCCATTTTGCAGAGTGGTGCTTTGGCATAAACAGGGTGTGGTCGTCTTAAAACGACTAATATTTTTGTTAAATATTTGAGTGTTCAACGGAAGGCTTTAATGTATTTCTAAGCACAGAAATAATAACTGATAAAACTGCCAAAATAAATCTAAGCTTGACCATTTTAAGGCTGTGTACATATATATATATATTGTGCACATATATCTATTTCCTTTGATATATACATATATCCGTCTCCGAATGCATTCTTGCAGTAATTTAAAATGAGACCTTACACGGACGTATTCGTTCCAGTGATGGTTTTGGTCCTTCACGTGTGGATAAAATCCGTGAACGTATTCGAAATAAGGTATGCATTTACAAACATAAATAACTAGTCTGACACTCGCTTTGATTCAAATCGTGCTGATATCCTTTATTATTACACTGAGAGTTATGAGATAACACTATCCAGTCCACCATCGTCGTTACTTCATCTTCATTTTCCTCTTCCCACACCGGGAGCTTGAAAGCATTGAAGCCCGTCGAGATTTTTCGTTTTCAAAATTTTAGTTAAAGATAACGAGGCCAACGAGAACAGTTTTCCCTTTTCTCTCATATTTTCCAATCTATGAAGTCAAGAGGGTTCTGAAATATACTGTATTAAAGGTCTCTTAGTGGTCTTATACCAAGGCAAGACCGAACTGCAGTGCAGGCTCTAAAGTCAACGCATCAACGCATGCAGAAATTACGTGTCTTTGCACACCGCGCTCCGCATAGAAGGAGCAGCCCTGGCGAATTCTGATTAAAGCAACTTGGATACTCTTTGAAATAGTAACAGCTCCACTGGATTGCCTTCAGTGTATTTTACTGATTCCATCAATAGAAGCTTCAAGGTTTACTTAGCTCTTGTTGGAAAGTCCTACGCCGGATTGCATCTGTTGCATTTTTTCAAAGATGATGCCAGACATCTGCACAAAAGACACTATCTCTACATGAATGCATGTTTTCATTGGTATAACATCGTCATATGGACGACGTAACTCTTCACAGTTTTTTTTCACATTTTCGTTCTCAGTAATAAAACAAGATTCGTGTTTCCATGCATAAACGCGTCTGCGTAAAGCGACAGTGTATATACATTTTCACTGGTAATATCTGGATGACTTTGGTTGGCTACTGGATGAACTATATCCTGTTCCTGGCTTGTGACTCCTGCTACCTTGATGATGATGGTGTCTTGAGTGGGAGGAACTTCCTGAAGGCCCTGTGACGTACGAGCAATTAATACAATTAGAGAAAGTTTAAGTCTGAAAATGACGTATCAGACTGACTAATCTCCCTGGAGGGAATACTCATCCATCACAAGCTAACCTCTTCCCCGCCCCCCCCCCGAAGGAATATTCATCCATCCGTCACAAGCCAACCACCACCCCCTGGAAGGAATACTCATCATCACAAGCTAACCCCCCATTTGGCTTTAATTCCCAAACCAAAGCCACATGGGGAGGCATGTGAGCACTCTCCATATCTCTAATGTGTTAATACTTGCCTGTGTGAGATCCTGAAGATGAAGTCACTTCTTGAGAGCTTTGGTACTTTCCTGAGTATTTCTTTGCAGCATTTCCTTGATGATGGCTCTTTGATCCAGAGTATGGATAAGGACTGAACTTGTGGCTGGCTCTCTTTGTTGACTGGGGTCCCTGTAGATGGTGCTGCTGATATTCATGCTGTCAAACAAACAGTGAAGGGTTTATTTACACACAGCAGCTTGACAGCATTTCAGATGAGCAGCTTGCTTTCTTTTTGTTACAGCCCAATATATAAGCCACAGTCCCATAAATCAGGTTGGCTTTGTTAATTATGTAACTCTTAAAACTACAGTGGTATCATGTGACAAAATTGTTTATAGTCACTTGTATTTGGCTGATTGTCTGAAAGTGTCATAACAGCTTTAAAACATGTCAAATCTTTGATGTTTCATCTTTTCACATTTTCCATCCCAATTATACAGGAATAGCTGTCAATGGGTTAATGTTGTGGTTGAAAGTTAAATAATTCAGAACTAGAGTTCCTTAGAGTTCAAACCCCCTCTTTAACTCAAATTTTCCTAACTCTAGCTTGAATTTGTTAAAATAAAAATAAACAGGAAAGGATTTACCTGATAGTTTTGGGAATACCCAGGTCCTGTACTTGGTCTCTGTTCTGGCTTCTGGTGCTGCTGCTGCTGCTGAGGTGGAACCATTTGTTGGGATTGATGTCCTGCATCATATGGCACTTGTCGACTTTGACTCTGACTGCTTTGTTGCTGGTGGTACTGCTGCGGTGCCATGCTTTGCTGCCTGTGTTGTGTCAGGTCAGGCTGTTGCCCTTGGTGTCCCTGTATTCCAGGGTACTGCACAGGCTGCTGCTGTTGTTGTTGCTGCTGCAAATGGTAAACATGCTGGTTGCTTACTGCTCCTTGCTGAACTTGATATGCTCCTGATTGTTGCTTTGGTTGGTATCCCTGTTGCTGAGGGTGTGCTTGATAGGACTGCTGTGTTTGCAATTGGACACTTGTACCATGTATAGGATAAGACTGGAGATGTGCTTGGTCCTGGCCAGAATGATGCACAGGGTACCCATGCTGAGTTCCTTGGTTGTGTGATGTTGGACCTGGTTGTTGTTGTTGTTGCTGTTGAGGGTGTGGTGGAGGCTGTTGAAAAGTTTGTTTCTGACTGCCATGTTGTATGTATTGTTGATAACCTGGTTGTTGCAGCTGCACATGATATGGAAACTGCTGCTGTTGTTGTTGTTGTTGTTGTTGTTGTTGTTGTTGTTGTTGCTGTTGTTGCTGCTGTTGTACTTGGTGACTTGGGAATGCCTGCTGATTTTCCTACAACATTATAAATTCACTGACAATAAATACATTTAATATATTGAATTGTGGTACATGTAACTGCCATGGCAGCCTCCTTATTACCTAGAAAATACCAGTTCATCAAAATTTGTTTACACTATCTAATACATCAACTTGTGTAAAAAAAAATGAAAATATGAGACAATCAAAATTGGAAAATTACTTGTTCATTGATAATTAAGAGTTTTCATGAGACAAATTTTCCAAATAAGCCAACAGTGTTGACACCTTTCTATTATGAGCTAGCATTTATGTTTAATGTATCCTGGGATTACTTCACTCCACTGAAATATCTAAATTCACCCTTTCACGCTTTAAAAGCTTTTGTTCTTCATTAGCATGGTGTGCAACTGCAGAGCCAGGAAGGGGAGAACAACATGAAATTAAAATGAAATAAACCCTCACATGAATCAAGGTCTAGAAACTGAACTTATAAACCCTTTACACCCTAGCAAGAAGGAAATGCTGTCCCTTGAGTCACAAGGTGAATTTTTTATTACACTACATACCTGCTGAGGTTGTCCACCTTGTTGCAATGGCTGTCTGTTGAACTGTGCTTGTGATTCTTGAGGTGTTCCAGTGGTAGGGAGCTGTGAAGGTGGGTGTTGCTTTCCTGGAAAACGACTTTCAGGCTGCAGAGTAAGAAAAAGTGTTAAGATTATCCTAAAATTATGCAAGGTGCATTCTTGATATGCATTAGGGTCTTGACCCACAAGGTGTTATGCTACTACAGTCAAACCTGTATTAAGCAGCACCACACTCACAGTCACCCTGTATTGAGCGGTCTGTTGTCAAAGTCCCAAAATTGTTACCCCTTGATTACTGTAATCTTCAAGCCTATTAAGTGGTCACCTCTACCCTTTCACTCCCAGAAGTGATCAACATGAAACTTCTCCCTGTAACATCTTTTCAGTATCCAGCAAACAAGTAATGAGAATATTTGATATAACACCAAATTCTGGTCACTAATTTACAAGGAAATATGCAGCAGTAAGTGGGGAGAATTAACAATCAGATCCTGGGAGTTAAAGGGTTAAGTGGTCCTTAAGTCACCCTTTACTGAGTGCCCCCCCCCTTTTGTACTGTCCTCCACCTGTATTGAACAGTCACTTTAAGTGGAACAACCCAAATAAAACTAAGAATAATCTTTCAAGTCGAATGTAATCAACTTTAATCTCCCAAGATCACTGTTAGTGAGTTGTATTTACATAAAAGGCATAAAATGGCGATTTTACTTGCTTTTTGAAACACCCTTATTCTGTGGAACCTGTATTAGGTGGTCACTCTGCCATTTCCTGTGAGTGACAGGTTTGACAGTATTAAGTGATTCACTTGAGTAACCCTTAACAAAATCTTCAAACAGGTTTAAGAACAACTCATCAGACAACACATTTAAGTTAACATTGTTGTTATTGATCTGAATACAATCCTTTGGAGAGGTTGGACATTGATCACTTGGATTAATGTTAGTATCTGAGAAACTGCATACCTACCCCTCCCCTAACCTAACATTAACCCTAACTAGTTACCAGTTGACTGTTGTTGGTTAGGGGAGGGGTAGGTGTGCAATTGCTCAGATACCAGGATTGATCCAATCACTATCCTTATTCAAGTTTGAAGAACAGTGAGAAAATCTCTGCATCAAAAATATATCTATCTTAAAAGTACTTTTACTAGAATGAATGAATTATGCAATAAAAAAAAAACAAGCTGGAAGATACCACACACAAAGACACACAAAACATCTTTTATTGTATACATTATGGAAACACACACATCAACCTGATTCCCTGTGATGACAGGTGCTTGTACCTGACCATGGGGATACCCTGGAAATCTCTCTGGGGCTGCTGTTGGACGCACCTGTGCTGTCTGAGATGGATAGGAGGCATGTGGGAGTTGAAGGTTTTGCAGCTGTTGTGAATGAATTTGTGCCTGAATGAAACCTGAGAGGGGGTGTGCCCGTGAAGGACTACTTGGTCTTCTGATCACACCTGATAATAAATGAAAACAAATCTAGCTTGAATAAAAGTAAGAGCTACATTGTACTTATATGAAACAAAATTTGGTGGTGCAAGGTAATCATGATGTGTCTTTTTGTTTAGTTTATTAAACAAAATATTACTTCCAGGTTCAAACCATTTGCTATTGATTACAAGAAACAAGTATTTTAGGGTATTCATGAAATTTCAGTGATTCTCCCAGGGCTGAAAATAAAGAATATATCATGAGAGGAAGATTACCCTTATTTGAAATTTACCTTTAAGTTATTTTCTAAGTAAGAAACCTACCACCCACTCTGTATGGGGTAGACACTCAATAAAAACTTGCAAATCCACATTTTAACCCCAAGCAAAACGAGCATTTATGTTAAAAAATGTACATGCTGTTGATTTACTATGTACTATGAATGGCAAGCAGAGAAGGCATGATTGTAGCAAAACTAGGCAGCTGCTTTGCTTTCAAATGAATAAAGGGGGTAAGTTTCTAAAGAAACTGTGGTGCTGTGTCAGTGGGAGAGTACAACATGGTAATTTAGTATTATCAACTGAGTTGATAACATAAATTGGCCACTGTAAAGAGTTCAAAAGCTGAAATTTCGCTCTAACGAAGGACTAGCGCTTGAAACGTCTGCTTTTAAACTCTTCACGGTGGCCAATTTATGTTATCAACTCAGTTGATAATATTAAATTTCCCGGCTTTGCTTTCAGTTTGCCAACAAAAATAACTCGATGTTGGACAGACTTAACAACTGGAATACCATTCGGACTAGGTTGGCTCACCAAGAACTCGATTTGTGACCTTTTGAACCAAAGCGTTTTCTTGTAGATTTTGATTTTGAAAATTACGTATACCATTCTTATTATTGTCGTGGATGATCACACACCTGAATTGGGAACAGCGTCCATCAATCCAGGTTGCGGAGGCACACTTTGCGAAATAAAGGGCTGTCCAGTTGGTAAACCAAGAACGCCTCTAGAACTGGTTATCACATTAGCAGATGCCTTCAAAGCAGCTTGATTCTCCTGCTGTCTCTTCAATTCGTTTTCATAATTTAAAGCTCTTTTGAACTGAGAAAAAAGATCGTGTTTCTTCTGCTTCAGTTGCTCTAGTTTGGCTTCTAATTCTGCAATTTCCTTTTTGACATCTTCTACAGTTTCCTTCTTTTTTTCTTCTTCTTTTTTACGCTGCTTTTCTTCTTCTTCCTTTGCCTTGCTTTCGGCCAATGCTTGCTTTCCTTTCTCCCGTTGTCGCCGTATATACGCATGCACAGCCCTTAATTGGGCTTTTGGCGGACGAGTTCTTTCGATCAGAACAGGCATCTTCCACTCAAGTTTCAAAGTAAAGGCCAATTTCAAAGCGATTTCAATATTTGAGCGAGTTTTAGTTTAGTTATGGTAGCTGTCTACGTCGCCATTTTCTGGTCTGGTTGTCCATACATAAAGTACATACTTGGAAACAAACTCCGCTGAGCGTTTGGCAAGGAACGCGGAAACCGAAAAGAACTCATTACAAAATTCACCAAATTTAGAGTTTCGGCAAAATGTTTAGTAGGAGGAAAAAATCCCCCCGTCCCCAAGAAGGACACAAGAAGAACGATCTCTCCAATTTGGTACTGTATATTTCAAATTTTTTTTTCATTAAATTTGTGTCGTGTAAATTTGGAATGTGTGGGGCATGACTCAGATCTCTGAGGCCTAAGTGCTAGTGGAAACTGTAACGATGCTGTGTCAGGCGACTTAAATATGATTTAAAAGTGCCACAATAATCGATATGTACCATAGTTATTGATTGTAGTTGATGTCATTTTTTTATCCTTTTCCATCCGCTGTTTTAGGCTTTGAAACATGCAAACGTACTACATGAGAAATTTCGAACTTGCTCGTCGCATCAGCGTTTGAAAGCAAGCTAGATGTTTAAGTAGTCATGCAGAGAATATTTTGAAATACAGCCTTGTAAAATATTAGTCACTTTTTTTATTGTGGTGAGGGTTAATCCCGTTGATAGATTTAAATGTTGGTATAATTTAAATGTTGAAATACATTTGGTGGTCATTTCAGATGTTTTTAGCATTGGGTAAAAGTGTCAGAAACTAGTAGGGGTTTTATAGAAACGACAGAAAATGCCCAAAAACAACAAATATCAAAAAACAATGACATTGTGAGCTTGTTTAGTTATTGGTGTGATAGAAGAGGAGTGGTTACCAAGGTAAACAGACATGGTGGGCTTGTATCATAGACAATCACGAGTTGGAGGAGGTTCGTTTTTTGCATTAGGTAGTTACTGGCTTAGAGGTACATGCAAAGTAGTTCTCAACTTTATTCTAGTTGTTGAAATTGTATCCACCATGGCATCTGGCAATTTTTTTTCGTGAATTAAGTCATCAAGAGTTTTGGAGAAGGAAAAAAATTTATTTTCTTATTCTAAAGGCTATTTAAACTGCAGGAAAAGCAGGTATGGACCTATCAAAACTGATGAGAGTGGTAAAAACTGAATTTTTTTCAGAGTTTTGGGTCCTTAGATGCCTCTGGCCCAGACCTTAATAAACAGGGGTCTGTACCCACCCTTAATAACATGGTGGACATAGTTTCCACAAATTAAATATTGTGGGTCTATACTCTTTTCATGGGGGGTCTGCACCAGATTTTGCCACATAAACAGCTTCATTCCCACTCTTTTGTTTGCTGCTATTGGGTGTAGTTCGACTTTTACTTGCTCTTTTCTCTATTTGCAATGTTATTTATTTGTTATTTCTTATTTGCTGTTCTTAATACAGCTTGGACTTGATATCAACCCAGATGAAATGGCTGCATTAGGGATTGGGGGGATAGGAATTGGTAATGATGATGACGATGATGACGAGGATGAGGATGATGAAAGCCTTGAAGCAGAACTGGCAGCTCTACAAGGGCAGTCATCATCTAGAGGAAAGAAGAAAAGTAATTGCCTTGTACTATGTTATTGATAATGTTTTTTAGTTGACACATAATAAATTAACAAAAGGGAAAGCAAAAATTGTCAACCTTTTCCAAATTTTGACTTTAGAGGTAATTTTCATTTCAATCAGACGCGAACAAATTGACTGTTGGTGGTACACAAGTATTATTAGTCATGCTTGCCACTTAATAGCATGGTCCAGGTCTGATTCTCGCAATGGGTATTACATTTGGATTAAAGTTTTTATCAGGTCTCTCTCTTGCCTCTAGGTTTCTGTCATGGGTTCTCCATTTTTCCTTCCCCTACAAAAACCCATTATCTCTCAAAATTATTTTAATTTAACCATAACTCTTTAGCCCCCAGGAGTGATTGGCATCTTATTTCTCTACTCATTGTCACTTATAAATCAAACATTAAGGTTACAAAGGAAACAACCCCCCACTGAAGAAATTCTTGACTGTTAAACAAATTTTTCTTGTCGATACTGTAGAAATGTAGAATATGTATACTGATGTTAGCATGTGAAGGGTTAAGGGCAAGGGACCAAGTGTCATATTTTGTATTTATTATTTACTTTACTCATTCGGCAGAACCAGGAAGATCTATGGTGGGATTAGATGAGGATGACTTTGGAGATGATGATAATGATGATGATGATGATGAAATTGATGAAAATGACCCACAGCTCTTGGTAGGGCTCTTTTGGGTGTAGTAAATATTTTTTGTTTTTGAGGTGATCATTCAATCAACACCAGTGTAAGAGAGTATTTATTAAGGATTTATGAATGGGTGCATTTAATACAAAGTAAATTTGTGGAGGTGCATGTAATTAAGGAGTCATTTCCAGTCATTAAATCTAGTTTTTTACACAAATATGACACCTGTTAGTGTACTGTCACTCCCCGGTTACTTCACCATTTTAAGAGTGCATTGTTACATCCCTTATAGTAAGTACTTGCACCATCATTGGTCAATTTAGCAGGCTGTTTCTCACAACATGATGGGGCTAAATGAAAATTTTTGTTTCAGTTTAAATCTTCACCCTCTATTTGAACCCAGCAATAAAATAAATATCTTACCAATCTTGTCTTCTCAGTCTTAGTTGAGTTTGCTCTACCTGAATTTATGGCCTGCATGTGTTGTGTTTGGGCCATAAATCTGAGCATAAAAACATTGCCTATAAGTTACAGGACAGACCTCAAACTCAGTTGGTAATTAAAAGGTATTTCTGATTGTGCTTTTTTTATGAGGTAAGTTTACATTTGGTAACCATTGCATTTTGTCTTGAAGGCTGAACTTCAATGTATTGCTCCAGGAGAAGATGGCTCAGAGCATCATGATCCAACCCCAGTCTTACTTCCCTCTGTCCCAGCATCAACCAGCAGTGATCAGGTAAGATAATTTGGGAAACCAACTGATGCTGACAGCAGTTATATTGGTGAACTTTTTACAGTTATAATTTAGTTATTATATAATAAATAATTGTTATCATTAATTACTATTTTTTGTAATTTAATTGTAAACTTTTTATTTGAGCTGTAAAACACAATCATCTACATGTACTTCCAGTAAAAAAAATCCTCAAGTTGCCTGATTTCAACATCAAACTGGAAAGTCACCCACTTTTAATACTTCTTGCATTTTTTATTGTAAGGCTTCAAAAGGGAGTTCTTCACAAGTTGACCTGTTGTTAGAAAGAGAGAAAAACTACAAGCTGGCAATAGAAAATGCAAATAAATCTGGTGAAGGAAGCAAGGCCAGAAGATATGGCCGAGGACTAAAGGTACAATCATCAATATTATGATCACCATGATTTATTTTCCTTTTTTAGCAATAATGAAAAAATGAATTACAATAATTTACAGCAAGATAATTATAAGGCAAGGAGACCTCAAGATACCTGACAGAGCTTATGGGAGAGGCCACCTTATCTGTAACTGGCAACATATTTAAGTGTTGCGAGTTTGCAGCTTGGCTAATTCAGTGATTATTTTAAATAATAGAAACTCTGACTGACATTTTCTTCTCAAAGCAGAGAAGACTTGACAAACAAGTGACTGTTACAAATAAGAGAGTTCCAAATTTTAAGACCTTGGTAGAAAATTGTAAATTGCTTGAGATTTGAATGAGACAAATGCATTAGATAATTATTGACTGTTTTGGTGCCATAGCAGTGAATTTGGCCATTGTTTCACAAAAAGATTGAGAAACAGTGGAGGCCTAAAGGTTAGTGTACTGGAACTCAGGGTGGAGTTGTTTGGATTCGAGATCTGGTCAAGCCAGTGTGTTTTGTACTTGGCAAAAATACTGTACTCTCACTGTACTTCTCTCACCCAGGAGAAAAAATGGGTGCTGTTGAATTGTCAGGGAAGCTTGATGATATGCTGGGGGTGACCCTATGATTGACTGACATCCCATCCAGGGGGGAGTGGTAATACTCCTACTCATTTCATGCTATGGAAACTGGGTTAAGCTGTGGGGGGAGGTTCACAGTACAGACTTAACATTTACTCACTTCTTGACCTATTAGTTATGGGCATACAATTTGGTTGGATAACATCATTTTAGAACTGTAATTCCTCCTGAAACTCAACCATTGTACTTCTGCAAGTGAAGAGTTTACAGTTTTTCTCTTTTATTTTAGGAAATAGAACAGATGATCAAGCAGGCTAAAGCTGGGAAGGCAATTGATCTGGATGCAGTTCCTCCACCAGTGGCCACTGGAGCTGCTAAACCTTCAGCTCCAGTTTCTTCTCAGCCAGTCCAGGATTCTGTTCCTGAAGCACAAGTGGATCAGACAGCTAATAAGTCCATAAGGCTTGAAACAACATCCCCAGAAGATGTATCCAGACCTGTCCAAGATGGTAAGTGGTGAAATTTTTTTTCCCATTCACACTTCTCCCACCAAGCACTAGTAGTTTTTTTCCTTTTAATTTCAACTCCTATTCTCAATCTTTAAGGAAACAACAATTTATCTTGAAACATTGTGTTCTTTTAAATCTGTAACTTCTAATTTTGACTGCCAAGTAAATAAAGATCAAAGTGGTTTGAAAAAAGAAAAACATACATGCACTATAAGAACTTTGAGTTTGTGATCAGTCTTAAGTAAGGCTGTGGGAGAAGCACAGGTAGCCCACTGGTCAGTGCGCTGGACTTCTGAGGCAAAGCATAGGTTTACACTCTATCTTGGTATTGTACTGTACTGTGTTCTCTTTTAAGACTCTCACAGTGGCTCCCTCTTCCCAAGGGTAAATATGGCCAAACATGGATACAATCAAAATGTTTTATTGTGACAGATCTTGTTTAAAATGATAATTAAAAGTACAAGAGTAAATTTTGCTTTAATTTACTTTTGGTCACAGACAGTCAAAAGTCCAAGGAATCCAAGGTAGGTTTATATTTAGTTACTAGATATTTATATGTAATAGGGAGTTTGCAGTGGGGAAAAAAGAAACCTGAACTTTAGTTTGCCAGTTTGGATTGGATAAAAACATGTAGGGCCCAGAGAAAAGAAAAACCCTCTTGGGTTTGAAAGGCCTTAATGTGCCATTGAGGCCTTTTAGCCCTAACCCTCTTTAACAAAAATCCTCCTATTTTGCCACTTGTTGAAGGCAACAAAAGAAATGCAGAAATTATTGATGGGGCTTCATATTATGGAAACAGGACATTTTTTAATCATTAAACTTTTACAAGTAAGCTACTCAAACAATTTTAGCCTTAAATATGTGGAAAATGAAAGCATTCCAAAAATTTCGATTTAGCCTTCAGGTTCCCATAACAGAAAACTGAGATAAGATTTTAAAATTACAGTATTTCTCATATGACAATCAGTTAGACTGTTTTCTTAAGAATCCTATGTGTACTTGCATGTGCACAATTCAGTATAATTCAATCATTGAACTGCCAAAGAGTCTAGTTACAAACTGTGTATTGAAAATTTAATTAAACATAAATTTGTTGTTAACAATTTTGAAATTTGCATTGCTGTATGCATTAAATAAGCATTTGATATAATACCATATTTTTTTCCACAATAGTCTTCTTTTTCAGTCTGAAAAAATCCTGGATTCTTATGCATGCAACAATGAGGCAAACAGTAACATTATTGAATAGATCAAGTACTCTTTAAGTTTTCTGTTGTAATGTTACTGTTTTAGCCTGGCAGTGAAGGTGTTCAAAATAAAGAGCTTTTCATGACGAGACGAAATCAGTACAGGGTAGCTGCCCTGACATGCAAAAAAGCAGGAGAAATTCAACAAGCCAAACAGTTTTTGGCAGTGTCAAAGGTACTTAGCAAACCTGCATTCTCACATTGCCATCATGCAGTTTTCTAGATACTGTTGTCTAATAATACTTTGGATTTAGAAAAATTTTACTTGACCCTTTAACTCCCAGAAGTTATTAGCAAGTAACTTCTCCCTACAATATTCATGCACCATCCAGCAAACAGGTAATGGGAATACTCAAATGTATCAGGTAGATGTTGTTATCTTGATCTAACACCAAATTCTCATAACTTATTTACAAGGAAATGTGTAGCAGCTAGAGGGGAGAATTAACACTCACATGTTGTGAGTTAAAGGGTTAATATTCTAACATATACTCGTTTTACATTCACTAGCAAATAGATTCAGCTATTGAACTGTTAGAGAAAGGTGAAGCAGTAGATATTTCACAGTTACCTCCCGTACCATCTGTCCCACAAGCATCATCAGGTATGTTCACTATTAGCACTAGCAGTACTAGTACATGTAATAGCAGTACATGTATTTTTGGTAATGGCAATTATCATAATAAAGCAAAGAATAAACTTAAGGAAGCTGTTCATTGTTGCAAAACACTATCTAATTAATAATTGCTATCCTGCTGAAGTTTTATCCCAGGTCTTATGATGTGGTCACCTTTGATAAGAACACTTTCAAGACTAGTTACAGAGCACCCATGAAGCATGATACTTTGCTCTGATGGGCTGATTTTTCAACAGCTCTGATTGAGGCATTTTGATCCATGCTATTTCATTGAGACATTCCCTGCACTGTTGTCGCTGTCTCTTGTTGTGGGGCTCTGTTTGATTTCACTGGTTGTACATGTAGGCATCCTCGCTTCTGGAATTTGTGTTCCAGTTCCGTGTTTATTTTGTTGTTTGAATTCTCAGGTCAACTCCCTACACCCTAATTTCAGTATCCATATTCTCTATGCGTTTCCTTTGGTACCCACAAGAAGGATTCATATTACAATCACGACCTGGTTTAATTTGTGATCCTTTCCTTTATTTTCATTACCTTAATTTTTGATTCAGGGGTAATGTTGTACAGAGAAATTAGATGCCAGTCACTCTAAGGGTTTTAATAGTTCATCACTTCCTTGACTCTACTTCCACATTTTGCAAGTCTTCTTCAACTGGAGATGACTGATTATCATTTTCTGTTACTGAGACTGATGTTCACTCACCCTTTTGCCTTTAATAGCTATGACTCCACCAGCCTCCCAAGAGTCAGTTGCACCCCCTGCTGAAGCAACACCAAACAGTGCAGGTAAAGGAGAGGCAGGAGGAGAAAGTAGTTCAGCCAAAAGCTTGGAGCCTCCCCCTCCCCCTAAAAATGTTGCAGAAGCTTTGCAACAAAGATTGGAAAAGTACCAGCAAGCTGAAAACCAGGCTAAGCAAGAAGGCAACTCAAGCAAGGCACGAAGAATGGGGCGCATTGTTAAGGTCAGCTCCTCTTTAAAGTTCATAATTAGTTTTTACAATTTTCTTTAAATTAAGTAGCATTATTGAGGTCAGCTCTGCTAATTTAAACATCCTTTCATATTAATTACTTTATTTTTGATTATCAAATATGAATGAATTTCTCATTCCTTTAGGCAAGGACAGAAGTCCCTTTAAATACATGTACCTTGTATTATTAGGTATAAGCACTGACTAGATTTTTGAGCAAAAGGAACTAATGAAAAACTGCTTGGCTATTTCTGGCAAATCTAGTTATTGTTTCTGTAACTTAGCATAATTGAACTGCTTTTAAGACATGTTTGCAAGGCTTTGTTCTCCATTAATGTTCCAACTGGTTACTCTTCTACAAATGGTCCAGGCCCAAGTACTTGTGCTTTATGATACTCTTGGACCATGAAAATGAGTTTCATTAAGGTTTTGTTTACTTATCACAAAAAACAGCAATATCAAGATGCTATCAAAAGCCATAAGGCTGGGAAACCTGTGGACTATGAAGAACTACCAACCCCCCCTGGATATGCACCCATACCAGGTGTAGCTGCTCCAGAGGATGAACCAGCTGAAAACTTTTCTGTCCCTGAGGTAAAGTGCAAATAAAGTTGTCTTTAACTTTAACAGCAGAAGAGACAATAAAATATTCTAATACAATACTTTTATATGTCTTGAGGAATTCAGCAGAAAAGAATCAAGCAATTGTTAAAGGTTCTGGTAGCCTTCTGTTCTTCCCCTAGACTCAGTTGATTCAAAACATTTCAATTCTTCATGTATATAGGGTAAATCCCTTTTAAACCTAAGCACTGCTGATTTGCAAATCTTTCCTTATTCATATTCTCAGTTTTCTGAGCCAAGGCAAGGGGCAGCACCCCAAACAACTGCTTCTCTTTCTGTTGCTGCTGGTGCTGCAAGCCCTGCTGCCACAAGTCCATCTCCACAACCTGCCCTACAACCCACATCATCTGTTCGTAAATCTCCTGGCCGCAATGAACAGCAACTCAATTACTTGCTTGAAAGACAGAAGGAGTTTAAGACAGCTGCATTGCAGTCCAAAAAACAGGGAGATCTTGAAGGTGCCAAGAACTACCTAAGAATGAGCAAGGTTAGGAAACACATTGAATCTATTTGTTGAATATACCAAACAGGAACAGGGCTCTAGGGTTCTTAAATTAAAGAAAGTTTCAACATATATCAATAATGAAGGGGTTGTTTTGTACTTGTGACCTTAAAATTTCAGAGCCACAGCTATGTAATCAATGGATGTACTACTTGGTGAAAATCAGTGTTGGGAATCTTACTTAAAAGAAGTGCTGACAAATGGCATCTTCTTTGTTCCTTAGGGTCTGGACAGGATGATTCTGAGTGCTCAGAATGGACTGAAGGTTGATTTAGGATCAGTAAGTCTAATGCATATTTTTTTTAGAGGGGGGGGAATTCATGTTCAGTGTGTTGTCTGTAATAGACATGTAAGTGCCAGTTTAAAATTGAATACTATTGTGCTTATTTGCACAGAACAACCAAATTTTCAGTGTGTAGATATTTAATCATGGTCCAGGAATACATATCTACTCAACATGACCAGAATATATTTTAGGTATAGTGAAACATTGACATTGGTGACATCTGCATTTATCAATTGTTGATCATTTTGATGTTTTATATTATTATTGTTCCATTTCCCCTTCAGAACTGGCCTTGGTTAAACATATCAAACAATCTGTCTATTCATGTATTTATCTGCCTGACTACACATGTATGTCCCACTCTATTTGAACGTGGAGATATGATATACATCTTTTCAACCTTTCTTGGTCCATACTGTGAGTTATGAGACCTTGTTTTTTCCACTCTGAGTTATGACCCTCTTGCTTCATGCTTGGGATGAAGATCCAAGCAGAAAAAGCTTGATTGGTAGCTTACAGCCACACCAATCTCAAACTCAGTCAGTGTGAGGCTCATCTTTTTTCTAATGTTAACTTTTGAACAACTGTTTTATTTTCATCCACCAGACAAAAACTGTTACTTCTTGATGTGCATGTGCATGTGCAAATTTAGAATAGTTTTTTTGCATATTAACCCTTTGACCCCAAAGAGTGTCCAACATCTAATTTCTCCTTACAATATCACCTCTGAATCACACATTAATGTTGACAGAATAAAGGAAATGATCACCAGCTGAAGAAACTCTTCATTGATGATTTTAGATATATGAAATTCATATATTTGCACTGCAGTGAAGAAACAAAATGGAGAGACCCTCGCAACTAAGAACACTGCTGAAACAAGTCCTATTTTCAACTGCTTGTTTCAGTAGTGTTCTTAGCTGCAAGGGTCTCTTAATTTTGTTTCTTTGCCACAGTGCAAATATATGAATCTCTTATATCTAAAATCATCATTCATCACTTGGATTGTTTATTTGGACCCAACACATTGACCAGCTTCCAGTTGGCTTGTTAGCTCAGTTGGTAGAGGGCTGCACCAGTGTCACAGAGGTCATGGGTTCATATCCCATATGGGCCTGAATTTTTTTCAGGTCCTATTTTCAACTACTCATTTCAATAGTGTTCTTCGCTGCGAGGATCTCTTAATTTTGAAGCTCTTGATTGTTAAACAAATTCTCTTAGTCAGCACCTTAGAAAATGTATAGGGAACAGTATTGAGAATATACTTGTTGATTTAAGGGGTTAAAGGGTTATGAAAACTAACTCTCTTTTTTTCTCTGTTTGTGTTTTGTATGAAGGTTCCCCCCTCTCCATTTGCAGCTTCAAAACCTGCACCCACAAGAGAGTTAAGCTTTGAGATGGTCCAAGCTGAAGATTGTGAGCCAAATCCTCAGACATCAGAAGAAAAATCTGAGCTATTTTCACGATTAGAGGATGCTCTTATTAAACAAATTGAGGTGAGATACCTTAATCATAACAATGTTATGTACTTATCGTTCAAAAGTGCTGATAGGCCATAACTCCCTTATAAATTTATTCTTCACTTTGAAATTATTATCTGTCCCTAAAGTCTTTTATGAAAAGGTTATCAGAAGCTCTAGTAGAGGGGATAGTTTCTTAAAAAGTTCTGTTTTTCAAACTGAAATTTTAATTTTGGTGTAAGTAAGCACTAAGAATAAGATTTTAGCTAGATAAGAATTTTGCTTCATGTTCTTAAAGAGCACTTAAAAAACTCATAATTTGTGACTTTGGAGATATTTTCATTCTTTACCCTGCAGAAAAAGCTTAACCTGATAAAATGTTTAGGAATATATTTTATTTCACAGATGTGTGCCAGAAATGCTCAACATTACCAGAAGTTAGGTGATATAACCAACACTAAAAAGTAAGTTTGTAATATTAATAAAAATCATGTAATCAGCTACAGGCGATCACAAGCAGACCCATCCATGTTTTATAAGATATCTAAGGGAGATTCCCCTTGGCAGTCAATTTGTGTTTTTGAAAACAATTCATCCATTTGACATTGTTATGTTCAGTCACAGAGTAATTCTGAGACTGCTGTGTCTGTTCAAGATGACTTTCAAAGTGTACATAATTATTAATACTTGCAAAAGGATTTTGTGGAAATTAAGTGATCATACTAGAAATCAGATTCTGCTACTCGTGAGGACACAATTTCCGAAAGGACTTGGAAAGAATGAGGGGCTTGGAAATGACCTCTGTCAATCAAAAAAGGAAAATGGTCTTTTTTGAGTGAGAATTCACAATTCAGACATCAAAAGAAACAGAGTTATGTTTCTGATTAGTTTTAAAAAAAGCCTTTGTGAGGTGATATATTTTAGCTGTCACCTTGATTGTTCCTCTCTGTTCTCCCATTTCTTCTTGGTTTTAATTACATAAAGCTTTGACAAGATGGCAAAGAATTTAAGACAGGACCTTGATTCAGTTCAAAGTGCCCGGAAATACCAGGATCCTCCACCAAAATTCCATTATGAAGACAGATCATTTACAATTGTTGAGTAAGTCATCTTAAAAGCATTTTTTTATTATTTTTAAAAAGCTGTGAGCTAAGAAATATAACTTTGAAAGAGAGTTAATTTCAAGGCTTTATTGAGCCACAGTCACTGAAAAAGAAATAATTTACAAACTTTGTCTTCAAAGATGAAATAACTCTTGCTACACTATATCCTTTTCCAGCATCAGCCCTCAACCAACCCTCAGGCTTGAAATCTCTCAGAAAAGTGCTATGGCACATAATTTTTTTTTTTTTATAAGTTTTTAATTCAGAGTTCATTTTTTGATAATATACATTTTATCATGTAAGAACTGCATCATGCTCATAATGACTAAGGACAGGTCAGTTAATCCCAAACAATGCAAACAGTGAAAATTGAATTAGTATTACAGACAAGTAAAAACTCTGAATTCCAATTCACAGCCTGTGTTCAAAAAATTATGACAATTATTTAAAAGCTTGAGGGCAACAAAGGGCTTCCAGTTTAAAACTTTTTATACCCCTATAATTTTGAATTAGCACAGTTTCACAGAGAAGTGAAAGGCTTATCCAGGGCCTGTGTTTATTGCTATTTTTACTGCTAGGTGCAGTTAAGAGCATTGTGTCTTCAGTGGACCTGCTTGAATTCCCACAGCCATTCACAATGAATTTAATTATTTTAGATATATGAAAATTCACATATTTGCACTGCGGTGAAAGATTCAGTGAACACTACTGACCTGAAAAAAATTCCAGGTCCGTTGAACCCATGACCTCTGCGATACCGGTGCAGCGCTCTACAGCCATTCACAATTAATTTAATTGTGTTGTATATTGATATTTCTTACGGTGCATATGCATTTTTCAGTTCATTTCCAGATCTGAGTGATTCAGAGGTGGAGTTGACAATAGTTAGAGGGCTCAATATACCTCTTCCCTCAGGTGAGTACTTTGATTTACTGTTAGTAATTAATTGAATCCAGAACCTATTGCCAATTAATTACCAAAGCTTCATAGCCTCTGGGAAAGGTCTGGGTTCTTTAGTTATTTTGAATATCACGAATTTTGCATCGACGTACTGTAACTGACCCCAGTGGGCACATCATAGAGGGCGACCAGAATTTTGGCTGGTTTGGATATTCCGACAAAGACGACGTTGACGACAGATTCTTATACAATACTTTTCACGAAGAAATTTTATTACTTTCCTATTGCCTTATCTACTGTACCTGACCCATTTCAGCCAAGGTTTTCTAAATTGTAGGAATGCCCCATTATGGCTAATTTAGAGAAAGTCGACGTTAAGTGCGGAATATGGAAAATACTAGTGAATAGTGCCTATAGGATTTGTTTCATAGGGGAACACTTGATCACCTTTTTGTTACTGTTATTGTTACTTTGAAATTAACCCTTTAACATCCAGATCAAATCTGTAATTCTCCTTGCTTTCAACCATACAATTCTTACGATATTAGTTCAGAGAATTTAGTGCTGGATCAACTTATTATCCCCAAATTGATATTTTTCTTTATTCTCATCACTTATCTGGTTGACGTTGTATTGATATTGTAAGGAGAAATTCTGTCTTGGTCACTCACGGGAGTTAAAAGGTTAAACGTATGTTAAGAACTTTCTGTTGTGTAGGCTTACTTTGGGATGTTAATCTTCACTGTTTTCTTTTTAACACAGGTTATCAACCAAAGGACATGTACACTTATGTATCTTATGAATTTCCTTTTCCAAGTGTAAGTTCATAATTACTGATTTGTCAATGTAGTCTCCTGAGCCGCTTTTGTTTGGTCTTGTCATTCAACAGCCTGGCACCAAACAAAGGCTTTGGAGGACAATTCTGAGCGAGAAGCACAAATTTTTACTTGGTGATTGATTGATTTATTTAGTTTTTTTATCCTCTCTGCTCAAAGAGCCTTTTTTATCCCTATGTCCGAAATTACTGAACGTGACTTACGATAGATGTTTGGAATATCTTTCTGTTGTTAATCTTCAGGCAGATGAACCTCAGACCGGCAGGACACAAACTATTAAGCACTCTATCAATCCAGGTAAATGTTCTATTTTTTTTTTGTTTGTTTGTTTGTTTTTCTAGTTGTCTAAATTTTTATTTCAGTGCCTGCCCTAACTGCTTCCTTGTTTTTAAACTTTCTTTACAGATTACAAAGAGGTTTTCAAAGTACAGATAGATAGGAAAAATCGATCTTTAGGAAGAATTTTCAAGAGACAGCCCGTCAAATTTGAAGTCAAATATGAAAGGTATGACTTAGTTGCATTACCTATTTTTATAACTACTTCATTTCTCGTTAGTGGTCGTCCCGTTTTTGCTGGATGTTGTGCGGATAATCAAAGGGGTCGCTACATCCCTCCTGAGAGTGGGGATTAGCTATTGAAGTATTGGGTTAAAATTTGTTCAAGAATATTCTCTTGCTAGCCCTTACTGACAGACTGCGGGTGTGAATGGGGTGTTTCGGGCAGGAGAGGTAAAGGGGACGATCTGCGACAGGGTTCTCTTTTAGATACAGTCAAACCTGTATTAAGCGGCCTCCAAAGGGGAATGGAAGGATGACTACCAGTTCGACAGAATAGGGGTATTACAAAAAGATGATACACAACGCCGTTTAGTGCTATAATTGACAAATTAATGTGCAGAATCTCGCTCGGAAATACTACTTACTTTGCTTTTGGGAGAGATAAATGGATTAAAAATATTTTGAAAGATTCTTCTTAGTTTTATTTGAGTGTTCCTGCTTTCAGTGGCCGTTAAATACAGGTGAAAGACAATAAAAACAGGCGGTTGGGCTTAGTAAAGGGTGACCGCGACCGCTTAATAGATGTGACCGCTTAAAAGAGGTGAAAATTACAGGGATTAAGGGGAAACAAATTGGGGACTTAAACAACTGACCGCTTAATACAGGGTGACCGCTTAATATGATACTGCTTAATACAGGCTCAACTGCGCATGACTATGAATGCTGATATGATATCTTCCAGGGGCTTCCTCAAAGGTGACAAAGCTTTGGGACAAGTGCAAGTGAAGCTTACCCCATTCGATAACAAGTGTGAAATTCACGACTGTTTTGATGTAAGTGTTAATTTGGTTTGTTCTTTAATTGATGTTTTTATGGTGGACCCTAACATTAAAAGCCATATTCTCCATACTGTTCTCTGTACGTTTCCTAAGGAGCCAGATCTGTACGTACAGATCGTTTATAAATATATATATATATTTTTTTTTCCCTCAAGGTAATGGATACGGAACGTGGACGAAAAGCGGTCGGCGGGAAACTTGAAGTTCACATGAGGATCAGAGAGCCGTTGGTGGATAAAGATGTGAAAGTTGAAAAATGGAAATGGCTTGTTATTGATGTTCACTTGACGTCTAGGAAAGTGAGTGTGTTGGACGATTTGCCAGCTTACGAGTAGGTCCTCGTTATCAGCGCTTCAGCACGAGTGTTTCTTCGCCCGCGGGAAATTAGGAGGCCTTGAACAACGGGAGCCAGCGAGAGGTCTATAATGGGTCTGGAACTGATTATTAGTGCCAGACCCCCCCCCCCCCTGTAAACCTCTCCCCGACTCGTCTCAAATCTTCCCGTGGGCGGGAAAATGCGCGTCCTGCAGCCGCGTCAATAACGAAGACCTGCAGAGAGGCGAACTACTTTCTTATCACATACGTAATGATATTGGTATCTCCTGGAGAGTTCTATTTCAATAGCATGAACCTTTGAACAATTATTGTTATGTCAGACAACAAAAAGAACAAAACGCAAAAGAATGAGTATGGCTAGGAGTGGTGCAAATTAACGCGGAGTACAAATGATGCTCATGCAAATTGTCGACGAAGCTTTTAAAAATCCACGAACTTTAGCATAGCTTCTTTGGTTCGTTTTGGTTGCGTGTCTATGCAAATTGGGTTCTTCCACTTTGCATGGGCCTATTTTCGAACCAACTAGATATCATGAATAAAGGGGGTAAGATTCTAAAGAAACTGTGGTGCTGCGTCGGTAGGAGGGTATAACAGGGTAATTTGGTATTATCACCTGAGTTGATAACGTAAATTGGCCACCGTAAACAGTTTCAAAGCTGACATTTCGAGCGTTAGCCCTTCGTCCTTCGCTCTGACTAGGGGCTAACGCTCGAAAAGTCAGCTTTGAAACTCTCTACGGTGGCTAATTTACGTTATCAACTCAGTTTATGATACCAAATTATCCAATTAGATATCAACCAGTTTCTGGCTGGTCGTTTTAAGCTTCAAAAACTGATGGTTGATTGCCGGCCTCTCAGCCAGATATGTCTTAAGTAGTTTTTCTCAGAAATTCATGGCCAACATTTCACACGAGGTGGATAGTGCATATTTTGCATGAACTTCAGGGTACAGTGATCTTTCTTTCAGTCTTACGCAAATTAAAACTAAGTCAGACGTTAACATTTTTTGTTTGGTTAACAGGCAGGCGCTGTTTCTAAGGTGAGTGTATGTTTTTTCTTTCCAGGTCTTTTGCAATAATTGTTACCTATTAATTCAGACTTCATCTGTCAATGATCATTCTCTGTTTTCGGCTTTGATTGAAGACAAATTTATTACCAAAAAAAATGAGACAGTCACAATTTTTTTTGTCTTTGGTGGTCCTCTTTTGAAAACGTTGATGTGCTGTATTTTGAAGAAGGAAAATATATAAATGATGTAGTGCTATCTTATTCAGTCGGCTTGCTAAGTCGACATGCTAAGAAAATATCACGAGAAAAAGCATGTCAAGATGAAATAATACATTGTCAAGAAAGGATTTGCTAGGCCTGATTTAACCCTTTTAACTCCTAACACTTGATAGTTAATTTTCTCCTTCAACTTCTACACATTCCCTTGTGAATTAGTTACGAGAATTTGGTGTTAGATCAAGATAACGACGTCTTCCTGATAAGCTTGAGTATTCTCATTAACTGTTTGCTGGATAATGTATGTATGTTATAGGGAGAAGTTACTTGTTAATCACGTCTAGGAGTTAAAGGGTTAGCTGGAACATTAGTTGATTAGCCTTGACGATGTTGGTCATTGACAAGTGTGTTCAAAAGAAGACAGAACAACCATTTTTTCTCGACAACTGCGATGTGGTCGGTCATAGGTTTGTGCAACAAGTTTAGATGGATAATCAGATTGACATTGGATTGGTTTCCTCTCTTAGGAACCGGCTAATTTGCCACCAAAACCTGGCAAAGTAACAAGAGGACCAGAGTGAGTACATTCATTTGCACTGATCGCTATTTAACTTCAACATGATTAAATGTGCTGTTGGTAAAAACTACTCTAAGACAAGTGAACGAGCTGTTAGTCTATCTTCACATAAATACACATTTGGGTTATGATTGAAGTATCTTCTAGTGTGGAAATAAATGTTGTATAATAATGTTATATAATAATTAAATAATATGTTATAAATGTTAAAATGAAATGGGATTACTGTTATTTTTATTATTAGTAGTATTACTATTATTATTGTTATTAAGTCCTTGTGTGTTACGCTGTATCGCCCCGCCTACTCCAACCTTATGAACAACAGTCCTGGCATGATATCTTCAGTTATAATACACACACTAACAACCTAACAACAACACAAGAAGCTGCCTGCTAGTCCACAAACTCGAAGGAAACTGTCTCAACTAGTAATTGCCTATTTTGCGCAATCTTTGTTAGAAACCATGTAAGAATACGTTTAGATTTTGTGTGCAGTTTGGATGAATTCTGATGACCATACAGAAGTAATTGTTCAGTCTTAAGTTGGTGTTATTTCCAACATTTACTACTCATAATTTTTACTTTTTCAAGATTAAGTGAAGAACTGAGATTCATCGCTCGGCTGCATTCTAAAATAAGTGTCAGTGAAAACCTCAAATTATATACCAGCAACTCTTCCTGCATTTTATTTTTAATGGCCGGTTTTCACTTTTTTTCAGGAAGCAAAAGCGTTGCGAAGCAAATAAATAGCTTATTTGAAATAAAAGATAAAAAGCAGCTGGGAAAGCGAAGCATCGGCACATTTTTGTGTTATTTAAGAACTTTCGTGAACTAATGACATAGTGAAGCAATAGTTTATACTTTAGTAAAGAATAAACTTTGTGATTAGTAAACCATCTTTGATGGTCTGAGTTTTTGTATAAAAGAGATTGTCGCTTTTAAAGCATGGTTGTTGCACCATGTGAAATTTTCTTCGTGAAATTGTTCAGCTGTTCAAGTGTATTTGAGAGTTTCCTATTTTCTTTCAAATCATTTATTCATGTCTCTCTTATCTATTTCGTTCGTAGCGCCAAATCAGCAGTTTGTTCTGTCAGTTGACAAGCTCGTGGCCTCTAAGAGGGAGGATTAAACTGAAGACTGAAAACCATACTTGTCAGTCAGCCAAGAAATCCGGCATTGAAAGTTCGACTAAGTTAATTTTAAGCGCATCGTTTCCCTCTGTACACTATATCGAGGCTTTCATACGTCATCACCATGTATCTGCATTATATCGAGGCTTTTATACGTCATCACGGTGTTTATCTAGGAGTACTTGACATTTGTTTATTAGTATTCTTTCATCACAGATTTTAAAGGAAAGTTAAGCTATGATTAGAATCTAACAAGTGCAGCTGGTACTGCGCCTAAGTTTAGCAAAACATCGTGGATCATATTTGCCGAAGTTTGTGTTTGAGGATGTGTATGAAAGTTCAGAAATACTCTTACCTCCTTCATCTAAGCTGCGAGTAACATATTTTTTCGTTATCCTTAAGACTAATTTTGATAATGATAGAAATAAATTATTAAGATTCTTCAACAGTTCCCATGTGTTTATGTACTAGCAGGCTAGTTCTTCCACTTAAAAATTATCAAGAAATTTGGTTTGTAACGCTGTAAAAAATGCTCGAAGGAGCTTAAACTTCGTGTTTGTATATGTAGAAATGCTTTTGCCTCGTCGTCGTTGTTGTTGTATAGAAAACCAAGAACTGTCGTTAAAATATGTAGTAGTTTAGGTTGACTAAGAATTTTTAACACGAGTGTGAAATAACAGTACAGAAAAGAGTGTAAAAGAGTGGATTAATACAGAGTAATATATATGACTTGAAAAAATAGTTTTCGCCGCTTCACGTTAGGTAGACCACCTGTTCAGGCATAACTTGTTTGTCAAGCAGATAATATAATAGAGAGATTATAATAAATACTGATTTTTAACGTTTTTAGAAAAGACACTGCGGTTAGAATCGTATCGAGTCTTGGGCTCTGAGAAAAGATAAAATTAAATGACCTCTGATAAATGGTGAAAATCATTTTTCAGTCCTCTGGTAAATACCTTTTGTAAATTATTAAATGAGCGCTTTCCCCTTCCCTAACCCAAACGAGGAAAGTTTTGACCTCTAAATCGCCTAGTTGGCGGCTTTAAGATGGAAAAAGGTAGCTCTGGGTGTAAATGAACAGAGATGGACAGACTGCTCACTTTTTATACGTTCTCCTTAGTATATCACAAAGGATGAGTTTCTGTCTCTTATTTTACGGTTTTGGCAACCGTCTTCATTCAACAGTTTCACTCAGGTAAACTGATTTTTTTTTGCATCGTTTTACTTTTTAATCTTTTTGGCGCTGTTTCTTTCTAGTATTGCGACGGAATTTGCTAGCTTGGAGGTCTTGAAACTGGAAAAACAGATCGCCGAAAAACAGGTGAACTTATATTGCTAATTATTTTACTAAGTGTTGGGTAGTAACGCCAGAGAAGACCATGCAAACGGGCAATGTTCGTACGGCGTATGTGACCAAGTCGATGAAGCGGGCTCAGACATGTTTTCAGACAAATATGGTTGGGAAGATAACGCGAGTCCCAACGCTAAGCCTATTCACGGTACATTCTCTTGTAAAATACTTATTACTAAAGTTATTATTCCTCCAACTCTTCTCTACACAATTTCAATGGAATGGAAACAAATTATGAGTCGTACAACAAAAGAGAACCAGCTGCTGTTTCTCGAGTCAACTTATGTTACTATAAAGATTCTATGTAACGCGCGTTCTGATTGGCTGAAACCGCGTGCTTTATCAAACCTAAGACGCACGGAGTAGTGCTCTCACGTCATCGACCCATTTGTACCAAAAAAAGACAAAAACAACAACAAATAAAGAAGCCTCGACTAAGCTCTGTTCTGTTGTAAAACAGTCAGGAAGCGACCAGAGCTCTCAAGAAGTAAAGTTTGTCCTACACTTGTTTCGTGCACTAGCCACTTCCTGCGTGCTTTACAGCAGAACAAAGCACAGTCGAGCCTATTTTGTGAGTCAAAGAAACAAACCGATAGCTCCTATCAGGAGCCAGAGGTGGTAAGGTTCACTATCACCATCCGTCGTGACTGCGTTGACACATATCTATTCACTGATGCTGATGGTGCTGATCATGTTTGTTTTGTGTCATAGATTGCTGCTCATAAAGCCAAAGGAGAAATGCCTCCTGCAGTCCTCATACAGCGCTGCAAACTGTGTCAGCAGAAGATAGCTGAAGTGGAGAGGACTCTATCGAGTGGTGACAAAAACGTATTGACAAGTGCGTATGAGCTTATCTCCTTTTTTCTTTAAAATATTGCACGAAGCAGGACAGGAATAGCTTGGGTGAATGTATCACGCAGAATGCATTGGCATCAGTGATTATAGCCTCAAGGGTTTGAGAGACCGAATACTTGTGCGCTTTGAAACGCTTGGAACAAGTGACGAAATTGGCCCACAAGGACTAGAAGAGCTCAATTTCTGATTCAAAGGGTCATTAAATCAACTTATTCAAGAGGATTGCCGTGTTTTTGGTTTGTGCCGAAAACCAGATAGATGTTTAGGGTAAAACTCCCACGTCACAGTATACACTTCTTCACCTCCTTCTCAAGGCTCTAAGTAAGAAAGGATGCCTGTCGCGTTATACTGTGTAAAGAACTAAACAAATAGCCCGACTACTTTCTATTTAGGACGTTTTTATTCTGACATTGGTGTTTAATCCGACAGACTACATACGTCAACTTCAAACGAAGATCCCTCAAGAGCATGCTAAGGCGCAACAAGTTTTGAAAGCTGGCAACAGGAGTGAAGCTCAACTGTGTTTAACCAGGAGAAAGCTGATGGAAAACGAGGTAAATATGAAGTGTAATTTAGTGTGAAGTGTGACTGGGCGTGATTGATTTGTGATGAGCGTGAAAGAAGGCTTAGTCAGTGTGCCAAGAAAAGGCATTTCCAAGTATGACGATATCGTCATTTTTCAATACCATTACTGTTCTCGCGGTTAATTAAACAAGATTGACTGCAGCTAAATTGAATTTCGCCTATCAGTGGTAAAGATCAAAGGAAGCAAAGGCGTAGGGAAAATGATCAGGAATTTGGGTGAAATTCACTGCTTGGTCAGTTTTAAGTAAGCACTTTTATCATGAGCCGTTTATGGCCACTATTTACTTTTTCATCCACCCATCAATTTATCCATCATTCCTTTTATTTATTCATTCATTTCATCAATGCTTAGCATGATTCAATGTGCTTAACTCTTACTAACCGAGTCCGAGGTCCGTCCTGTAAGTTACGTGAAGCGCGCGCGCGCCATAAATCCGAGCGGAAAAAAACGAGGTTCCGTAACTTACAGCATGGACCGAGAAAACGAGGTGAGTATAATATTTATTATATCTCTGGATTCAAATAGAGAGAAGACTTTAATTCAAAACAACTTTTGAATTTAGCGGGCCCTACGGCGAAATACGAGTCACTAAATTGACCAATCACAGCGCACGTACTTACTGTTTCCATGTAAGAAAAATATAAATTATCACCTTTTTGTTTTTTGCTCTTGACAGGTCTCTACTCTTAAGTCTCAGCTTGGTATACATTAGATATCGATAACTGTCACAACCATATGATAAGGATATTAAAAATAATAGAGCCTATCATGAATTTCGTTGCTTATATCTTAAGCACATGTTAAAGGTTTTTTGTTAGGGAAAAACCTAAAATTGTTATAACTTAGGTGAGAATTGTGTTATAATTTCTCTTTGCACATAATATGATATCTGTCTGCGAGGTTTCTCTATTAAACTCGTAGATCGTTAATTAAGGAATACAGCAAAGTTCCTTGCACCTCAGTCACAAAAGCAAAAATCAAAAAGTTAAAGCATGAAGTTTTTTAAACAATTTTTGAACAATATCAAAACATTGTGACCTACGTTTTTTTTTTATGTCACTGGATCTGTAATAGTAATTTGTGGGTTTCGCCTTAATCTTTTTTTTTTTAATCCATGGCGAAATTTTCAGAAATTTTCAGTTATATGCCTTTGATATGAAGATGGTAGTATAAAACACTCTCGATACGTTACTTTTTCCCTACTTTTGCTGAGGTATTTAAAATGTTGCACGCACTGCAAATTCTTTGTACACAGGAACATATGATGAGATTTCCAAATAAACTCTCCATTGACTTTAATCCTTTGTCAAAAATATTTGTGTCATACTTGAAACTGGTTGCGGCATCTTTTATTCTGTGCTGCGCACTCATATTGAGAACGAAAACTCACCAACGCAAGATGCGAGCATTCTATATCCTTTTGTGGTAACTTTTGGTGATTTCGTGAAACAAACACTGCGGTCAGGAAGGCAGTCGGTTGATCAAGGTGTTCGAATTTGTAGTACATGTTTCAATGTCATACGCACCTTTTTCACTTACAATAACTTAGAGTGGTGGTGAGATGTCGTTTGAATTTTTAACAACCTTAGGAGGCTTACATAATTAGTTAACTTTTCAGTCTAAAAATTTACATAATGAACTTTTAATTTAAAGTGGGATTTTCCTAGTTGATGTGGAGGCTCCTTTACTATGTAACAAGTTTAAACGGTTTTTCCAACACTTATTAAACAAAGAAATAACCCCCGCAAGTGGACTGCAATTAAAGCCATTGCAGAAACTGAAGCCTGAAAACAAATTCAGGTTTTGACAGGATTCGAACCCAGGCCTACATAGTTAAGTGCATGTTACTACTTACTGAGCATCGAAGCAACACGGCGGAAGGGAGGGAAATTATAGAGGGTTCATCTTTCCCTTAATTAAAAGAACCTGATCAAAATTTTAATGAAACATTGTTACAAAAAAGGATATGTCACATCGAAACATGTTCCCGCATATACTTTGCCACCGTCTTTCATGTTAAAAAGTGAGGTTAGTTGAGCTTATGGCGATGAGTTTACAATGTATCACATTTTTTGACATGAAGCATAGCCGCGCTAAAGACAGAGCACAGCGTTGGATATGACGAGTCCGTTACATTCAGGTCACGTGTTTCATTTTTCCTGTTGACTGTACACGAGAAAGATATCAGAGAACCTTATAAAGCATGTCATTATTTAAACTTCGGTGTTTTATAAGGATTTCCAGCCCTGAGAAAAGCTTTAACTGCTCAAATGTAAAAAAATACGATATTTTTTTTCGTGTGTTTGATATCCCCAATCAGCCGCTGACACGTCATTCGCCTTTCGCACCACTCATTCTTTAAGAAAGTCGACTTTTCTTCTCAGTTAAGGTCTATGGTGTTTCTATATAATAAACAACATAGTAGATACGAAATTTCTCTTCTCGTGTTCAGTACTGTTCAACCCGATATCTCACGAGTAAGTGCATTCCATATCGACGCGCGCCTATATACTACTCTCCATTTAAGACGCACAAATTTCCGGTATCATGTGATATCATTGTCAAGTGACAATTTAAAGAGAAAAAAAACAGCCAAGTTAAGATAAACTTGTAGTGTGTCAGATGGTTTTATGCCGAAGAATACACGAGTAATGATATAGTGTAAATTAACGGCTGATTAGCTTGGATGATTAAACACCTAGGTCAGTCAGGGTGAAGCAAACAAATACTTTGCCGCAAGTTTAGTCAACGCACTATCAGGTTCCATTCGAGCGTGGGTATTTGTTTGGTTCAGAAACTTAGGTGTAGGTCAATCAAGTACTAATTTACACCTCATCATTACTGGTTTATTCTTTTGCATAAAACTTAACCTTTTCCTTTTAATTTTCACTTGACGGTGATAATCTGACAATATCCGAACTTTGTGCGATTTTCTTCACTGAAAAGCTGAACCAAACGAACCCAGAAGGTTCTGCGCTAATCTTGCACCGCAGACGGCAGCTTGTTATAAACAATAGTAGGTTTGTGTGGTAACTTCGAGGCTGAGAATCCAAACTCGACAATTATGATTTTGTCTCATGAAAATCGTATTGTTGATACAGAATGTTAGAAAAGGTCGATAAAAATTTAAGGGTGAGCCGGTCAATCGTGAACATACTAAAGCACTGAATATAGCGGCAAAGGCATTCGATGTCAGTCATGTTGTTGAAAAAATGAGTGGTCATCCAGGATCAAAAATTTAGCTTAAAATTTCATTTCTGTCCATGCACATTCCCTTATTTAGAAAACTTCGAAAGATTCTTAGTCCTTAAATATCTCCACAATAACATTCTTTCTGTTAATGAGTCGCCGAGTTCTCAATCGTTAGCGGTTGGTTCTTGAGGTTACTAAAAATTCCAGAAGGAATCCGGGTAGACGCCAAATGTGATGGGTTTCATTTATAAATACAATTAATCATCATCGCGACCTCGAGGGATACGGCTGAAGAAGCAAGACTTATTTTTAACACTGTCTGTTTCTCTTTTTAAGACTTCATTAGCGGCTGTGAGCTTTCTAGTGTTAACAAGTTTAGTATGAATGTTTTTAACTTCATTTGAATTCTGACAATTTTTGTTTTACATATTTTTCGTATCCCGCACTTTTAAACCACATTCAAAACGAGAAACAAAATGAAAAGTTAGCTATTCAAATCGAAGTCCTGCTAGCAAATGTAAAATCGCTTAAGGGCCGTTCCCACTTATGTGCGAGTAGTGGAGGCGCGCGACAACGGACGCGCTTTCACTTTTCCCGCGCGCGACTAGGCTGATCGACGCGCGCGAACAAAGAACTCGCGAGACAGAAAGCATTTCGCGCGACGTACCGCAACACCTTATGTTTTAGCTTTTAAAAAGGCTGTCTGAAGTCCTATGCCTTGCTTTAGACTTACACAATGTATACTTTAGTCGTCACTAGTGTTATAGCTGTGTAAAAGGCTTTCGTTTTAAGTAATTGAGTCCAGTGAGTCAATTCAATCTTGATCGAGAGAGTGATGGTCAGCAGGCCCCCGCTTCCCCACCCCTGACATAACTCATTCACGCATTACCAAAAGTACTCAGCTTTACGTGAAGACTCCTATTATGTTCATCTATTGTTCTTGATCATTCTCTCGGTGCTTGGGCAAGTTCTGCATCAATGAACTCTACAATGAATATGCCAAGAGTCCATGCAGAAATTCTGGAGAAATCGTCATCCGCCAACTGGTTGAAATGTCGGTATTACTTTGGTGAGTTTTGACACGCGGAAAGGATTGTTAACAAAATTTTGAAATGGCACTCATTCATCAAGAATTACAGAAAATCAGTTCCTGTATACGTGTTGTAAAATGCTTATTGTTGCGTTACCTGCTATCTCATTTCCATATCAAAGTAAACCTACGTGCCCAGAGTGCTTTTAGTCAGTAATAATATTCCAGAAGCATCAAAGTTATCGGCATTAGCGCTCGGCGTCGCTTGGAAGACTTTGGTTCGAACAAGATGGTGTGCTTTACTCCAAAAGTTTACTTTCTAATTCTGCTTTGCACATGGATTTCTTGCCAGTTTTTCGTTCCATCGGATTCACGTGCCTTGTTTAGCTTTAGCAGAGTTAGACGGGTAAGTTAAAGTTTTTTTTATTTATTTATTTAAAAGCAAGGTCAACTTAAAAGATATTTGAGGATCGTTGTATAGGTCGTTGGTAAGAGCCCTAACTTTTCGCGCTGTGAGTAAACAACGGTTTCTGTCGTTTTTAGGCGACTGAGGAGAATGTTGAGAATAAGACAAACAGCTCCGACGAAGGACGCCCTCCGTGCGAGGAAGACATGAACGGGCCTTATCCTTGTTCGTCTACGGTAAGTTAAAAAGTAGTACCGAAAATTTTCCTTAGCACTAATGTTCAGGTAATGTTTAGTTTTGTGTGACCCGTCATGAAAAATTTGATTCATTTTAACCGCGTCCGATCAAGAGTTCCATCGTCGCTCGTGATCGTTCACGCGAAAAAAGCGAAGTTTAAGCTAGCAATCGTGAGTACATCCTTGCATGAGATTTAAATAATTTCCGCCAATTTGGAGACAAAACATGGCTGTAAAAGTAAATTTTTTTCTCGTTCTCGTTGCTTAGAGAATGGCAAGTAAATATGTGGAAAATTGATTACCCTAAAAGGCTGCTTTACGGATTTGTGATCTGTTCTTCGCGTTTTAAGTTGATTGTACACTTCTGTAACTGTCTAAACGGGCGTGTAAACAATCGTATGGTAATTTTTATTACGCCCATTTTAAGTTTTACCCCGGGCCTTGATCGACACATAAGTATTCAAATTGAGAAGCGATTTCGTTTGAAACACCTAAGTTATTAGTGTTGTCCATGAACAATTTTTTTTTCTTGTCATGGTTATATACTGTGTTGGCTAGTTCCAATTTTCTTGGCGAAAAGACTAAGTGTTTGTTCACGGTCTACTACACCTGTTTGATTGTACAGTCTTTGTTTAAATACTACAGATATATCTTTTTTTTGTTTTTAATGCTAAAGTTTACCTCGTACGTGTTCTTGTGCTCGATTTTATCCTCGATCACGAAAGTTATCTGGAAAAGAACAATTTCAGAGCACAAATCTATCGCTCAGAAATATTTTTAGTGAACATAAAAGCTAAAAAGAGCTCTAGTCATTGAAGTGTAAAAATATATTGATTTCTTAGACGAGGGGTGCGAGTTTCTAGATGTTGCTACGTGTATGTGGTTGCTTATCAAAGCTGAAAATTTTCTGATAATTTTATAAGTCGTTTCCTGTGGCGAACTACGCAAACTTTGACGAAATATGATACAGAAGAGACCAGCGACAGATATGGTCACGCACGTTTGTCGAGTTCGGTCGTTTTGTGAATTATCAACTCTTGAAATTGTTAATTTATCATCCTAACACTATTTAATCTTGAAAAATAAAACAGGTGCGGCAATAAAAATCTGAAACTTTGGTTTGCGGAAATCGTTGAAGTGAAAAAAGTAATTAAAAGACTCGTTTTTTCCAGCTCAGTGATTATTTTGGCGTCTTCAAGTTTCAAAAGAAGGACGCCCAGCGCAGTATGTCTTTGATATGTAAATACTTGTTTTCGATTCTTTTCTGGAGTCAGCTAAATTTAGGTTAACTCACTGCTATATAGGATATACATTTATCAAAATTTTCCGAGTATCTGAAGTTTGATTGTAGTAAATAGTAAGATATTTGTGTGTTTGGAACGCTATATACCTAAATTTTTTTCAGTTTTGCATGCAGACATTGATTAATACCTCTGGTCCACATAATCAATTTAAAAGCCAACTAGCTTTCAGTGTTTTTTAAGCTTGGTTGCTTCCAATGAATAGGTGATTGTTGTTTGCGGCTTTTAAAAGCAGTTTAGGTCTTGGCTCTTGAAAGTTCCTAAAGGTGGTTGTTTGTATGACACACCTAGCTACTTAGCATAATATTTGATGTAGAGAAATTTTCTAGATCTCAATAGAAGAATGACAGACTCCTAATGATAGACTTTTGACTTTTTTTCCCACAAGCAGCTTTGTAGAATGCCAATACTTGATTCAAACATGAAATCGGGTCTTTAACTTTTGTTTTTGTCTCTGATTATTTTGTTATAGGGACAAAGAAATTTTCATACAACAATTTCTCCCTTTCCACATATGAAACAAATTTGTCATAGCTTAATCATAGTCAGTTGTATAGCTTGATAATATGCTGAGGTGTTCAAAAGAGATCTGCGCATTCTTCAAGAATGAGAAATACTTCTAATTGTATCTGACTCACTCATGATTCTGCTATCAGCCAGTCTTAAACAAAAGATTTGTTTTATTTGGTAGAATTGTTGACTAAATCTGTTGTCAGTATGGCCCTTGTTGGTCTATAAGCCACACCATAGAAATGCTTTTGCAATCTGGTGCATCAAGCTTAAAAGCTATTGTTTTAATGTAGAATTTACTCAACCTTGTATCAAAAACCAAAAACTTCATTGTTGGCTGTAGATAACTGTTGCTTATTTCTATTCTAATCTTTGCAGATAACTGGTAACCTGTTGCTGATGGTGTTTTATGGCGCTATCCTTGGAGTTGCTGCGAAATGCATTTCTGGTATGTTTTTAATAAGTTTTTTCAGAGAACTTAGTTGTTGGGTTCATAGTTAATAATGCATTTTAATTTTGTTTTTCATTGTTGCAGATGGTGCTGAACTGTTGTTGGATCTTGGCTGTAACCCTTCTCTGATTGGTAAAACGGCTTCTCTGTTTAATTGTAACTGCAATTTATACCATGTAGTTTCTACAAAACACTATACCATTGACCATACTTCTTGTGATTAAAATATGAAACACGACTGGCCATCATTTTTGATTCACCTCACTCTGGAGCACTTTGTTAGAGTTAGCTGTGATTGGGAAATGCGAATGGGAAAATCTTTATTCCAGGCTGACTTGTATAGGAGTACTGCTACATCTTGTGGACTGGGTACCAGTCCATCTTAAGTAAAACTCCTTACAGCAGCCTCTGGGGATTCCTAGAGAGCTCTTTGTACCCAGTGACATTCCTGGGTGGAGGATGACAATGTGATAAAATATGTCTCGCCCACAAACACATCACAATGTAACTAGTCTCATCTCAAACCTGCACATTTTAATTTGGACTTTAGGGTAGTAACCATAAGCCACAAAATCTCTCTCAAATAGACAACATAACTGTTTCAAAAAGTTTGATAAACAAATGAGAATATCTGCTTTTATTTTTCAGGTGGTATTGTTCTTCCTTTGTTGGGAGCTGTACCAGACTCGGCTATCATCATTGTATCGGGTTTGGGAGATGATGCACAGGATAAGTTGTCTGTTGGCATGGGGTACGAAAACAAATGTTACTAATTTAGTTGTTCAAGTTTGTGTTAATTTGCAACCTACCTGAAAAACATTAAACCTTCCCTCATCTTTCATTTTTTTTTTTTTCACATGGCTCTGTTGTTTTGTGTTGCTTTGTCTCTGAGCATTGTCATCGTGTAAATCTAACAAAACATCACACTGAATTTCAAGTTTTTTTCCTATAATCCATGTTAATCTTCTCCATCCATGGCCAACTTTCTTCCCTCTTGATTTAGTCTGCCCTCTTTTTTTGTTTTAGCATCTTCCTGCACTAAAGTTTTATAGTCTCTTTCAAGTTATGCCTAATGTAAGCATAAAGTGTGAAATTGATGAAATTATTTCTGTTGTCAATATGAATCCACTTTCATCACTGCTGATCCTAGTGGTATAAAAGATGCTTGTCAGATAGCAACCTGGACCCAGTTGTTGAAAGGGGGAATAGTACTGGGATAGCACTATTCCCCCTTGGAACAATACCAGTGGATAGTGTTATACACCTTATGAACAACTGGCCCCTGGTTTGTCTGGCTAAGCTAACAAATAGAGATCTGTGAAGCTCATTTGTTTAGATACCAAAAAAAAAAATTTTAAAGGCTTGATTTCATATGGGGGCCAAGCCTTAAAAATATACCATATTCCTAAACCTCTGGGAATCAACATAAATTATTGAGACTCTTTTGATTGTCTTGTGCAGGACATTGGCAGGCAGTACCATCATGTTACTAACAGCAGCATGGGCAGGAAGCTTGGTGGTTGGAAAGTGTGACCTTGATGTTAATGGTGAAGCCATTGAAGGCAGTGGATATGGAAAGATCAGCTGTAACAAACAGGTAAGTCAGAACCTCAAATACTCTTTATCTTTATAGTCTTGGTGATTTGAGGATTCAGTGCACTTATTCATCAAATGGCGCAAAGATTAGAGACTAATTTTCTTGGAAAGGGCCTATTAAACCTCCTAAGGGTTAAGCCTGATAGGTTAAACCTCTATCTGGAACCAGCTCGTCCCTGCCAACAATTTCTCATGTTTGGCAGAAAGAATTCAGATATCACAGCCTTGATTATCACACTGATGAAATGGGTGTAGTTTTAAAACTACTTTCATCAGTGTGATAATCAAGGCTGTGATATCTGAATTCTTTTGCCAAACATGAGAACAGAGGCAGGGAGAGCCCAGATAGAGTGTTTAACCTATCAGGCTTAGCCAGGAGGTTTACATCTTTGTTTATCTTCATCAAATGTGATCATAAAAGTACTGATAAACTGAGAGTAACATTGTTGTCTTTTACCAACAAGTTATTTTTAACCCTTTAACTCCCAAGATCTGACTGCTAATTCTCCTTTCTAGTTGCTACACTTTTCATTGTGAATTAGTTAGGAGAATTTGGTATTAGATATAGGTAACAACTTCTACCTGATAAATTTGAGTAGTCTCATCACCTGTTTGTTTGATAATGAATGGATATTGTACAGTAGGGAGAAGTTACATGTTGTCACTTCTGGGAGTCAAAGAGTCGAAGGGTTAAGAGTGCTGTTTGTTTTACAATCCAAATGAACAATTCCTACAGTCTTCTCCACCCCCCCCCCCCCTTTAGTGTTTATTGTTGAGATTCCATGGTCATTAAATTATTTGTGGTCTATCTTCCATTTTAGATCAATAGCAATTTGTTTTTGTTTTTGGTTTTTTTTTGGTTTTTTTTTTTTTTTTCAACTAAGCTTCTGTTTTATTTTAGGGTGTGACAATCTTGCCCAGTGTCAAGACAGCTGTAGGAATTATGCTGCTTACCTCACTTTCATACTTGTAAGTAACACAGAATTTCATCAACCCATTACACCCCAGCATCAATATGAATTTTCTCCTAACTATATGGTACTAACATGGAAATTTCATTTAACAATCAAAGCTTCTTAGGTTGGTGATCATTTCCTTTATTCTCACAATCTTAATGAATGATTCGGCAGTTTTATTGTAAGGGGAAATTAGATACTTATCACTCTTAGGGTTAAAAGGGTTAACAATGTTGGGAAGCTTTTCAAAGTTTGAACTTGTGAATAGTCACTTTTTTTTTTAGTATTGTACAAGGAGCTGACTGGCATTTTGGCCCACATAACTTTGGACCTCAGCCGGATTATGTGCGCAAGGCTGCTTTGGCAACCATGGTCATTTGCTTCATTGGCTTTGTTGCCTACCTGATTTTCTTGGTAAGTTTATCTTTGATTTATGATAATTATAATAATTAATAACAATTACAATGATTAAATTTTGTACAGTGCAAATTCCATGAAAGAGTGACCAAATTCACTCATTATTACTGATGGTATGATTGCACTACGTCAATGTGTAGAAATGCCAAAGAGTCTGGTTGAGGGAGTGCATGTCTGTTGACAAACAAAGAAGTTCATTGACTTCTTTGTTGACTTGCTGACTAGCTGGCTGGATCTGGCGACTGACTGGCTGTTGGTTGACTGGCTGACCAGTCAACTGACTGGCATATAGGCTGGCTAACTTACTAACATACTGAGTGACAGACAGTAAGCTATCCAGCCAGCTATCTGACTGGTCAGTAGCTTTGTGAGCTAGCTGATAAGCTACAGTGTAACTGACTGGGAAGTTGGCTTACTGACTGGCTTAACTGACCAATCAGCAGACAGCAAGACAGATTGACTGACAAATGTATTAACAGATAGGAAGAGCTAGAAGGAGGAAGGTTACTTGTGAACATCATTTTGGACTGCAAAGATTGGGTATCACTGATAGACTAATTAAGTTTTCCTTGATCTTCTTTCAATCTCTAGTTTGTTGACAGCAAGTCAGCCGAAATGAGAGCAGATAAGCATCGTCAAGAAATGCAAGTCAACCTTACTTTTTATTTATCTAACATTTAATTAATTTATCTAAAATTTTAAAAAGCTAAAGCATGTTGTCCAGATTAGTTAACCTATAATGCAATTTTTCCTTGATATGCGGGTGTTTTTGTTATCATTGACCTTAGGATGCAGCGAAGGGTGCTACACCGTTTCGTCATGATGGCCAAGAAAACAATGCCAGGCAGAGCTGATAACCTTGATGGGGAAGACAAAGTTGCACAAGAAAGTAAGTAACAAATTACAAGTTAATCATATCTCCAAGGTTATGTCAAGGAGTGTACAGCAAAGTAATTACAAATGTTTGGTTTTGTTTTGCTGGTGCTTTGTGATTGATCCAGAAAATGTTTGCCACCCTCATTTCCAATCATATTTAAAACCAATGAAACCAATCTTTATTTGGCTTTGAGTGTTTTTGGTCAGATAACAAACCTGAGGGCATTTTCTTTGAGTTCTTATTGGCTTATTGTGATATTTCCCACAACCTTTAACACCCTTATATCAGTATGCATATTCTCAATAATTCTCTCTATACATTTCCATTTTTGCTGATGAGGAGAATTTGTTTAGGTTTGATTCAGGGATGATTGCATAGGGAGAATATGCTAATTGTTTTATGTTACAATAACACTACATTGAAAATCATTTTCTCATCACATTTGGTGAGCTATAAATTTACATGGTTGATGTGAAGTCACAATTGGGACGTGTTTTTTTATCAAGTTCATGTGCAGAAGAAATACTTCAAAGCTTGGCGTCTTGGTGCTGGAATGGATAAAAAGCAGCCATCTGAGACAGACCCCATCATGCCTAAAGATGATAAGGAGGTAGAGAAATAAGTATTTTATTATAACACTTTACACCCTAACATCAGTATGCATATTCTACATACTGTTCTTTATACATTTCCTAAGGTGCTGGCAAGGAGAAGTTACATAACATATCAAGAGCTTTTTTAGTCAGTGATCGTTTGCTTTATTCTCCTGACCTTAATGTGTGATTCAGGGTTGGTAATGTAGAGAGAAATTAGATGCTAGTCACCCTAAGGGTTTAAAGGGTTAATAATGCATCAAGTGATACTAAGCTGGTAGCATTGCTTCCTTTCAGCTCAGTAACTCTTTCTTGCCTTACTCACTCCTAACTTTCAATTGCCAGAATCTAACCAATAATTACTTTTGTCACACAAAAATGAATTTTTACAGTTTTCATCAAATGTGTTTCATTTCCAAAAAAATTTTATGGTCTCTGTACCTGCATGGCTTTTGTCAGAATAAGAGGTGAAATGAATTAATAAAAATGGGCTCAAAATTTTCCTGCAAATTTTGAATTCTTTCTTTTACCATTACCACTTAACAGGAACTTATTCACAAAGATTCTTTTGAAATTGAGGTGAGTATTATCTTCCACAGAAGCAAGAATCAAAAAACACTACTGTTGTCATCATTTATTCCCACATCTAAGCTCCATGATTCTATCTTTCATTTTCAGCGATCTCTTGCACATTTTTACATGTAACAGCCATGTTCGTTGAACCTTCCTTCCTTTTTAGTTATTAGCACTCTAAAAGAGTCGTGTCAAAGCAACTTATTGATTCATCATTTTTATCACTGTTTTTATCACCTCACTGCAATCTACACATATTTTCACACCATTGGTAAATCATTTATGGAATATAAAGTAATTTTTTTATCACATTACTCTTTTTATTATCTTCCTCTGAATTACTTAACTGCAATTGCCTTGCTTTAATAGCAAACTAATGTTGTTAATATACTAACCACCTTGATCTAATGTTATTCTAAGTAGTTTGGTGTTGTTATCTTGTCCATTTTATGACTAAATAATTCAATATTATTGTTAATGTGAGAATTTTAACTCTGTTCTGTTTTAAAATAGTTTTAACTTGTGATTGGTATTATTTGGAATGCATGGTTATTGAAAACTTGGAAATGATCAGTTTTTCAGGATCTGTGCTGAATAATGTTTTTAATCTTTGATAGGAAGAGGAAGAAGAGGAGGAAAGCACAACTCATTTGGCCATCAAGTGTGTCAGCCTCCTTGTTATCGGAGTTGGTTTGGTGAGTAAATAAGACTGATTTCAACAAATAAGACAACAGATAGTTTTTAGGACTCAGAATTTTTCCTTTTTTTCCACACTCATGACAAGACGAAAAACATCTTTCTCTTTTTTTTTTTACCAAGCTCATAACGTACCATCTTATTCTATTCACAAACATGACCCTATCAACATTGCTGATCCTAGCAGTATGCAGGACACATGTCATAAGTGAACTTTGTATGGGCTTCACTCACCATAGGGTCTCTGTGGCTTTGAAGGTCTGAGGTTCATTTCCTCACTGGGACTCAGATTTTTTTTTGTCTTGTGACAAGACAAAAAACATCTTTCTCCATTTCTTTACTGAGCTCAAAACTTACCATCTTTCTTGTTCTATTTATATAATTTCTTCTTCTCCTAAAATAAAAAATCCAGCCTTACTTCCAACTTGAGCAATAGTCATCATAAGGTGCCCTAGTCCTCTGTCACCTTTATTTAATTGTGAACATCTTTTTTATGTCGACAGGTAACAGTCTTTGCTGATCCAATGTGTGATGTGCTTGATTCCCTGACAAATAAAAACAACAAGTCATTTATTCCTATTTCATGTAAGTTGAGTCTACTAAATAAATGAATTGTTTCACTCCCAACAACTCATTAGTAATTCTCCTTGCCGCTATATTATTCTTGCCAGGCTAGTTTGCAGAGTTGAGTATTGGATCCACTAATAAATCCCTAATTGATGTTTTTCTTTATTCTCATCACTTGTCTGCTTGGTATTGTATTGATACTGTAAGGAGAAATTCTTTCCTAGTCACTTGCAGGAGTCAAAGGGTTATTAAACACACACTGTAGCAAATGTTAAAAAAATCAGATATTTCTATTTCATGTAAGTTGAGTGACTACAGTTTATTTAAATCATTTTGAAACCTGAGATCTTTGATAAAAGTCTACTAAACAAGAAACAATAGCATGCAATTAACTAGTTTTATTGAGTATTGAGTTTGATCCATCCACTTTTCATTCAATAATGTAATGTAAATTTTTTTTTTTGCAGCTTTCTATGTGTCATTTGTGGTGACTCCACTGTGCTCAAATGCTTCAGAACTTGTGTCTTCTCTAATTTTTGCTGCCAAGAAGAAGAAGGAGAATATTTCCATGACCTTTGCACAGGTAAAGTTTATGGTTGATGAAAATTTCAGTAAATGAAACAACTCTGACAACTTTTGTACTCTTCACTTTAGCTGTATGGTGCTGGAACCATGAACAACACTCTGTGTCTTGGCATTTTTGCTGCTCTTGTGTACTTCAGGGATTTGAAGTGGTACTACTCTGCAGGTCAGAAAAATGTCTAACGATTCACAACTTTTTTTTTTTTCATTTTATTTGTGCCCCTGATAAATTGCAGCACTACAAACTAAAGGATTTACTGTATAATGAAAGGCTGAAGATTTTTCAGTCTTATTCCCCTTATTACAAGATTCTGAAAAACAGTTTCTGTTTAAGAAAATGATATATTTTAAATTAGTGATCAGATTATCATATTTATAGATAAAACCAATTTTTGCTTATTTTTTCTTTCATTACAGAGGTGACTGTGATAATCTTTGTGCAGTGGGTAGTTGGAATCGTTGGCTTCCGTCTGACATACAAGGTAAGCTTCACCCTTCTATTTTGAGATCCCTACTTGATCCTGTTAGTTTTTGGAAAGGAGGAAGAGTAATTTACAGCTAATCAACTTCTGTTTGATGCTAAATAGCATTGTAGCAAAACAACTGTAAACCCCTGAGGTTAGCAATACAGTAAAGAACTTGTGAGTGGGTTGATGGAGACTCTCAGTCAAGCTTTTACCCTTTGCACCTTAATATCAGTATGCATATTCTCCGTACCATTCTCTTTACATTTCCTATGGTACCAACAAAGAGAATTTGTTGACAATCAAGAGCTTGTCAAGGTGGTGATCATTTCCCTTATTTGTATGAACTTAATGTTTGATTAAGGGGTGATTCTGTTAGGAGAAATACTGGTATGTTGCTCTTAGGAGTCGATGGATTAAGTATTCATTATGTTTCCCATGTTAAATGCTATGTTGAGACTAATCCTTCCTTCAATGCAAGATGTCATAGGTGACTATTCAAAAATCTGCTAGTTTTCACACAGTCTTAACAAATTTAAGGAGGGTGGTACAGGATCTGATCCAAACAAATACTTGCTTGCCTTTTCACAATATAGATACAAGACTTGACATTGATAATTGTTCTCATTTCCCTCCTAGTTGTGGACAGGTATCATCGTTGGCTCACTGTATGTTGTATCAATTGGCTTGGTGGCTCTCCTTGAAAGCAGTGCCATCGGTTGGAAGTAACTTGTTTGCAGATTCCAATTCCACACCGCTTTATTGTGCTCTGAAATTATTCTTTGCTTGAATGAAACCCTGGCTGTAAACTTAATGGTTGTTTATTTTTTGATGTTATCCATTTATATTGTAATGTTTGGATCTTAGTGCAAATATTCAGTTTACAATAATTATTTGGGTAACAATTAATACGTAACTGAGTTGTCTTAAAGGTGGTCAAATAGTGAGGCTTTTTCATGAATCACAGTGCTTTCTATTTCTTTCAAAATATTGAGTGATGAACTTAAGAAATGTCCTCATTAGCTATCTCATGTTGTGAGACATAAAATTTTGGTTGTAAAAACTTTTTTCAGTGGAAGAATAATTCTTGATAAATTGAATTCAGGAAAGTTTGTGTTGCTAAGGGGGAAGTGGAAAGAATCAAATCATAATTTTGCCTGTTAATTGTTTGGCATGAATTTCTTCCTCCCTAAATGCAGCTTGCTCAGATTTATCCATGGTTTTGCGGTTTTTATTTTTTCTTATTATTAATATTTCCGTAATCTGGCTAAACACCCACCCACCTTCGAAAAAGGAAATCCTTCAATTATGTTTTGATATGATAAGTGGCAAATTGCACCTCACAACTGTATTAGTCTTAATGAATTTTCGATAACTTAAAATGAGGCAACAATATCTGTGCCAATGGCCTGTGGAGACTGGGTCAGAATAAATTAAGTGGTATGCCTCTAAGGAAGGGTGTGATAATCTACAGGAAGACAAAGAAGATTCGCATTCTCTTTACGCTATTCCTGTAATGTAACTTTTGTATTAAAAAGTGGATCAAGTGGTGACTCATTTGATGCTTTTGTGATGTTTTTATGGTGCAGCACTCTTGTTTGCTTGTCAGACACTTATTTTTCCTCCCATTTGGCGTCATGCAGTTTCAATCCTTTACACCTAAACTTTAGTATGGATATATTGCCCATACTGTTCTCTAGTTGGTGATCATTTCCTTTATTCTCGTGTCCTTGTGTCTACACATAGATAACGGCGTGATATGTGACTAACACAGTCTATAGACCGTACGAGTTTACGCCACCCTCTGCGTCAGTAAATTAATCATAATAATTTAATATATTATCAAATTATATTAACGTCGTAAAATCTTGCAAAAAAAAAAAATGCAATGAGTGAATGAGGGAGGGTGAAAAAAAGCTTTTCGCTTCGAGTACCACTTTATCCTGCCTCCTTGACTTCTACGCCCACTGCCTCCCCACCCTTTATTGTATTACTCGCGTCTTCAGGTTGATAACAAAGATAAGTTTCAATTTTTTGCACAACTTATAATTGTTTACCTTTCTCAGGCGTTTCTTTTTGTTTTGTTTTTTTATTGTTGTTGTTTTCTTTTTTGAAGGGGGGGGAGCTAGATAATTGTCTCCAGATGATTATTAAATTACAGGGTAGTTTTTAATAAGCCGTCAATAACCTGGTTATCACACTTTGAGCATCGCTTCTTATATCTCACTATGGAGACCTCATTCCACTGTCCAATATGATCGCTATTGAAGTCTTGACCGCTTACTTTGATGAAAAGAGCCCATTTGAGCGAGTTGTTCTTTTCGAGGTTTTCAACGTACATAAGGCTTTTCTTATGTGCGTTGAAAACCTCGAAATGAACAACTCGCTCAAATGGGCTCTTTTCATCAAAGTAAGCGGTCAGATAACAAGCAATACGCTGTGGAAGCGAGGTGAGGTATTTTTTTTGAGAATTTGACGTATTTTTTTATTCCTTAGAGCGCTCGTAAATATTCCCATACAAACTCTTATAATTCCGCCATGACCGTTATTGCGTAAGATGATCATCTCACAGCTGGAGCTTGGGCCGCCTGTGGGAGGCTTTGAAGATCGAGGCATAACACAATAGACGCTATTCTTATTCAATGACATGTAAATGAGTTGCGGGGTATTCTGAAGTTGCTCCATGTATTTTTACAACTATGCAATGGAACGACTAGAGATATGCAAGTTCGGTCTTCTCGATAACTAAACCCACAAGTTCCACCAGCGAACGATTTAACTGAACAGTCTCCATGTTAGCATGTAAGATGAGACGCTTATACAACAGATCAGTACCTATTAGTAGCTTGTCAATCAAGTTGACTTTTGTAAAAATTATCTGACTTCCGCCGGCAAAGGAATCGTTCATGAATCTTGACATTTTAGTTTTCTGAAAGCAGTAATTCCTGGAAGGTTTTTCTAGATATCATGCAAAGAGTTTGTCGGAAAATATATTCACCAAAAACATTTCCTTGCCAGCTTCAATAATGACAGGGGGACTAAGTTTAGATGATAAAACAAAGGATTATGTTGACAGAAATACCGGAGGTCAAGTATATATGTTACATGAGGTCACACATTCACGGTGAAAATTTGCATATTTGAGTGGTCGAACTAAAAAAATCATTTCGCGAAAACTAAAATATATTTTCTCAAAAAACTACACCGCAATTATGAGGACATGTTGGGCTACAAAACTTGAGAGTAGGAGTGAAAGCAAATTTTGGGTGACTTGCCGCTGTTTGTCTAATGCATGTCAACATCATCATCGTGTTTCGGCACGTCTCATGCTATCATTAATATTGTGATGTTTCCCTTCAGTTACCGTCACAATAGTCTCATTGTAAAGTAAATTTGTCTCCTTTAAGTGTTTTTAAAGCTGAAGATTCGAGCGTGAGCCCTTCCACCATGAATATAATATTGATGGCTGACCACAATTCGATTTTTATACACCTCTATGCTGATTAACAACATTTAAGTAGCAAATATAGAACGCTGAAAAACTGAGTCAATTTTTGGGCCATTTTAAACTTTGTTGAGATATTTAAAACGTTTCTCAAGATATTTAGAGAAAAATTGAGACATAAGAAAAAAAATAAATCGAGAATTTCCGGTAACATATTTACAAGGCGATATACGCAATATTTCTGTCTACGCCTACCGGTACGGCAATATTCAAACTTATTTATGTGCTGTCAAATTATGCTTTTCCGCAAGTAATGCTACACTGCTATTCCGAACTATAATTCCGCCTTTTACCCTTACTGCTCGTTCAGTTCGATGAGGGAAGGAAAGTTTTCGTCCTCGACAGCACATTTAAATGACATTTAACACGTCAACTATGAACAAGGAATTTGAAAATAAACCCTACATAAAATTTGTTGACAGCGAACAAATTCGACAATTTTGGTGGTAGCATCTTACATCAAGATACTTCCATAGTCACTGGCTGCAATTCAGTGATGTGAGCACCTAAGTTTGTTGAAATTACACAACGTTTCTGGCCCTCAGGGTTGGAATTTTGACATATAATGGATACTCAAGGATAGGAAAGGTGACTATTGGAAAACTTGAAAAATGTTCAATTCCCCTGGGGACGCCCCCTCTTCCCCCTCCCTGGGTAAAACCATCATATGTCAAGGGTCCATGACCCGGGCGAGCAACTGGTATATATCAGACAGCCAATTGCGCAAGAGCAACTTTTACCAGCTGACTGAGCACTCAGGAGAAGAGCCAACACCTTCATCTGAAGCACCTATGAGAAATGAAAGAAATTAAACTATTTATATCTTCATTGTGAATTTTAAACAGGAAGCCACTCTCAGTCTTTGGTTTTTAAGAAATATTGGGTGACTGGACAAACAGACCTGACTGAAACCCCATGGGTGGTCTGTTTGTGTCTCATGAGCGTTTCAGATGAAGAGCTGACTACTCAGCAATGCGGTAAATGTTGCTCTTGCGTAATTGACTCTCACGCTGAAATTAAACCTCCCAAGGGATGTATCCAAGGTTACTCCTTTTGTTAACGTGTGACATGTCAATCACAGGGAGACAATATTAATTTTTTTTTCTTTAACTGTTCGCTTTGCTGCCTCTGACACAGCAGTCTACATTTCTCTACATCGTTGTCAACATGTTGGGACCACTCATCTTCCTCAGTGCTCTTGCTTTTACGCTCGGTAAGTTGCTGTTTGAGAAACTCACAAGCGATTTTTCGCTTCAAATGTATTAGATGTGGTTTTCTGGTGGGTGTAAGTGTGAAAACGCTTAATTTGTTTGGATAATTACGAATGCATCGATGGATGATCTAAATGATATAGCGTCACTGATATCACGATGAAAAGGTTGATCCACAACCGACCACGGTCTGTAATTAGTGTAGCTAGCCAATTTAGATACCTGTGAGTATCATCAGTAAATCTTGAACTAGATGAAACGTCTGAAAGGATTACTAAAACGCGTCACAGATTAACAGTCATGTTGACAAAGAATCAGAAAAGAATTTCCTTGACTTATTGGCTCAAAAAAATGCAGCCAGAAATGTCTGACTGTGGACTTATTTTGGTCAATAGCCTTGATGCGAAGGAGAGAACAAATCTTCGTGTTTGAGTAATGTACAGTAAAACACACCCATGAATACACCCATTTTGGGCAAGCATGCGATCGCACAGTTAACTGTAGGATATTGTATTTCAGATTTCTTATATCTTATTCGACTTCATAATGGATGAAGTTTTTCACACAAAAAAATCATTTTTACGAAGGGCCAATACGACCTTATAGTTCGTGACTATAAAATAACCACCACAAAATATGTCGAAACAAAAGAATTTACGAACAATAAACAACTCTTTGAATAATGTACTTGTGCCTGAAAAACCTTTGTCGACTGTTAGGCCCAAATTAATCATGAAAAATTTTCCGCACGCTTTACCTCAAACTTCCACTTGGACATATTTATACTCTACTGTGTGCAGGGCATTAATATGAATTAAAGTGTCCGTGGTAAGATATGGTCCTTGCCTACGAAATGCAAAACCATAAGGAACGAGTGAGCAAGCGAAGCGAGACATGCCCCTTGCTTGTTTTAATGCAGGAATGTAGCACTGAGTGTTGTAATCAAAAAGGGCACAATATTAATAGGCGAATTGTCAGGAAGATGAAGAGTATCACTTTTATTTTGTGCTACTAAAAAAAACCAACAGAACAATCTGGCAACTCCTGGGTACAATTTGGCATAGACCCAAACCGCAGTTCTATTGTATTTTTAGAGTGGCCGTTTGGTTCTTGTTTAGTCGAGTTTATCGGATTTGTAAAAATACATAATAATTCGGAAGCGGTCTTTGTTTTCTGCTTATCGTCCTCTTTGTTTTGCTGCACAAAAGCCTACATCATGATTCTTAAATTTCCTTAGCGGTTAAACTCATTTGCTATTGAACTGATTCAAAACTGCCAGAAGGTGTATTTTCTATTAATATTTTCCGCTACTGAGTCATGCAAGGTTTTATGCAAATATGATCGCCAAACTGATTGCTGTTGGCTGTTCATCGATTGGTTCGTGAGAAAATGTCCATTACGAGTAATTTACGCAATTTCATTAGAGCTTAAACCGCACAAAAGGACAGCAATACTAACGGAATGGGATTTTTTTTTCTCACGCACTCTTCGGAATTTGGTGTTAGCCGTTTTTACTCTCAAGGCACGAAAGCACATACGTTAATCCACTTTTGCTTTCAATGGCATCAACAGAAAGGCACTCAAGGCGTGAAAGCGCATGCGTGAATCCGCTTTTTCTTGTATCGGCATCAACGAAAAGGCACGAAAGCGCATGCGTGACTCCATATTTTCTTGTATCAGCATCAACGGAAAGGCACTCGAGGCACAAATGCGCATGCGTGAATCCACTTTTTCTTGTATTGACATCAACAGAAAAGCATTTAAAGGTATTAAATTCTACAAATGCTTTATAACTGCCTTTCCCCTCGGCAAATTTCACATGCGAAAAAAATTTCCACTTGAAGTTAGAATGAAATCGTATGAAGACTGCGCCGATATGGGAACCTAAAACATCGTATACATATTTTCAACATACAAATTTCATTAGGTGAATCCCGAGATTGCGAATGACTCTCATTTCTAGTTTCATGAGAAATTTAAGAAAGAATGAAGATTCTTACTGTGACTGTGACCTCCCTCTGATACTGACTCTAGCGGCCGGAGAAATCCAGGAAATAGGTGGAAGCGGGAAAGAAATGCAAAAATGTTGACGTTCGTTGATTCACGATCCGTATTCTTTATCATTGAAAGGTGGAAGATAAGAGTCTAAGGTGCGAGAAGCAGGTGGGTGGGGTATGGATGCGAAATCTACCTACCACTCTCCATTCCCAAAGTCCTTTAAGTGATAGCAATCCCTCTTTCCCTCTCTCACCGTCATGAATCGTTGTTTTATTTATTTATTCATTATTTATTTTATTTTTTATTAGGTGATTCTCATGTTACCCAAATGCGATGGTGCACAATCAAAGCCTTAGAACAAAAAAAATGCCAAGATTTTCTATATGCGTTGAAAAATGTGTCAAGTGAACTCAACATCACCTTGCAAGCTAGTTGTGTTCAGGGAAGTAATGCCATTGATTGCATGCAAAAGATCAAAGACGGACAAGCTGATCTTATTACACTGGATGGAGGAGAAATATATGAAGCAGGTATAGCAACTTTGGTGTACTTTGTAGAAAAGCATCAAAATGTATTCTCAAACATTGAGTTCGAAGCTAATAGTGTTCATTCGCACGCAGGAAATTGTAAAAATTGTGTGCCTCCTCCATTGGTCGAGTAGATCATAATTTGCAATTCAAAAAAGATTTGAAGAAAGTGTATAGAGTCTATAAGTAAACACAAAGAAAAGTTTAAAATGTTTCAGTGGTTATTCGAATGCACGGTTCAGTGGTGGTATAAATCTGGAACGTGTATAAAAACGAATAGTGGAACGCTTTTCATTTTTCATCTCACTCACTTTCACGCTCTCTCTGCACGCATAAGCTCGCAAATTTGGGCATTATGCCTTTGACCTTTAACCCTGAAAACTTATATAATGACGAGCGTTGTGATAATGAGTTTATAGAATGCACCTTTTCTCCGATTGAATTAAGGCATTTTTAATGGCCCACAAATCTCCCCCACCCCTCCCCAACCCCCCAAATCTACCCCTGCTGTCAACGTATAGGGCTTGTCGCGGAATCAAGAGGACTGTATACTTCTTTGTTTTCTAAACGCGTTTATTTTCTTCCATCACTCCTGACAATCTGAACATACTAACACTCTAACGATCTAAAACCAATCTGCCCTTACAATTCAGTGCTACTTCGTTTTACAGTTCTAGTTGCGAAATAAAGTAATTTTCCCACAATCACGAGTTCAGTAAATTCCCAATCCCAAAGTACTGTAATATACCCTATTTTAGTTGCAATTTCACAATTACACGTTTCTTTCCCTTATTTAGTTCACTGTACGCATGCAAATCAGTGTTGATTTGTTTACAACGGTGAAATATCATGTCACGCTTCGCGTTACAGTCAGTCTAGTATTTCGTTACATTGTGTGACAATTTATAACATTAATCATTAATTATAAAGAAATCGTTCTCGACAGGGCTTGCTTTGGGTAAAGACCCTTTCGAGTTCAAAACACAACATTTTACTAGGCACAAAAAATAAAATCCAGATTACAGCTTACAGTTCAAACTACAGTTTTTTTTCAATTGACCATGTTGTTAAGCTAAGATGTAAATAATCCTGTTCAATTTCTTTTTAGGAAAAAACTACGAGATGACTCCTGTAGTTGCAGAATTCTACGGAGAAAGTACTGGTACCAGTTACTATGCTGTGGCAGTTGTTAAAAAGTCAGGTTCGGTCAAATCGATCAAGGATCTGAGAGGAAAGAAAACCTGTCATACAGGAGCAGGCAAAACGGCTGGTTGGGTCGTACCAGTTGGTACTTTACTGTCCAAGAAATATATGGATCAAGACTCCACCTGTAATCCGTACGTATCAGCTGGAAAGTATTTTTCGGAAAGCTGTGTACCAAGTAAGTAGTTAAAACGGAATCTGTTTGAGTGTTGGAAGCATTCCAGTATTTTTTTTTAGATTGCTCTAGGTAGCATGTAATTGTTATCATTATATACTCAACAAAATATCGCGTTTCTGATTGGTCAATGATGAATGCATAAATAGGTTATAGAGTGCAATAGAGGTTATAGAGTGCAATACGGAGAAGTTGCCATGGAAACACCGGGGAAGCGCCAAATTTGAACACCAAATTATAAAAAAATGGAGAATATAATAAATAAAAAATCGTATGAACCTGCTCGTGCATTTCGTGATTTATGATCACTCGTGCCCATAAATCACGAAATGCACTCGCGTTCATACGATTTCCTATACTTATACAATAAGCTAAATTACGCGCGCATTTTGATTGGTTTTCATGATCTACTGGAAGGCAGGCGCATAGATGACGTTACCATCCGAAACTTTTCGCTTCTACATGATATAAAACGAATAGCTTTAATATTTCTGTGCGGTTGTCTAGAAATAGATAACAGAAGACGTCAAGATTTGGTAAGAACGTAAGTGACACATTCAGCTGCACCTTGGGTGCCATTTTTGAGTTCTTACCAGTTATTATTTTGGAGTCGCATGTGATTTCTCACTGTGCAGACGTACAGCAACATGCCAACTATTTGTTGACTAAAAACTACCCAATTAATCCACTATGCAGTCAAATGTGAAACGAAAACCCACTGTAGCTTGTTCATTTGCGTTCTTCCGCGCCTTATCCAGATCACATGTGCTCGCAAAGTGTTGGTCAGTTTATCCGTAACACTGGCCAAAAGAATCTCGGCCTTTAAGAAGCTCTTTAGACTCACACAAGTGAGACCTGGAAACAAAATTAACCCTTCGAAAGTCGAAGGGCCCGGAACTAGGCCCTTGTTATTAGTGCCAGGGTCTAGCACTGACATTATTAGTGCCAGACCCTCCGAGAAGAAACGCGCGTCTTGCAGCGCTAATGATGGCATGGTGAAGCCAATAAATATATGTCAAATATTTGTGGGAGAATAATGACTTCAACCTATTTTTGACAGTTCTACTTAATTCATATTACGTTTTCAGGAGTGAAGGAAGAAAAAATTGATACAACAAAAAAAAATCCCGACAACCTGTGCGCGTTGTGCAAAGATGAATGCATGAAAGATGGAAATTATTCTGGTTACAGCGGCGCGTTTAAATGCTTGATGGATGGTGCGGGTGAAGTGGCATTTGTAAAACATACAACCGTGAGCGAATCACCGGCGTCAGCAAGTGATTACTTATACCTGTGTTACGATGGAACCACTGCTGGTATGTACTTGTGAGTCCATGATTTTCTCCAAAATCCCTGGTCGAATAGTGGCTAACTAAAAGTGGCTTCCTCTCCCCAGTCAAACACCATGAGGATTATATATTTCGCATTTTTTTTAAATTTCCGATAATTCAAGTCATCAAGTAATTTTGTTTTTCGAAAGAGGTTCGGAAAAATGAATGCATGTTACTGGAGTCTTTTTTTTTTAACTGAGCTGGGCTTCGATCTCTCCTCCTCCCTACCGAAAAGCTTTTGAAAGCTTTTGGTACACGAATCAGTCTGTGTGAAAAAGAAAGCCTTTTCTTTCTTATTTTCCTTTAGAAATTGGACAGCACATTAACTGCCATCTTGCTAAAGTTCCCTCTCACGCCGTGATGACCAAAAAGGGACACAGCAAAATGACGACGTATGTCAAGATTCTAGTTGAAGCATCAACGCGTTATGGGAACGATTCTGGTGATGGGTTTAGGATGTTTGATTCATCCAAATATCCCGATGGAAAAGATCTCCTTTTCAAAGATTCCACCAAAAAGCTGGAAGATGTCTCTGCTAAGACCTATGAAAAGTTTCTTGGTGAAGAGTACATGGGCGATGTCTCAGCGATCAACGATTGTGTGCCTGTTTCAGCTGCCGAAAGTAAGAGGCCTTTCTTCGTTGGCTCTCTCCTGCTTTCATCGGTGGCTCTGGTGCTGCTCGTTTAAATATAATCTGGCACACGCTGATCAACCCACGTAAGAGGTGTGCTTTGAGAAAGTAAGATTAGGAAACTTTCCCGGTTGCCATCATGTGACAGGAAAGTTGTGTTCTATCGGGATCAACCGTTTCAATTGCTATCCCTTTATGACTGAGACGCGGTAGTTTCCTGGAATTGTCATAGCCATACTTCACCGCATTCACAAGAGTGAAGGAAGGCAACGAGGCAGTCAATTACTGTCTAGTGGCGCGATTTTCGATGATTTTTTGCCGGTTTGGTTAGCGTAGCGAAAGAGCACGAGTAAGATTTTTACAGCGAGCATCACGGACAGGAACTGAAGCATGCGCTTGACTTCTTCAAGCCCGCGTAAATAGCGTGCGAGTAGGCTTTCATGATTAACGCTTTGACACGAGTGTTTCTTCACCCGCGGGAAAGTATGAGGCTTAGAGTAACGCCACCCGGCAAATCTCTTCCCGACTCGTCTTCAATCTTCCCGCGGGCGGAGAAACGCGCGTCCTGCAGCGCTAATAATTAGGGCATCCTACCAGGCTACCATATATACAATATAACGGCCACTACCCAAGAGTTTTCCACCACTGAAGACCACACCTCAAACGGTTTGCTCCCGATAGAATACGTAAAAACCCTAACCAACACAACCAACTGAAAACGATTGATCAAAATAGAACATGTACGAAAGCTTTTTTAAGTTTTCACGTCGACCTTGGTTCATTCTAAATAGAATAAGCAGGGCTGGCACTTAACTCTGGTTGTTCTCGTTTGTCAGCAGTCATTTTTTAACACGTCACACAATGCACCCAGGGTCCTCGCTCCCCGTATCGAGGAAGGAAGAGGAGGACCCTGGGAACGAAGTTGTAATAACGTGAACATCACATGACAAGTTTGAAAATGGCTGCAAGCAGATTGAAGGAGGCAGTTTTTGTCGGGGATTTTTTTTAGATGTATGGGGCTAAATGTGCATCAGATGTAGCTTCCTGTCATCATTCTTAAAAAGAATAGACAGAACTACGTTGATTTCTGATATCAAAGCAACGCCACCCGGCAAATCTCTCCCCAACTCGTCTCTAATCTTCCCGCGGGCGGAGAAACGCGCGTCCTGCAGCGCTAATAATTAGGGCATCGTATCAGACTACCAAAAAATACAACGACCGCTACTCAAGAGTTTTCCACCATTGAACACCACACCTCAAACGGTTTTCTCCCAGTGGAATACATATAAAACCTAACCAACACAGCCAACTAAAAACGATTGATCCAAATAGAACACGAACGAAAGCTTCACGTCGACCTTGGTTCATTCTGAATAGAATAAGCAAGGCTGGCACTTAACTCTGGTTGTCCCCGTTTGCAAGCAGTCATTTTTGTAACGCGTCACACAACGCACCCAGGGTCCTCGCTCTCTATATCGAGGAAGGAAGAGGTGGACGCTGGGAACGAAGTTGTCATAGCGTGACCATCACGTGACAAGTTTGAAAATGGCTGCAAGCAGATTGAAAGAGGCAATTTTGTCGGGGATTTTTTTGAGAAGTATGGGGCTAAATGTGCGTCGGATGTAGCTTCCTGTCATCATTCTTAAAAAGAATAGACAGAACTACGTTAATTTCCGATATCAAAGCAATTACGTAAGATATGTAATAATAGAGAGAAAAAAGAATAGGTTTACTTAAAACTTGTTTCATTCCAAAAAGGAATAAACAAAGTAAATTTATTTTACGCATAGGAGGAGGGAAAATAAAGTTTGTTGTTTCATTCGGGAAAGAATAAACCAAGCTTATTTTTCTATAGCAGTAAAGCAAGTGGATGTTGTTATTCTCTTTTTAGAAAGTGAGCTTTTTGTTTCATTCGAAAAAGAATAAACAAAACTAGCTAAGTTGCTGAGCAAACTTGTGTACTTGATGTTTTAGAGAAAGTTTAGTTTAAGTGTTTCTTCCAGAAAAGGAAAAACTAGGCTAAGTTTCTTTTCTCCAGAAGAAAAGATAAGTGTGTATGTTAGGAAAAAATGCAGTTTTGTTTGTTTCATTTCTGAAAAAGAATAAACAAAGTGAAACTCACGTTATTTGTTCCTTTCTTAGACTTGTAAGTCATTTCTACTCAAAAATGATGCTAGGTGACCGCCTGGGGAGAGGGGTAAGGGCTGGCCAACTAGAATCGATAACGCACCGCTGATATTTACTTGAGAGTATAAACATGCTCTGTACTGCTCGATTGACGATGTCTTTTGTAATCTCAATTGGTAAGCTGATCTCTCGATGCGCACCCAATGCATACATTAGTTAGCATTTGGTGACTTTGATATGAAACACGCTCTAGGGACCAACCATTTCTATCGCAACCGCAGACAAGTATTCATAAAAATTTATTTGTCTTACCGCGGTCAGGAGTTTTAAATAATAACCTCACCGTAATTTGTCTTCAAATTTGCCACAATTCAGCTTGACAATAGACGGTACCATTTTAAGAATAACGCAGCTGCTGCCCTGGATATCGACAAAATCTGTACTGCAGTTCAGAGTAGTTCGTAAATGTTTTACGAGATCTCGAAGAAACGAGAAGAAAAACAACAGATTTGAGACTTATACCCCATTCACACCAGCAAAACATGTTTTGTTAAACTGGTTTTCATTGAATGAAAATTATAAACAGAGAACTGAAAAACTTGATTTTCCATTGGATTCAAGTACTTGCTAACTTGCATTTCCAATGTGCTACATTTAAGTCAAAAATATTCGGCTAAATAGTTTCTATGAGACTGTGTTTAACAAAACAACTTTTAAACATGTTTAAGCTTTGGTGTGAATGGGGCATTAGTTACGACAAAGGTACTTACTGGCCAGAGTATGAGTGCTAGACGAGATTCAAACTGGGGGCGTTCTTCGTCGAATTTTAATCAAAAGTTTCCTAGAATTCTCTGGCCGCAAGAGGAAGTATCCAAGAGAAATCTCGAGGTGGATTTTATACGTTTCATAAACACAACTGAGGTTACAAGGTCTTCGCAGGTTCGCGAGTGAAGGTTAAGAGAACTGACAACGCTTCGGTTTTACGAAATTATTGGGAGTGTATTTCCGGACGCGTTTACATACTTTACATACTTCTGTAGTCAAAGCTTAGATTACACGATGTGATAATGTGAGTCCCAGTCCCCGACAAAAGGACAAAATACTGTTTGAAATCTCAAAACGTGATTAGTTTCATAAGATCATATGCATCATAGAAATTATATGGTTTCTGGAGAATTTAATCCTTGACTAGTTCCCAGCCTCTCGTCGAAAGGCGTTAACAACTTGTCAAACGATCGCAGTGAAGGGGATGACGGGAACCCATTCGTGGCTTTCCTTAGGACACAAGACGTCTGGAGACTCCATTTGCAGAGTGTAGCTTGCAGTTCAGTGTACGCATCATGATTGGATCATTAACTCTACTCAGTGCTCTTGTGGCTTTGCTTGGTAAGTTGAAATTTTAGGATGAGTTCGAAGCGGTTTTCTGTTTTGTATTTAGCTGAGGAGTGAATGTTCTGACCATCAATTTTGAACGTCAGCGATGGTTTACGTTTCAATACCTTTGTTTGCGTGGAAATTCTAAAATTTCCGAATGCTCAGCGTTGACGTTCTGTTGTTTTAAATTCCTGTTTTCAATCTATGCATCATACAACAGACTCGTTTTAAGAACGCCTTGTAGCTGCTAGTAGAGAGCTTAAATCATTTACATTTCTCACTTCCTTATGATCAATACAATATTTGTTACGATGTGTAATGGAAAAGCCTATCATTCTAAAGAGCCGCGCGCATAAAGTAACGATTGCAGAAAGTAACGTTCGCGAATATTTGTTTCATGGTTTCCTCGCAAACGTGAGAGCATCGCGCTGATACACTTGAAATTCCGAGTATTTTATTTTCAAGTATTTGCCATAACCTCACCCGAAACGGATCGAATCACACCTATTTTAACTTGATTTGTGTCACCCTGTCTCAAATATGACGCAAATGGCGCCTGCTTCAAGGCTAAATAAATATTAAGGAATTCAGAGAGCTGAAGGAAAGAAGAATGAGCTGAGTGGATCGTGGAGAAAGGAATATCAAAGCAAATGGAATGCGAAATTTTGCACGAAAAGAACAAGTCAAATGCTCTTAGATTTATCTGTAAGACAAGATTTTTAACTTCCGCAGACAGTTTCAATTCACACCGGATGTTTTAACTGAAGCCCAAAATCTTCACGCGATCAAATGTCTCGAGGTACTTTAGCAAAAACTACTGAAAATCACGCCTTTTTGGATCTTTGATTTGTGTTCTTCGTTTTGGAGAGGGGGAGAAAATTGGCAGACTATACTACTATCAATTTTTCACAGACGTCAGAAATGTCTATGTAGCTAAGATGGCGCTATTTGCATGCGTATGTGAATATGTTACAAAAGCTTTCGACTAAAGTTGAAGCCGCGTCAAATTGTTTGCAGACATGACATTGAAAATAATCAGGGATTGCTTTGGTTTGCTTTACCATGCACTGCGATTGGTCGAGAGAAGTCGCGCGACTCTCTCAGCCAATCAGCTTTTAATATCAAACCAATAGGGATTTGATCTTGCGTTATCCCTCAGCTTATGTAGTTTGCATGTCTTTGATTCGATTTAAGTGATTTTAGCTCTGTTGAGATTGGGTCGCGATCATTTTTGTTTCCTACCACGAAAGTCAAACGAAAGAATTCTAACGTCGTTGCCTCATTTTGCTAAAATTCAGGCTCTTTGAACAACCCAGCCCGGATGTTAGAAATGGTGGAGGGATAACATTTCGTTAAATTCTTCAAACGTAGCCCGCAGGGATGTGAGTGAAATGTACGGCGGAAGTCTGATATGCGATAAGGGCCCTATTATTCAACCTCTTCTCCGGAAAGATAAACTTATGTTTCCAAAGCGTCTTAGGACAGGGACAAACTCAAAGAGTTGTCGACTTTCTTTAAGTCATGTTGTTACACACTCGAGGTTTTTTTTTTCCTTAGAGCAAAATTGTAACGGCTTCTTAGTGATCACGTGGCTTTGCATATATTCACATGTATCCCTGGTGGAAGATATTTTGCTGAATGTGATCAATTCCCCCCTTCCCCCCCCCCCCGAAAAAAAATTAACACGTAATCAGAACAAGGTTACAGCTAACGGCGTGGACAGAGCTAAAATCTATTCGCATGTTTCACGAAATTTTGCGGGTTCGCTTGAAAACCCATAGTAAAATGGTTGAGAACAGAGAACCAAGCCTTGGGCAGAATACCTATTGTTCTCGCGACATTTACTTGCAGTGAGGAAAATATTATAGATCTGTAACATTAGCGGCGAAGCGTTAACAGCAAGGCTTTCATTGGTCGAGGATCACGCGCGCTTTCCTCCGAAGAGAATACTGCCTTAGCTCATTAGCTTGTCAAGGTGGAGCTATGAAACAAAGACCTCGATCGTAACTTGCTATTTCATCTATTGTTTCTGATATCACAATTAGAGCGCCCCAATTTGAACCTGGCCATTTCAAGCGCTCAATTTGTAATGGCCATATGCGTTCGATATTTACCAGAGAAAATTATTTGTTCATATCTCGCCAAAACTTAATCAACAAACATTACGCTTCATATCAAGTCTACGGTAGTTTGACAAACAGCGGGTGTTTTCCATTATTTCCCGACTAGGATTCGATTGTCTCATCGAAACATTTCTTTTATCGAAAATGAAGTACAAAATAAAGTCTGTAAATCGCTCTAACGTAAGCTTTTTCGAGCCGATAAAAGGAAAAGCGAACGAAGTAGAGCACACGAACAAACAACAAACACGAACAAATTCGCTATTTCTATCGAGCTTTTTATGCTAGTGCTATCGCTGGACTGGAACTGATCATCAGCTTCCGATCGCATACGGATTGCAGGACGATCAGGAATTCAGTGAGCTCTGAAAAGAGCTCCCGACCTAACTAACAGCTTGCTGGTCGATGCTCGTCGTCATGATTTGTCTGTAAAGCGAAGGTTTCACAGTGGATTCACGTGGCAGTTTTGAAATTCGCGGTAATTGTGAATAATTTTACTAGCGAAAGGGTTAAAGCATTGGATACTGTTAAGTTTAACAAGTGCATTGTTGTTCATGGCTGGGCCGAAGACAATGGCTCGCTCGCTCAAAACGCACCATTTTTGAACGCAGCTTCGACTAAAAATTTCTTAACCGAAAAGGATCCCGTTAGCCAATTTCCGAAATTAGAACGGATTCTGGTAGAGAAAAGATTGATCTGCCATTTGCCGTGCGTTGATTTGTCGTGGTAAGGGTTTTAAGAAAATCGCTCTTGAAAATGACTTTCATACTAAAAATGAGCAAATTTTGAGTATTTTCAAGAGCAAAAGGGTTAAAGCTCCAAATTCAGCCTTTTAATTCTTTACGGTGGTCAATTTACGTTTTCAACTCCGTTAAATTACCAGGTATTGGGAATACTTAAACTTATCAGTTAGTAATTGCTATCTTGATGTAACGCAAAATTCTCGTAACCTTCTTACCAAGTCACAAGTAGTTGCAAGAGGGGAGAATTAACAGTCAGATTGTGTGAGTTGAAAGGGCTAACCACGCCATAACACATAACTTCGTTCCTGGGGAAAACGTTCCCAGAAAGACAAGACCCTGGGAACTACTTTGCCAAAAAAGGAATGTAGACGGACAGTAACAAGTACTTGAATAAAAACAATCGTAACAAATTCATCCTTTTATTACATCCATTGTGGCCCTTGTGATCTGATTGGCTCTCGGTAGAGCAATTTATCCACAAATCGCATTAGCTTTTTCTCGCATTGGCGTCTTTTTTCCCGCCAAAAAACATCCTATTTTAGATTTCACGCTCCTTTATTGTGTGACTGGTTGAATAAGATATTAGTACTTACCAAAAGCTTATATTTAATCAAATCGAACCGGGGACTATTAAAATCTCGTTTTCGATTTTAAATATTATTTGAACTCAACTCATTTCAGCTACCATTGTAAATCAAATATGTACTTCAAGCGACAGTCGTTCGTACATACTAACAGCTTTCCCATGTTACTCTCTGGCCTTAAACGCACCCCGAATCTGAGACAGTTCAAATGTGATCAGGCGAAATTTCTTTGAAAAAATGCTGTGCCTTATAGCCGAAAAAATACGGTAGCTAAATTACTTTGTGTAATCTTGTTTTGCATATCACCAGGTCAAGGCCAAGCTTATCAAATGAGATGGTGCACAGTTTCTGATAAAGAACAGCAAAAATGCAACCAGTTTAAGACTGTTCTGAATAAACTGGGGAATGATTCCAATGTTATTGCCAGTTGTGTTCAGGATGATAGTGCAATTAATTGTATGAAAAAGATCAAAAACGGAGAGGCTGATCTAATCACTCTGGACGGAGGAGAAATATATCGTGCAGGTATGATTGTCATTGTTAAGGAAAAGTTTGTAGTAAGAAAGCTCTTTATGATTTATCTTGCTTCTAAGGTGAGTCTGTTTAATCTGGTTACTTTGCCTGGCTGATTCCGTATTCATCAAACAGTAGAGTTTTCTTGACAGTGGAGATTGCGTGATAGGTCACGCAAGGTTTTTTTTTCTTCGCGGATTGATGACGAAAGCTACTACTTGATTTAATATTCCTAGGCAAAGATTATATGATGGTTCCTGTGGTTGCTGAAACTTATGGTGATGGTGACAGCCTCTCTTACTATGCAGTAGCAGTCGTAAAAGAGAATAGTACGATTAAAACCCTAGAAGACTTGAAGGGAAAGAAATCTTGTCACACTGGAGCGGGAAAAACATCTGGTTGGGTTGTACCCGTTGGTACACTGTTGGCCAAGAAATTCATGACTCAAGACTCCAGCTGTAATCCGTACGTATCAGCTGGAGAGTATTTTAAAGAAAGCTGTGTACCAAGTAAGTCATTAAATCATCCGCAATAAGTCATTAGTTTACTAAAGCATCAAAAGCAACCTCGTTCCCAGGGTCCTCTCTCTTCCTCTCTCGAGGGAGGAAGAAAGAGGACCCTGGGAACGAGGTTGCATTGTGTCTCTGACATCTTCGCCACTGTTCGTTTTAGTTAGCTCTCTGATTGGTTACGAAAACTCTCACTACTTAGTCCACCAATCAAATGCGATGCGCAAAACCACCCTAGCCAGGACCACTTGGGATTTTTCCGCTGTTTACCCCTGATCACATAATTATATTACGATAGGATACGTTACGATAACTTTGTTCATACACGGTGTTTCCATCAGTCAATTAAGATACCAGACTATTGACCTATTTACAATAAAAATGATAAAAATATTTCAAACATAGAGACTGCTTTTCATAGGGGCCGTGTCTAAAAATTTACTTAAACTCAAAATATTACTTAAAATCGTGGCGATTCAATTTAGATTTGAAATCGGTCAACGAGGGTGCTTGCCTTAGGTCTATAGGTAAGTTGTTCCACGGCTAAGCTCCGCTATATACGAAAAATTTCCCTTGAGATAATCAATTCGAGGTTGTGGAAGAACTAGTAAGAACTTGTTTGTTTTCGGTATTTCTCAAATGATAAGCCCAATGACGTTCGGCAGGACGTCAAATGAACCTTGAGTTTTGTTCCGACTTAGGTGTCGCTCATGTTTTCGAGCAACTCTTTAAAGCTAAGTTTCAAATTATTATTCTTGACCGATGTTAGCAATTATTGCAAATAACGAAAAACGTTTATATATAAAAATATCATGAAATTTAGGTAGCAACTTTTGAATATTAGGTAGTAACTTTTTGTATCTTTAGCAATTTTTTAGCAACTTTTGCCATTCTAGTGAGCGACTCTTTCCAGCATTTAATTATCCTGGATTTCTCCAGCCGCTGGAGGTAGTATCCATGGAAGGTCACAGATTCGATTTTATAACTGTAATGGACAGTCGCAGGTTTCACAAGGTCTTCGTACGATCACGGTCAAAGGCTAACTTAAATTACGTTGCATCGGACTGGAAACTAATTGAGTCTGCTCTTTCCGGTGATTTGACATATTTCCGTAGTCAACGATTACATAATAGCGTAATGTGTGCCCCAGTCCCCGACTTAACGAGCACAATTAAGACAGACCTACTTCAATTCCCTTTATGTTAAGGGACTTGGAGTGGCCCAATTTATGCTAAGGGACTTGAGCTGAATGGGCCACTTGGCTGAAATACTGACTTTACCTTAACCTACAACCGATTAAAAAAAAGAAAAAAATATATATATATGTATAAACTGATTTCGATTGTTTTGTCTTTGAATTTCACTAGTTTCATAATTTTACTTTTTAACACTAGGTGTTAAGAACCCCGATATTGATAAAGATGATAATAATCCCAACAACCTGTGCGCGCTATGCCAAGACGAATGCAAGAATGCGGGAAATTACTCTGGTTACAGTGGCGCCTTCAAGTGCTTGGTGGATGATGTGGGTGAAGTGGCATTTGTAAAACATACAACAGTGCCGGGGAATTCAAGTGGTTATTTGTACCTGTGCAAGGACGGAAGGACTGGTGGTATGAACTACATTTAAATCAGATTAGTAATTCTTTGTTCCTTCGTTCTACTTCTACTAGAATTAATATTTCTCGAGTACTTTGTTTTTCAAAAATTTCAATAGTTGAAGCCATATTTGGTGGCCCTTCCCTGGTAATACATTATGATTTCGTTCTAGTTTTTAAACTTTCCGATAATCTAAGCCTTCAAATCAATTTCGTACTGGTAATGTACTGGTAATGTGGGCCAGCGTGAGTGAGTTTTAGCTCAGTTTCAGAGATTACGCCTCGAAACTGTTTTTGTTTTGTTTTTTACTTTAGCCCGATGAGCGTAGGACTCAGCTTTCTGCCTCCCAAAGGCTTCGTTTGTCTGTGCACTATTTTCTTTGCTCCTAATTTTTTTGACACACTCAACACAGCAACTTGAAATATATGACTAACATTTTCGGAAAGATGTGCATGATCATTGTACCTGTTCGGCATGTCATTATAATATATAGATTTAGGCAAACCTAAAAGCGGAGACCGCATATTTTTTTTTCCCGCACGTCTCTTCAACAAAACTAAAGCCCCTACTATGGATAAAGTGCGTGGTAATATTAATGGATTTTCATTCTTAACTTCTCCGTGTCCGTGTAGAGGACTGATTATAAGATAGTGCCCGTGGTACAGTTAGCTGCGCATGCTAAAAGTAGCACCTTGTACGGTCGGTTGTACGGTCGTACGGTCGTACGGTCGTACGGTCGTACGGTCGTACGGTCGTACGGTCGTACGGTCGTACATCCAATTTTTTTTCGGCTTGATGGGTTACTACTATTTTGTATAATTACGGGACTACGCCCTGCGAGCTCCGCTATAACCGCTGACACTACCTGGAAACTCTTGGTACATGTTATAACTGTTAACAATTATTTTCCTTTTCCTGAATTTTTTTTTTCAGCAATTGGTGATCACGTTAAGTGCAACTTAGCCAAAGTTCCCTCTCACGCTGTAATGACGAAGAAGGGAAGCAGTAACAAAGCAAACTACGCTAGCATCTTGATAAAAGCATCAGATGCGTATGGAAACGACACCGGGTCTGTGTTCAGGATGTTTGACTCAAGCAAGTGGGACGGTAAAGATCTCCTTTTCAAAGATTCCACGGTCAAGCTTATAGACGTCGGTGGTAAGACCTACGAGGCGTTCCTTGGAGACAGCTATTTGAAAGACCTCGAGGCGTTGAATGCATGCTCAACCACACCCAACTCAGGAACCAAGCTGATTATGCCTTACTTGATTGGTTCTGTCGTTTTCGTGTTGACAGCTCTGTTCGTGTCCGGAACTGTACATTACTGAAAACCTTTACCAGATAACTAATCCAAGAGCTGCAGATTGTAGAAGTGTCACTACTAACTTATATAATTTTTTATTTGTCTAATTAGGTAGCTAGAGTTTTTGGCACTGATGTCGCTTTGCTATAGTAATATAAAATTTCCGGTAGACACCAGAACTTTAGTTGCCTACTTGCAGAGGCTCCACGCTTGTCACGCAACGCTATTCGTCACGGTCCAATCGATCGCAGCGTAAGAAATCTTAGCACAGCTGGTGATCGGGCTGATGTCGGCGTATTTCAAGTCTGTGCATTTTTTCGTAACACGAGTGTAACTGGCCTTGCATGTAGTTCATCGTTTTATCCTTAAAAATACTGATAGACAAAGCTACGTGGATATTGAAGATAAAACGGCAAGTGAGGTATAACAAAGAGAAAGGAGTAGCTTTGTTGTTTTGTTCGGTAAACATCACATTCATAGGGATACTGTCGAAGTAAGGGAGCTGTAGTCGTAATCTAGAAGAAAGCTTTGTTCGAAAGGCTGAATTAAAAAAGCTTGAAGTGAAGAAAAGGAAACATACTTTTGTAACATTTACTGCTGTGTGAACAGGGAACGTATTCGAATGCTCATGACCAATTCTACGTTTTCTTGAATAACAAAGCAAGAAAGTGAATTTTTACTCATGAAAGTTGTTTTTCCTTTGTTTCACCATGATTAGAATAAGCAAAGCCGGTCTTTTTTTTTTTGTCAGCTTGTTTTTCACTCTTTTTAAAATACCTTAAAGGTACAGATAATGTAAGGGAAGTACGTGATCCTCATTTAACTGTGCAGGGCTCTCAGTTGGTGGAAATGGGGGGGAAAGGAGGCTCAGAAATGGTCATTCTTCAGTTGTTCCCCTTTCAACCGCAAGAACCCTCTGTCATTCGCCGGCTCTCTCACTCGTTTTCAGAAAAGTTCACCCGTCAGAAAGTTCGCGGAACAGTCCATATAACTTTGCTTCACTGCATCCATCTCTCTCCACCCACTCAAGTGCTCAGCCCGCGCGCCACCCAAACTCTTTTCTTGCTCAAATTGTTTTCCCCTCGCTTCACATAATGTACATTTTATTAAACGTAAAACACTATGATACATCACAATGAACCTTTTAGCCTGAGCTAATAAGAGTGGGACGCGTCTTGATAAGATGAGTAGAAAAGAGTAGATGCAAAAAAAACTAGTTACGGAGAGAAATACCTCAAGGGAGAAATATTTAAAAAACGCGCATAGAATCAAAGGGAGTCATATCCTACAAAATAATTTCTCATCAGTATCTTATACCATTAGTAAGTTCATATGTTGGTCAAAGTCGGCCTAGGTCTTAAATCTTCATCGCAACCAGGCTCAGGGCATTACTGTGAGGAACTATCGTTGCCATCATCACCATCCCCTTTGCTTTCTCCTGCTGACGCAAATCGTCGAGCAGTAGTGGGGAAGAATAGAATCTCCTCCACGAGATCCGTCTTTTTCTGTGGACAAATTACAATTTTATTATTCCCAGTTCCAACATTATACACTGCGCAGACCCTCTTGTGTAAAATCAAAGTTGTGTAGGCTATTGAAATTGGCAATCTTGTCAATTTCAAGAGGCGAGGTCTGTTCCTGGACTATGCACACTGAAGCCGTCATACCCCTAACCGGCCTCTCTTTCAATGGTGGTATGCATGTCTTTGGCAGAAACAACATCATGGCCTTCGTTGCAGTATCTCCTGATTGATGCTTTTAACGGACACAGAATCCTGTCACACATATCTTCTCCAGCCTGCGGCTTAATAATCGTACCTCACAAGTTCGATTCCCTGGCGATGTCCGAGCTCTCGTAAGGATGATACCAGCTTACTATTGTGATTGCAACCTGCTTCCTCTGATCTTAGAAAAGCCTTTCTTATTCCTGGATTTTGTAACTTCACGGTGAAAAGAGATTTTCAAGGACTGACAGCACTGAAAACCAGTCTTGTTTACAGCTGTTAAGAAGGTGTACGTAGCAGGTTATTTCTAGGCTTTCCTCCTGTCTTACAACAACGCTACTCACATGCCAATTGATTCCTCTCTTGGCAAACCATTCTGCTTGTTTTTCCCGGAACTTCATGGCTATGAACTTCATTGCTCAGTCGACTACTATAAATGCGTCATCTCCCTTCAAAGAATCAAGAATTTGCCGCTTGCACTGATCCGGGTTCTCTGTTCTCAGGATATGCCCTTTCCATTCTAAGATCTTAGCGGCAGCATTGTTTGCTTCATACAGACGGTCTTCTGCTTGAACCTTACCCAACTGCATTGTGTACTTAGAAATAGCACCTTTTACTACTTCAAGAACACTTTTCAGCTTCTCACAATCCTCACACTTCATATGCAGTATGCAGCATGAAGAATGAAAGTATGCAGTCACACGGACTGTGACTGCATGCTCTCTGAAAGTCAGTGTCACCAGCATCGCTCAGTGCAAAGAACATACAGTGATCGGCGCATTTGCTTTCATCCTCTTTGCAGTGATTACGGTATTTAGTCTTCAAATACAACTTGCTTTCCTGAAGCCTCTTCCGAACTTCTTTACACCAATCCTTTTCTGCTCCCACGTGTTCCAGTCCGTCTATAACTTAGGAAAAATCCTTAAAACCATCCACTCCCTCAGCAGCAGTATTGTCTAGATCCCGCCATGATTTCCTCTGTGTGGCCTCTTGAACTTCAAGTACTCTCTACATCGTGAGTTTACTTATCGGTTGAAATCCAGTTTCTTTGCAATGGTCCATGTATTGATCAATGATGTGTGCAACACGTTAGGTGTAACAAACTCTTCACCGCCCTCAAGTTTGATGATGCGAGTACCGTAGGCTACGTCTTGATGGTAATGTGGCCTCATAGTGAACTCTAAGAGGTGGCTTAGCTGACGCTGATGTATACGGATTCTGTGATGCGGGATTTTTCAATAGGCACTCCAGGCTCCTCAAACTTCGCCTGTGCTCTTGCTTTCTTTATTTGTCTATCGGAGAGGTTTTCAAATGGCTGATGTATGCGTTTAAGTTCGTTGGCTGAGAATCTATTAGCGCCGATAAATACTCAGTATTTGAGTCTTTAGTGATTTTGTGAGAGTATTCTGATAAGCGATCATAAGGGTTGAAGGCCAACATCAATAACTGTCTTGCACTTCTGTTCCAGCTGCTCATGGTCCACGACCGCCTGGAATAAAGCTTTACCATCTCCTGGAGCCATGACATCGCACACCAGCTGGCACACTTCCCCAGCTTTTTGAACAGATTCAGATTTTTCAGGAAAAGACCATTTTTCCCAACAATCTGCTTGGGATTCCAAATATGTAATCCTGGGCTTTTGTACAGTATCGCTGAGGCTATCAATGCATGCATTGAAGACTTGAACTGGATCTTGGACATTTCGTCTCGCTAGTCTGAAATCCTGTATGTCTGTGCTTTCGTCAAGCGCCAACACGGCTGAAGGAGTCCACATTTCATCATTGATGCTGTGGGATAGCCCGAAAGAACTCGGTGTAATAGGTGAGCTCGTGGCTCGTTTGAACTTTTCTATAGCAGCATCTTTGCTTGGCCTTTGGTAAAAGATGCTAAGTTTTAGATGAATGTTTACCTAAAAGCTGGGTAACAGGCTCTCAAAGTCAACTGGGCGCGAGTGATTAAAACTAGAACGCGCGAGCGAGAAGTCACTCGAGAAAAAGACATGGTGTCTGATGATTTTAGATATATGAAATTCATATATTTGCACTGCGGTGAAGAGATGAAATTGAGAGATCCTCGCAGCTAAGAACACTACTGAAACGAGTAGTTTAAAATAGGACCTGAAAAAAATTCAGGCCCATACGGGATTTAAACCCATGACCGGTGCAGCGCTCTACCAATTGAGCTAACAAGCCAACTGGGAGCTGGAAATTAGAGAAATGAAATTAAGAGATCCTCGTAGCTAAGAACACTACTGAAACACTACTGTTCTCTCAAATGCTTGCCACAGGCCTTTTAGGAAGGCTAACTGTTTTAGCACTAGGAACATCTTTTTTGTAGTTTACAAAATATCAACAAAAACCGAATCAATACATATATGTTATTTGCCGGCTGGGAGGTCCGTATGGTGAAAAACTGTGACCGAGGTCTTGAAAATACTGCCCGAGGCCGTAGGCCGAGGGCAGCATTTTCAAGACCGAGGTCACAGTTTTTCACCATACGGACCGACCCTTAGCCAGTAAATAACATATTTATTGTTTTTAAACTTGACGAAATTCTTTCCGAAAGAACCCGAATGATTTATGGCCGTAAATACGGCAAGATCTTCCATAAACTGAACAATTTTTGAGTGAGTAAATGGTAGTTAAAATAGAAGTGATGCAAATTTAAGAGAGATGCCTCAGCGAAACATTTTCATTTCCGTAACGATGAAGGTGATTTAAAAGGCTTCCAAACAAAGTTGGAAACATTATTTTTAAAACTATCTGTCACAATCTGACACCTGTCAATTAGAGAGCGCGTAAGAAAAAAAAAGCGCAAGAAGATTTGAAAAACAACGGAACTAGTTTGGCAAGGACTGTCACGACAATGTTTTCTTCAAAAACAATCAATGATATAACGGAAAGTATTATTCACTCTCATCGACGATTCATTCATGTACGAAGATTTACCTCTGTTCATTAAGTAAACGGCGAGGAAAGTAATTGTGAGTAAATTCAAATTTTTTATTTTGAAGTTGTGAGAGTTTGCTCGTTTGTTTGCTGCAACGGCGTGTGTAAATCTGGTCTTTCCTCCACAAAAACTGAATTCGAACGGCACACTCCAACGAGACACAAGGGGATTTAATGCGGCCTTTTCTCAATAAATTCCTTCAGTTTCTGTTGTGCAATTTATGGTCCAAATGTCCAAATTGAACGGACTTTGAAAGACTCACCGAGAGCGTATATTTATTGTTGAACTGAAATTAAAACTTCGCTCGCTCTTTTACTACGAACAAATTGTTTGAGAAAATTCAGACATTAAATGAATGAAAGTTCCATTGTTCAGTTTACCTGTAACCAAATACCTCACGTTTTAACTTTCTAAGTACTTTTTGTGAATGATTAAAATCAATTGCAGACGGTTTTTAGGCCGCTTGTCAACCGACGTAATGACACCATTGCCTATACAAATTCATTCTGAAACCAATATTTTTTTGTCAACTAAATTGATTTGAGAGAGAGAAAGAGAGGATTCATAAGTCGGCTTGAGGTAGTGACCGATGTGTTTGCTTAAAATACTGCCCAGCGGGCAAAACGAGGTATATTTATGAAAAATGGCAACGAAAGTTGAGATGTACACGGCGACTCACGAAAGCGTTACCGTGGCCCGTGGGCAGAGATAGGAAAATACTGACCGGGTAAAGAACCAATCAGATTGCAGGATTCGTTACCGTGCCCTCTAAAAAAACAATAAAAACAGATATGTCTTGACGTGTGTCTTGCGATTAACGTGACCAAAGGCAAGTACCTCGAGATCCTTGATACAGGCAAGACAACAGTAAGCTATGATTATTACTTAAGTTACTTGTTGACAATTACCGCCTAAAAAGCAATTTTTTATTGGAAAAGGTTATGTATCTTAGCTTATGCACACAACCGCATGCATCAATATCAAACGCTTTTTATTCACACAAACTCTTTTACCTCACATAAGTGAAAGAATCACTTGCTTCTTTCTCAGTGGATTCCAAAGGGACCTAATGCATTTCCTTCACAGAGGCATTGTGCTTGTTGCGGCAGTTGATACAAATAACTGGACGTAGGAAAAAGTGGATTAATATACGAACGAGCAATTGGGGAGAAAACGGTAGAGATTGGTGGAAATGAGCCACTTATTTGAAATCACTTGCTCCTACCTGAACCTGCTTGTACAAGAACGCCGTACATCTTAGAAAGGCCCTTTAACGTTTCCAAATTGACAAAATACCGGCTCGTTGCCCCCTTGGAATCGCTACCAGGGTGTGTCGAATACTGGCACGCTGATCTTTGGCGCCAGAACTTCCCTTAAGTGTGCCTATGCTTTGCGCAGGCCCACATTTTTGCCATAACTGAGTCTTCTACATCAAACAGGCCAGCCCTTGTTAGGATAAATTCTCCTTTCGTGACACTCTCTTTTGACAAATGGATTAAGGGGAGATGACTCTCTACTGAATCAGTACACTGAGGCTAGTTAAACAAACCTGGAACTCCTCGTGAGTCACCGCACGAAGTTTCTGAGGAGCGCGGAAAAAAACAGGACATCTTATTGCGAATACCGCTTGAAGAATTAAGTGTCGTTAATCACAAACAAACCAGTACCGAGAGAGGTAATTGAATCACATTTGATAAAACTACGCGCTTTGCAACCTAAATGTGGCTAATTTTGGAAAAATGAGGTGACACGCAACGAAATAATTTATTTCCGCAAGAAACGTGGGGTCCTTTTTCACGGGAACTCTCTAAAGTTCTCAATAGAAACTGTCATATAAACAGTTACACAAACAAAATTTCTCTTATTCCTGCCGACAAGAATTCTGAGCCAAAAGACGATGTTATCGCTGCTTTATTTAGATGAGAGAGGTAATTCAGGATAATTACACTATTGAATTGCGTGACAGAGTCACTGGTCACGGTGTATTTCAGTATGTGCTGTTTTCGCCGGTTAGTCTGGATAAAATCCTGTGGTTTGGATCTGAAATTTTCATACAGCTTTGAATAGCTTAAGCTGTCAGAACTCAAATATGAAATAACAAAAGCCAAATTTTTTAAAAAAGAGTTTGCCATTGAAATGTTGATCCAGTGCTAATCAAATTATGATATTCGATACGTTGTTGTTGACGTCTTTCGTCACTGGATAGTAAAATTTGTCATATTTTGGCCTTTTAAAATATTTAGAATATCAATCAGTGTGGTCTAGAAACTCTTTCCTACTATCTTTTCAACTAAAAATGGTTAAAATCTGAGATATATTAAGCTAGTTATATAAAACGGTCGGTGTTTGCTCACTGAATTAATTTGCATAATTCGGCTGTCACGCTAGCAAAATCGCTTAAAGTTTGAAGTCACCACGGCGAAGAAACTTAGTAAGTGCAAGAAGTTTTTATATTTTTCTGCTACCAAACATCTTATTAGAAGAAATCAAGTGGAGTTTTCAATGGTCCGGTCTGGACTTGAGCAATATCAACCAAGAACGAAAGAGTACTTTTGATTAGTTTCAGAAAGCTGTCTAGCGAGTATTTTTAAATAAATTATGATGAACCTCCGAATAAACGAATATCAAAATTGAAATGCTTTCTAATGCTTTTTATACACCTTACATATCATTATGACCTTTTGCAGCTTTGACTATTGAGAGCTATAAAAATTTTATTTTTACGTATTTCAGAAACTAATGTGGTTTTGTTGGTTTTATTTGCTTCTAATCATAATTTTTTGGGCAAATTTTGAGGGAAACCTTTGTTCCGATGCGAAATGCCCTGAACCGCTCTTACAGAGATCGCCACGGAACAACTTGTCAAAAGATTGCGTCGAAGGGGAACCCATTCATGACTGTGTAGCTTGCAGGAGGGTCCCAGATAGGTTTTTCGGGATCCGGGATTGGGAGTATTACAAGGTCGGGATCCGGGAATATAAAGTAAGAGGGGAGCGAGAGAAAATTTTTAGTCGGGATCACGGGACTGAAGAACTCTTGCAGTGCAGTGTACGTATCATGATTGGATCATTAACTCTACTCAGCACTCTTGTAGCTTTGCTTGGTAAGTTGAAATCTTAGGATGAGTTCGAAGCGGTGTTTTGTTTTGTACTCAGCTGAGGAGCGAATGCTGTGACGATCTATTTTGAGCATCAGTGATGGTTTACATTTGTATCAATACCTTTCTTTGCGCGGAAATTTTAAGATTTCCGAACGCTTTTGATTACACACCTATCAACAGTATTCATCGACCTTCTGTTGTTTGAAATTCCTGTTTTCAATCAATGTAAACTTACTGAACAGATTCGTTTTAAGAATGCCTCGCAGCTGCTAGTAAAGAGCTTTATCATTTTAATTTCTCACTTCCTTATCATCAATAAAAAATTGGTTACGATGTGGAATAGAAAGGCTTATCATTCTATACAGCCGCGCGCATGAAATCATCCAATTGCAGAAAATAACGTCTGGCATTATCCGTTTTATGATTTCCCAGCGTACGTGAGAGCATCGCGCTGATACAACTGAAATTTTGAGTATCTCATTTTCAAGTATTTGCCTAAACCAAACTTGAGACGGATCGAATCGCACCCATTTCAACTTGATTTGTGTGACCTTGTCTCAAATATCCCATCTCAGACAAGAATGACGCCTGCTTCAATGCTAAAGAAATATTAAGAAATTCAGCGAGCTAAAGGAAAGAATTATGAGCTCAGTTGATGGTGGAGAAAGGAATTTCAAAGCAATTAGAATCCGAAATTTTGCACTGAAAGAATGAGTAATATGCCCTTAGACGATCTGTAAGATAAGATGTTAAACTTCCGCTGACAGTTTCATTACACCAGATGTTATGACTGAAACCCCAAAAGTAAAATGTGGTCAAATGTCACGGGGTATTTCAGCAAAAACTATTGAAAATCACTCATTTTCGATCTTTGATTTGGATTCTTCGTATGGAGAGGGGGAGAAAATTGCAAGAGTATGATACAATTAATTTTTCACAGACGTCAGAAATGTAAATCTAGCTACAATGGCGCTATTTAGATACGTATGTGAATTTGTTGTTAGTTCGGGATAGTTATTACGACACAATATGGCGACCATTTCGTCAATCGAAGATTTTCGTACCCAATTCGAAATGTTCACTGTTTATCCGTTATTACTCGCCGTATGTACCAATAATTCGATTGGAAATTAGTGAATAGATACTGATCTTCGCGTGTACTCAAGATGGTGGTCATCAAGGAGTGATAGAGGCGAAATTTTGGGCACAGAAGTAACAGGACAGTTGAAATGACACGTTTGGTTGAGGTATGTTTTTCAACTTTGCCTTTAAGTTTAGGTCAGTACGTGAATTTTTTCGGAGTTCAAAAAATTTTGCAGCGGTTCTTCAATCTATTTTCTTCCGATGCATCTGTTCATTACCGTGATGCAAACTGCAGGAAAACGATCTCTTATCACTGCACAATACTCAGTTTGTAAGGAAACCTTTTTAAAACAATGATGGTTCCTTTCATTGTGCTGTTATTGCCTGAAGAGAACCTAAGAATCGCCTAGTCAAACGAGAGCCCGCTGTCATCGAATGTTATTCTCCGTTTTAGGAGTGACCTTGGTTTGGCCTCTAGTTGCTTCATGCTAAAGATAAACTCTGGCTTGATAAGCAATGTGGCTCAAGTACAGGTTTTTACTTTATCTTGCCACAAGTCAGGAAATGGTCTGGGAATAAAGGTCCTCACGGAATTTCACTCTACAAAATACTTGTTCAGTTTTATTGCAAGATTTTGCGGTAAATGTATTAGAGAAACCTGTTTAGAATATTAACATATGATTTGCAAAGAGTGAAACGGTATAAATATAATTGTAGGTGTACATATATTCTTTAAAATCTGAATTCTGGTTATCTTTGTGTAGGTATGTAATGTTTTGCCAAAAGAAACAGCGAGGCGAAGTACTACCCCCTACAACGGACGCCTTAACCCAACGCATCAAGCGAGCTTATTGTCAGGCATATGTATAGAGGAATGCTTTGAAAGCGATGCAGCAACTACGGCCACCAGAAAGTAAGAGTTGGTAAATAGAAGGTGAAATGTTGAAACCTGTCCTGATGACCAATGACCCAGCACCAAGAAGTCTGCTTGAACTAACCACATGCCAAAGTAGAAGATTGTGTTATGCAAGTTGTTCCTGTTCTAGAACCGGCCTTCCCTGTACAGAGTCCTGCATGGCAGATGAAGAAGCCTGCCCGGAACCCTCATTGCACACTGCTGTATTTTGATAGTGACTCTGAAAATGGTGACTATGACCAGCTATAGTTAGGTGCCTCTTCAGCCCTTTAACTCCCAGGATCTGATTGTTAATTCTCCCTCCCTTGCTGCAACACATTTCCTTGTAAATTAGTTGGAAGAATTTGGTGTCGGATCAAGATAAAAACTTCTGCCTGATACATTTGAGTATTCTCATCACCTGTTTGCTGGATAGTGGATGAATATTGTAAGGAGAAGTTACATGTGAATCACTTCTGGGAGTTAAAGGGATAACCACATACATGGTTTATTACTCTTGAAAACCCTAATGTACTGTTTGAAACAGGATGGTGCGCTCAATTTGAGATGCATTATGTAAATCGATCAATGTTCTTACGCGGTTGCTTTTTAGTAGTAGTTTCGCAAAATTTAAACTGTTAGCAACTGTCGATTGTAAATAGAGAGGACAACTGGTTCAAGACTGCCTTATGTTACTATATGTAAACCGTTTTTCTGAAAAGAACTAACTGGGTATTTGGACCGCAAATGTTGATAAGGGTGTTAAAAAAAGGAGTAAACAAATGTCATGCACTTTACAACCTCGTTTTCACCGCGACGAAGGGGTAACGTAGCAAAACCCCCCTCTCTCTCTGATCGTATACCACTTTTCGACTTCGCGACGTAGTGAACGTTCCTCAAGAGGTATTGGTCTAATAAAATCAACTGTCACACCTTTTCTAGCTCGTGGGTTGAACGAAACCCCGATTTTCCGGTCTCTGCTACCGGACTACAAGGACAAAATCAAAGAGATAGTCATGTTGTTACGCTCCCGAGGTTTCCCTTGCTTAAGCACGGCTTTGCGTGTATTCACATGTATCTCTGGTGGAAGGTATTTTGCTGAATGCGTTACCCCCTCACCGCCCCCCCGCCCCCACACCCAAAAAAAAGGGCACGTGATCAGAACAAGCTTACAGCTAGCGGCGTGGACAGAGCTAAAAACTATTTGCATATGTCACGAAAATTTTACGGATTCGCTCGAAAAACTATCGTGAAATGGTTAAGAACAGAGAAAATAGAATAAAGAGGGTTGAAAGGGACGGGTCTAGAGTCTTTGCCGCCTTCCACCAAGCATGGTACCCTCTGCAGCTAATTTCACCTTAACCCCTTAACTCCCGGAAGTGATAAAAATGTAACTTCTCCCTATAATATTCATACATTATCCAGCAAATAGGTAATGGAAATACTTGAACTTATCAGTAGTTGCTGTCTTGATCTAACGCAAAATTCTCGTAACTTTTTCACCAAGTTACAAGTAGCAGCTAGAGGGAAGAATTAACAATGAGATCGTGAGAGCTAAAAGGATTATCTACGCCATAATACATAACTTCATTCCTGGAAACAAACGTGCCTGAACAGACAAGACCCTTGGAACGAATTTACCGAACAAAAGTATTGTAGACAAACAGTACCAAAAGGACAGTAAAAAGTACCTGAATGAAAACAATCGTAACAAATTCCTCCTTTTAGTACATCCATTGTGGTGCTTGTGATCTGATTGGCTCTCGGCAGCGCGATTTATTCGCGAATCGCATTAGCTTTTCGTCGCATTGGCGTCAGACATCATGCTTGTGATTTAAAATCGAACAGAGACTGTTAAAATCTCGTTTCCGATTTAAAATATTATTTAAACTCAACTCATTTTAATTACCATTGTAAATCAATAACTTCAAACGAGAAGCGTTTGTACACACTAACAGCTTTCCTATGTTACTTTCTGGCCTTCTCAAAGTTTGAAGACGCACCCCGAATCTCAGACAGTTCAAGTGTAATCAGGCGAAATATCTTTGAAAAAATGCTGCGCCTTATAACCGAAAAATACGGTAGCTAAATTATTTTGTTTTATCTTGTTTTACCTATCACCAGGTCAAGGCCAAGCCTATCAAATGAGATGGTGCACAGTTTCTGATAAAGAACAGCAAAAATGCAACGAGTTTCAGACTGTTCTGGAAAAACTGGGGAAAGATTCCAATGTTAACGCGAGTTGTGTTCAGGATAATAGTACAATTAATTGTATGAAAAAAATCAAAAACGGAGAGGCTGATCTGATTACGTTGGACGGAGGAGAAATATCTCGTGCAGGTATAATTGTCATTGTTAAGGAAAAGTTTGTGATAAGAAAGCCCATTATGATTTATCTTGCTTCTAAGGTGAGTCTGTTTAATCTTGTTACTTAACCCGGCTGATTCCGTATTCATCAAACAGTGGAGATTGCGTGAAAGGTCACGCAATGTTTTTTTTTTTTTTCGCGGATTGATGACGGAAGCTACGACTTGATTTAATATTCCTAGGCAAAGATTACATGATGACTCCTGTGGTTGCTGAAACTTATGATGAGGTTGGTGTTCCCTATTACTATGCAGTAGCGGTCGTAAAAAACAAAAGTACGATCAAAACCTTAGAAGACCTGGAGGGAAAGAAATCTTGTCACACAGGAGCGGGAAAACCATCTAGTTGGGTTGTACCCGTTGGTACACTGTTGGCCAAGAAATTCATGACTCAAGACACCAGCTGTAATCCGTACGTATCAGCTGGGAAGTATTTTAAACAAAGCTGTGTACCAAGTAAGTCATTAAAATTATCTGCAACAAGTCATTAGTTTGCTGAAGTATCAGAAGCAACCTCGTACCCAGGGTCCTCTCTCTTCCTCTCTCGAAGGAGGAAGAAAGAAGACCCTGGGAACGAGGTTGCATTAAAGACACTTTGGTATTCGCCAATCCTTGGTGTGTCTGTGGCATCTTCGTTTTAGTTAGCTCTCTGATTGTTTATGAAAACTCGAACTAGTTAGTCCACCAATCAAATGCGATGCGGGAAACCACCCTAGCCTGGTACTCGGCAATTTTTCGCTGTTTACCCCTGATCATATAATTATATTACGATACGATAACTTTATTCATACACGGTATTTCCATCCGTCTATTAAGATACCGGTACCAGACTATAGCTATTTACCTATATATAATGAAAATTATAAAAATATTTCAAAAATAAAGACTGCTTTTCATCTAGGCCGTGTCTAAAAATTTACTTAAACTTAAAATATTACTTAAAATTGTGGCGACTCAATTTAGATTTGAAATCGGTCAATGAAGATACTTTCCTTAGGTCTATATGTAAGTTGTTCCACAGCTAAGCTCCGCTATATACGAAAAATCTTTGGCAATTTTTTAGCAACTTTTTGCCGTTCCAGTGAGCAACTCTTTCCAGCATTTAACTATCCTGGATTTCTCCAGCCGCCGCTGGAGTCAATATCCAAGGAAGGTCACAGATTCGATTTTATAACTTTAACGAACAGTCACAGGTTTCACAAGGTCTTCGGACGTTCACGGTCAAAGGCTAACTTAGATCACATTGCTTCAGATTAACAACTAATTGGGTGTGCACTTTCCGGTTGAGTGACATATTTCCGTAGTCAACGATTACATAATAGCGTAATGTGCGCCCCGGTCCTCGACATAACGAGTAAAATTGGGACGGGCCTACTCCAAGTCCCTTTATGTCAAGTAAACCGGAATTAGCTCACTTAGCTGGAATACTGACTTTACCTTAACCTTACAACCGATCAAGAAAAAAAAATTATATATCTATATTTAGAATAGATATAAACTGATTTCGATTGTTTTGTCTTTGAATTTCACTAATTTTATGATTTTACTTTTTAAACTTAGATGTTAAGAACCCCGATATTGATAAAAATAATGATAATCCCGACAACCTGTGCGCGCTATGCAAAGACGAATGCAGGACTAATAAGGGAAAGTACTCTGGTTACAGCGGCGCCCTGAAGTGCTTGATGGATGATGTGGGTGAAGTGGCATTTGTAAAGCATACAACCGTGCCGGCAAATTCAAGTGGTTACTTGTACCTGTGTGAGAATGGAGGGACTGGTGGTACGAACTATATTTAAATCAGATTAGTAATTCTTTGTTCCTTCGTTATACTTTTACCAGAATTAATATTTCTCGAGTACTTTGTTTCTCAAAATTTTCAATGGTTGAAACCAAATTTGGCGGCCTCCCATAGTTATAAATCATAATATTATTCTAGTTTTTAAACTTTCCGATAATTTAAGCCCTCAAACCAATTTCGTAATGAAGCAAGTGATTATATTTACAGGTAATGTGGGCCGGTGTGAGTTTTTTTTTATTTCCTCGTGTTGGTCATCGATGTTTTGGCGTCAAAATAGCCAGTAGAACTATCATCACTGATGGCTTCTTTAAATTAGCTCTTTCTGAGTTTCAGCTCAGTTTCGGCTAGCACAATCTCAGAGATTCCGCCTCAAAACTGTTTTTGTTCTGTTTTTTACTTAACTCGATGAGCGTAGAACTCAGCTCTCTGCCTCCCAAAGGCTTATTTTGTCACTACTTTTTTCCTCCTCATTTTTTTTGACATACTCAACACAGCAACTTGAAATATATGACTAAAATTTTTGCATAGATGTGCATGATCACTGTACCTGTTCGGCACGTCATTATATAGCCGCTGACACTACCTGGAAACTCTTGGTACATGTTGAAACTTTTAAAAAAATTTTTCCTTTTCTTGAATTTTTTTTCTCAGCAATTGGAAACCACGATAAGTGCAACCTAGCTGAAGTTCCCACTCATGCTGTAATGACGAGAGAGGGAAGCAGTGACAAAGCAAACTACGCTAGCATCTTGTTAAAAGCATCAGATGAGTATGGAAACGATACCGGGTCTGTGTTCAGGATGTTTGACTCAGGCAAGTGGGGCGGAAAAGATCTTCTTTTCAAAGATTCCACGATCAAGCTTGTAGACGTCAGTGCTAAGAACTACACGGCATTGCTTGGATACAGTTATTTGAAAGATCTCGAGGCGTTGAATGCATGCCCAACCACACCCATCCCAGCGACGACCACCCCAACCTCAGGAACCAAGCAGAATAGGCCCTACTTTATTGGTTCTGTCGTTTTCGTGTTGACAGCTCTGTTCCTGTCCGGAGCTGTATATCACTGAAAACCTTTACCAGATAACTCATCCAAGAGCTGCAGATTCTAGAAGTGTAACGACTAGCTTATGTAATTTTTTATTTGTCTAATTTGGTAGCTAGAGTTTTCGCCGATGTCACTTTGCTACAGTAATATAGCCTGAAAATTCCCGGTAGAAACTAGAACTTTAGTTGCCGAATTGCAGAGGTTCCACGCTTGTTACTCAACGCTATTCGTCACGGTCCGACCGCGTAAGAAATCTTAATACAGTTGTTGACCAGCCGGCTGATGTCGGCGTAGTTCAAGTCAATGCATTTTTTTTTTGTAATACGAGTGTAACTGGCCTTGCATGTAGTTCATCGTTTTATCCTTAAAAATACTGATAGACAAAGCTACGTGGATATTGAAGATAAAACGGCAAGTGAGGTATAACAAAGAGAAAGAAGTAGCTTTGTTGTTTTGTTCGGTAAACACCAAATTCATTGGAATAGTGTCGAAGTAAGAGAACAATGATCGTTATCTAGAAGAAAACATTTTTTCTTTGTTTCGTTCGAAAGGCTGCACTAGAAAAGACTGTTGTGAGTTATAGAAACGATTAAGACGAAGTCAATAACTTGAAGAAAAGGAAACTTACTTTTAATGCTGTGTGAACAAGGAACGTAATCGAATGCTCATGACCAATTCTACGTTTTCTTGAATAGAAAAGCAAGAAAGTGAATTTTTACTTATAAAAGTTTTTGTTCCTTTGTTTCACCATGATTAGAATAAACAAAGCTGGTCTTGTATTGTCAATCTTTTTCTTCGTTCTTCACTATTTTTAAAATACCTTGACGTTACCGTAGTGCAAGAGGAGTACGTGATCCTCATTTGACTGTGCAAGGTTCCCAGTTGCTGGAAATGGAGGGAAAAGAAGCTAAAGAAAACAGAAGTGGTCATTCTTCGGGTGTTCCCCTGACAACTGCAAGAACCCCTCTGTCATTCGCCGGCTCTCTCGCTCGTTTTCTGTCAGAAAGTTCGCGGAACAGTCCATATAACTTTGCTTCAATGCATCCATCTCTCTCCACCCACTCAAGTGCTCAGCCCGCGCGCCACCTAAACTCGCTTCTTGCTCAAATTGTTTCCCCCGCGCTTCACATAATGTACATTTTATTAAACGTAAAACACTATAGTACATCACAACGAACCTTTTAGCCTGAGCTAATCAGAGTAAGACGCGTCTTGATGAGATAAATAGAAAAGAGTATAGGCTAAAAACGAATTATGGAGAGGAGTGCCTTATGGGAGAAATATTTGAAAAACATGCATAGAATCAAAGGGAGTCATATGCTATAAAATCATTTCCCATCAGCATCTTATACCGAATGAAACTTAAAATCTTGATTCAACTGCGAGGCTCAAATTCGATCTCTCAGGATAACAAGATTTACCAAGGCGTTGTTTTGTTTTATCTTTCTCAGTAAGTAACGGAAACCTTCATGAAAATTTTCCAATCAGTTTAAGTCAATCATCAAGAAACGTTTGATATACACTCGGAAATCAGGGCGTTACGCGGGGCACTGGCATTGTGGAGAAACCCGGATACCACTTTCTTGGTTTAACATCAGGAAATTTCTTTAATGAATTGACCAAATTTCTAAGACCAAAGAAAGTGGACTCCCACGTTGCCATATGCTTCCCCTTTTTGTTGAGGAAAAGTAACACTATCTATTTAGAATCAATAAAACAATCCTACATGCTCCATAATGGTAGAGAAACCCTTGAGAAGGACTTACCTTCCCCTCCCCTAATGAAAAGTTCAGTCTACCCTTGATATAGCTAAGTCTTCATGTCAATTTAATAATGCAGTGCTCTCCACTGAAGTTAGTTCCGTCTTTGAAAATTTAGTGGTGAAATCGTAGTGTCACTCTCCTGAGCAGAACAAAAGCTGTTCGAATTATCCCGTTTACAGCATCGTTGAGCTAACCAACATGAAGGAAGTAGTAGGCGCTTGTTGGCCATCTTCCTCACATCGGCACCTGAACACATCCACGAAAGCCTTGCGAAACTTGTCACTGAAGAAGCTGTAGATGAAAGGATTACACGCCATGGAGCACAGAGCGAGCACTAAGGAGAAGTTCACGAACACACTGAAGCCAACCGTCTGAAAGGGGAGTTCCACGAACACTTGGAGCAGTATAGTTACGTGAAAAGGTAACATGCATGTCAAGAACGTGGCGATCACTGTTAGAAGCATATACGTCGTCTTGCGCTTCTTTTTTGCTCTGCGAATTGCGTAAGCACGGTTTGCATTGTACGGTGGTTGGTTATTCGTTGAAGACAAACCACGAACGCTGCGTGCGGTCGTGGCGTCGTCGCTTAAGGACGGCTCCGGTTGCCATAGTGTTCGTATGATCATGATGTAACTTGAGCCAATCACCAAAATAGGGAGGACAAACAAAAGAATGAAAGCCACCACTGTGTATATTCGGTTCCCTAATATCCCGCCTTTGCCCGTCCAGTCTTCGACGCACCGTTTGTTTTGGATCGTGACCACAAAGGCCTGGGGAGAAGCAATGGCACAGGACACCAGCCAAGTTAGAACCATTAAAATCACAGTTCGTCTGACTTTTTTTCGTGAGGCACGGACCGTGAAGGGATTCACGATAGCTTGATATCTATGGAAAAACATCAACAAAAAAAAAAAAAAAAGGAGTAAGGCCGATTTATCATATGACGTGATATTTTGTGGAGTTGATGCGCTTTGCATCAGGCTCTTGTAGCTGTAATTTTCCTGTTGCATTAGTTTTTGTTTTTACGACAAGAAATCAGAAAGGATTCACAATTAAAGTACTTAGGGCAGATAAGTGGGCCAATTTAAAATCCAATGTCCTTCCCTCCCTTTTGTTTACCTTTCCACTGCCAGTACCATCATCGTGTAAACGGACACCGACACAGATATTGAAGAAATCACTCTCACTGCTCGGCACATGAATCCTCCAAGAGGCCATTCGTTAGGCGAGATCTGGTCAGACATCAGCGATGGAATGGCGAACAAAGCTGACAGCAAGTCTGAGATGGACATGTTGAGGAGGAACAGATTGGTCAAAGTGCGCATGTCTTTCCTCCTGGTGATTACGATGCAAACAAATCCATTACCTGAGGATGACAAGATAATGTTTAGTTAAACAAAAAGGGATTAGAGAAGATAAGATAATACATTGGAGGATCAGATACATTCCTCTCAACAAACGCAGGTTCAGGGCAAATGTTGTCGTTAAAAATGATATGGATTAATTCAAACACAGTGGTGATCTTAACTGCATTAGTTTTTGGGTGCTATAGAGAAGATCTATCCTTAAACTCCCAGGATCTAGGGAAATATTTTTTTTCGTCTTGTCACGAGCGTGGAACCAAGGAAAAATTTAGAGTCTTCATGAGTCGTGAGGAGTCGAACCTAACACCTTTGTAAATTTGCCTTCCAACTGTTACACGTTTCTTTGAAATCAGTTAGGATAACTTTGTGTTATATCAATATAGATCGCCTGGCTGATTTTTTCTTTTAACAATATTAGCACTTTTTGCAACATGGTTGATCCGCGATATAGCACAGGCTGTTTTTAGGAGAAGTTACAAGTTCGTCATGTTTGGGAATAAAACCGGGGTAGGATGTCTTCGAGATATCATCATAAAACGTGAACGATTACGGTGACCGGTCGAGGCAAGGATAGTATGTTGCCTTGGAGTTGGTTTGTTGAAACTACCGTGGAATAAGCCTATACACATATATTTGTATGAAGAGACTTTCTACGACGCTACCCAAAATCGAGTTAATTCTCAATTTATCTCCAAGGCTGAGTGAGAGAAAATAATTAAATTTCAACCGTCCTTGTGAACGACTTCCTTACTTTAAAATAAACAGCGCCCTCGAATTCAACAGTCCTCTCGTTTTCGTAACTCACAGCGACTAATTCATCACGAAATTCCAAGCCCTTCCATACTTTTGCATCTGATATGAAAGCAGTCGCATTTATAAGTTCCTATTGAACATTAAATAATTTCTGCATGGAGTTAAATGATCTGTTCAAATTTGTAAGAGGATTCAGAAACCTCGTTGTAAGGGAAACAAAGAAATGTAGCAAATTAAAGCACTTCAAATGAATGACAATTCGCGTTTTTTCTTCTGGTTGATTTTGCTCGGCCTTGCTTTTCTTTCCATCTAACACAAACCTAAAGTGGTTAGCACTTCCATATTAAAAACCGTGTTGTGGCTTCATCATTTTTCTGGAACCAGAGCCTCTCGTTCAATACGTTCGTGTCTGGTCTTACGCAATAAATTAGAACATCCTTGTAAAGGTATTTGTTTTCTCACCTACAACGGCTACTAAAAATATGATTCCATATATCACGGAAAAGACAGCCACTTTTTCCACTGGAGAAACAGAAACTTCATCCTGACTGTTGTCCGCACAACGGAGATCTTCGCTCAAGGAATCGTTGGTTTGCGTGGCGCAGTCTTCACTGGACATTTTTACTTTGGAGTATTCACTGTCGTTTCAGTTTGAAGAATGTCTGCTTTTCCGCTAAAGTCAACTTTACACTTAGAGACCAAGCTATTTGAACGCAATTCCCAGGTAAATATTTTCAGAACCTTATGGATGCTTTTTCCTTTAGCAATACTGAAATATCAGAACCATTTTCAACCTGTTTGGTTGTTTTTAGAAGGCACCCACTGAGAAAAAGTAATGGCACGTCCTGTCGAACTGTGCAAACGGGGAGAACACAGCTTTTGTGTCTAATCGTCAAACCTTTCTAATTAAATGTTTAGTGGCCAAATAGATTCATTGTACTTATTTCTCCCTTTTTACTGTGGTTCTTTTGTTCTTGGCTGTCAAACGCTGTCGAAACAAATTGAATGCTTCATTTTTTTTGAAGAGAGTGATTCCCGCAATGACGTGATCAAAACCAAAATTAAACAACTTCGTCAGCGCAAACTATGTTCCTAATGCTGGAACAATAGGAAAAACAAGCAAAAAAGCCTCAGAATTGTTGTGAAAAAACATGAATATTTTGTATTTTCTCCAAACAAAGGCAAAGATAATGGGAAAAGACTTAGAACAAACCTTTCCTTTGTCTGTATCTTTGAGTTGGTCAACTGATTTAGGTAGCCGCTCTGTGGCTCCGCTCTCCCGTAGCCAAAAGGGGAGAGTCGTAAGATCGCAGAGTTTAGCGAGAGACGACTGGGGACGAGATACCGAAAACTTGCGCGCCGTCGTTGTGGAAAAAAAGTGGGAGAAAATTGATAAAAATAAATGATAATAAAGAAGTGCAGGAAACAGCATGTTAGAGCCTATTAGTAAACCAAAGTCAGATAGAGAATTACGACGGATAATTTTTTAATGTTTATTTGGGACTGTAAAGACAAAACAACTTCCGATAACTTTGTGTTCAAACAAATTTAGCTGCCAAAGAATAACGACATTTTAGGTTCTAATTTACAACGTCGATAGTAGTTTTCGATGTAAAAGTCAAGTGTCCGGAAATCAAATTATAGACATAATTGTATGAAATTGAAATAAAGAAGAAGGACTCCTGATAAAAGTTGTTATTCGGTAAAATGAACAGCAGGTTTACGAGTAATTTGCCTGAATTAAGGTTTGACGTTAGGAGAAGCTCTTTTCTTGCCAAAATACTCTTTGATTACTGCAATTATCGTCTGCATTTTCCTGGAGAGGCTGTCGGGAAGTTGTGGGATCAATTCCCCCAATTAATCAAAATTAAGGCCATGGACATTGGAGGGGCTTATAAGTTTTTGTCGTGCCAAACTCCATTTTCAAATTCAAATTTCATATTTATTAGTAAGAGATCTTCCCAAAATCCATAATGTTCATCGAATCTTGATCATTGACCTCGTGACCCAAGTTACAACCCAGGAAACCGGGAATGAAATTTAAACCAATCAAAGTGAAGAATGATCGGCATTGAACCAATCAAAGCATCCAGTCATTCGGCATTGTTTGGTGAATGCTCACCAAGGCATGAAAGACATATTTGGTTGGCGCCATTTTGTATATTTTGTAGTGGATGTAGTTCACTGATTTCAGCTGGAATTTTGTCATATTTCTCCATTATGGCTGTGGAAGGTGGTTACCTAACTGAACTTCTAACCGAAAAGGACAACTTAGATCCATCCTTCGTACATTCAATGCGCTTGTTAACCGAAGGTAGGCGGTGTATCTTCTCTAAAATCACTTCTGCAACGTCACGTAAAGTCGGAGCTTAAAAGATCGAGTGTAATGTTAGCATTCCTTCGCGGTCAAGAACCACCAGTTGCTTGCAAAAGTATCATATCTTGGTATTCAGGGCAAATCGATCTTTTCGGATTGATGAGTTGTTGACGAAGTATCATCTCTGTATTTGTTCTCATCCCGTGAAAAGTCCTCGTTTTGAATCGTTGTTATTGGGAGCCGAGTGGTGAAACGAAGAATGTGCACTCTCCAAAGAATTGTGCTCCTGCTTTGATAAGATCTCCTTTCTCCCACATTGTATCTTGATTATCAAAATGTTTCTTAAAGCCTTTCACTAGTGATTATGGCTACATGTAGCTATGGTGAGGGAACAAACCTCCAGAGTAGAATTTCCTTTCGATAACGCCGCTTTTGCATCGGAGCGGTTACGTGCGTCACCTCAAATCCTTTGGATCTTTTCAACAAGATTGCACTCACGTAGAGCAGTCGAGGATCTGGTATGCAATTGTGATTGCTGTTGTTAGTCCCGAAAGTAGATCACTTTCGCTCTCTCTAGTTATATTAGGATGATAGTTATTGTATCTCAAGGCTCGGGTGGAACTGATTGCCGGTATCAATCACTGCTCATTTGCACTTAAGTTCATGTATTTTTATCTCGTGAATATATTTACGCAACCCCGTTCTAAACTTGACACTATAATAACCCTTTACCCTAGCTTTAGTTCTACATGTAGCATTCACCGTCAAATCATCTCAGTGACTTTTCAGTTTTCAGCTTAGTGATATTCTTTTAATACACAGTAACACCTCTATAATTTTCATTCGCTATCTTTGAACTGCCTTATTTTAAAACTTTGTGTGAGAAATAGAACAGTCGCATACCAACGAAGCTTTGATATCACATGTGCAGACATATGAACAGCAGTATGAGGGCAATACAAGACCAGTTTACCAAAACAATTCAACATCAAACTCTGGCCCCTTTATGTTTCCAGCAAAGTTTTTGCTTTTAATTTTTTAAATCCTTTCTATTTTTTATGTGCGGTAGATATTTTTTAAAGCATCTGAGAGAACTTACACCTCTACATCTAGTTGAGTGCACTCTTTGGTTTCTTATCAAAAGTTCATCAAGCAAGCTGCTGTGTAATTTTTCTTATATTGCTTATTGAGAATTCCTTTGTTGCTGTATATTGTATAGCTGCCTGTATTTTTCTTTTTCTTTTTCTTTTTTTTTTTTTTCCAGCAGCATTATCTTCCTATAAGTAGAGGACATAAAGGTTGTATTACAAACCATGAAAGGTTTTAACATGATTTTTGCAGAATTGGTAGCACTTTGTCAGGCAATGAGGTGCATAGTGTGGGCAAAAATGGAGAGTTTGGCAGCCTAAAATATAGTTTAGCCCAGTTGTTCGCTTGTGTGATTGTTCAAATTGCTTTTTGTCATTTTTTAAGTTTTTATTTTCTCAATGCCCTCCTAAGTGTCAATGATAACTATGTTTTAGGTCCTTCTCAGAGTCATATAAACCCTTGCCTAGCAGCTTGGGCGAAATGACTCTGAGTCTGGCCCAAAACATCTTTATCCCCACAAATATAAGCACTGTTGTTTTATTGCTCACTTCATAGGAATGTACTATGAGCAAAAGCTCTGCCATTTTTAAGATCCTACATTGTTCTTCAGCCAATAAGAAGTAAATTTATTTTGAATTATTTTACAGAAATCAATAAAGTACAAACTGGGGGAGCACTACCAGCAGTGCAAGCATTAAAAAAACCCAAAATTGAGAAAACAACCAATGGAAATACTTTATCACCTGTGTCAGAGAATGTACCTCCCAGCAGCCAAGTACCTGCAGCTGAAAGCCCAGAGGTGCCAGTGGCTACCAGACCTCCCCCTCAGACGCATCACTTCCGTAGACCTGCAGATGTCTTTGACAGTAAGCTTTATCAGCCCACTAAATTGATGGAAAAGGTCTTTATTCCAGTAAAAGAATACCCCAAGGTGAATATTTACTTTCTTCCTAATGTACAGCTGAGGAATCCTAATTTGTCTTGGTTAATGAAATGTTATCATTTATGATTGCACTTTTTATTTTTCTGCATTATATAGTACAGCTCAGAGGTACTTAGCTCTAAATTCATGTGAAAAGCGCATTAAAAGAAACCTGCACATGCGTGAAATTTTTTTAAATGCAAACAAAAAACACACGCAAAAGAAGCTCATCAGTATATATGAAGCAGTCTTTTGTTTTATCCTTTGTTTAACTTTGAATTGTGTGTTAGATTTATAACAAAGGAGAGATTCTGATGTTGGTGACATTATGTGGTTTCTTTCCAAAGCATTTGGCATCAGCTCATTTTTTGAATTGGCTTTCCTGCATTGTGAAGGGAAAAAAAACTTTTTGACTTGTTGGGTACCTCTTTAGAAAGCAAACAAGATGAGGAAATATCAAGTTCAATAAAGGCATTGTCGTAAAACTTTACAGCTAGCGACTAGCAGCAAGACTTGAATCATTTGCATTCATTTGTCTGTAAAGTTATGTGAAATTATTTGCAGTTTGCTGGAACAGGAGACATTTTCCTAATGTCTTACCAGAATGATTTTAGGTTACAGCACCTTACTCGACTCTTATCAATTCACATACGTAAACAAGAATAAGTGTCTGTTAAAATCGTCATGACGATCATCATCACACAATGCTGAGCATGATTAAAAGTACAAACAAAGCAAAACTGCTCTCATGAAAGCAGTATTGCCTGAAATGTTGCACGTAACATTTGTATTCAGTTCTAATATAACACATGAACTCAATTGCTACAATGTCTGTAGTATAGCAAACAAGAAGCCATTGGGTCTGGAAAAAAAAGATAACATTAGAGAGCTTGTCTTCAAGTATTTTCTGACACCCCTATCTGAATGTGAGCTTACTTTGGTGTGACCGTCAAAGGCCAGATACTTGTCTGTGTTCGTGTAAGCCTGATCAGCATAATATTTAGACAAGTCAGTGTAATTTTTTTCCTTGATTGCTTTAAGTTAAATAAATATTTTTTACAACATTCAGTTTTAGCATTTGTTTTCTTCAATTTATTTTGGTTAATGAACCAAAAGTCGAAGAGTCAACAGTAGTGATCTGGAGATAAGGTCTTTGATTACAAGCTGCACATTCAAAAACTGGGTTGATTTGTGCACTAAAGTTCGCTGTGACACAAGCGTCTTGCCAAAACCACCCAAACATGAACTGAATCATGGAAAAAAATTAAATAATTTTAACAAAAACTGAGAAATATTTTAGCACCAAATAAAAAGTAGACAAGATGTACGGGGAAAAGTCGATATCCAACTTCTTGATCTGGTCGCATCTTTCGAAGTGATTTCCAATTCTAAAGACAAAGTTATCACGATCTCCGGCTGGAATCAAGTTAATTATTCGCATCTTAAAACTTTCAGAAGCCTATTCAACAAAATTCTTGTGTAGTCATGACAAGTTGTTTCAAAGTTTTATTGAAACAGCAGCCATTGTGTCCCTTACATGTTAAGATATACAAATGTTGATTTGATGTTTCAGTTGTGGCATTTTGAGACCGAAAACCTTTGGTTTCAGAAACAATGCAGAACATAGTAAGCTGACTGTGTTGAATAACAATAGCAAAAGTGTGCTTTAATATGTGCTTTTTTCTGTGAAGAAGGTGAAAAATGTGGGAAGGTTTTAACCTGTGCATTGGCCATCTACCTCTGAGCTGTACTGTACTATAGGCTGTGTTGGTATAATGTTGTTTTTTTTGTATCCCCTTAGTTTAACTTTGTTGGAAAGTTGCTTGGTCCAAGAGGTAACACCTTTAAGCGTCTTCAAGCTAGTACTGGCACCAAGATGTCAATTCTGGGCAAAGGTTCTATGAGAGATAAGGAAAAGGTCAGTAGACTAACAGTAGATGTAAGTCTTAATGTTACTTCATTTGATAGGGAAACATTCTTGTACATTCACAGTGGTTTCAACAACTTTACTGTAAGCACTGCCCATGGCGTACTAGGAGGCCTAGCCTGGAAAAGAGGCAGTGAGGCAAAAGCTAAGCACGGGCCTGCTTGTAGGCTAAACAGAGGGCAGTAAGAAGTCTTATGGGCAGCAGTAGACTTCATATAACCAGCCGCTATTGAAACCCCTGCATTCAACAATTACATTGCTTATCATTATGAACTGAAAAACAGATTTCAGACAGATTTTTTGCTAACAACTTGCAGCACCATTCAATGGACTAATTCATGAAATAAACTTGAAATACGAACCAAACAAACCTACTCGTAGCTTTCAAAGGGGTTAAGTTTCTAAAGAAACTGTGGTGCTGCATTGGTGGGGATGTCTAACAGGATAATTTGGTTTTATTAACTGAGTTGATAAAGTAAATTAGCCATGGTAAAGAGTGTCTAAGGTGGAGTTTTAAGTGGTAGCCCTTCGGCAGCAGATCAAAACTGACCACTTAACATTGGTCAAATGCAACTTGATTCTTACAGCCAAAAATAACATGCTAAAATGAATGGACTGGCACAGCACACCTAAGACTTCAAGCATTCGAGAAGTATGCAACTCTCTACATAGCTCTAACCCTGCTATTCACATGAGTGATCTAGAAAACATTTCTCCCTATAATATAAATACAATATCAAGTAGACAGGTAATGAGAATAAAGAAAAGCAACAATTAGGGGATTATTAGTTAAGAATTGTATGGTAGACAGTAAGGTGAATTACTAAAGATATGCTTAGAGTGAAAGGATTAATGATGACTTCCCTCACTGTGGACAAGCACACTATGCAAATGACAGTTACCATCTGATTTACATTGTATATTTTTATGGTGCAAATTAATTTATGTGACACATTTAAGACAAGAAAACACAATGAAGGATTTAATAAAAGTGATAATGTTCAATACAGGAGGAAGAGCTGAGAAGTTCTGGTGATGCAAAATATGCACACCTTGATGAAGATCTCCATGTGCTTATTGAAGTTGAAGCCCCCCCAGGCCAAGCTCATGCCAGATTAGGCCTAGCGATTGAGGAGATCAAGAAATTTTTGGTACCTGTGAGTATGCTTTTAATTTTATTGTTATATTCTTAAGGTAGACTCTTCAATCATTTATACATTTTTAGGAAGCTCTTCATAGGATTTTGATTTACTCATTTCATAAATACAGTCAAACATGTAGTAAGAGGCACAGTGTTAATCAGCCATCCTGTATTTAGCAGTTTGTGGTCGAAGTCCTGAAATTTGTACCCCTTAATTTCTATAATTTCACCTCTATTAAATGGTCACAGTCACCCTTTACTGAGTTCCAATAGCATCTTTTTGTTGTCTTCCACCAGTTCTGGATAGTCACTAAAAGCAGAATTACTCAAATAAATCTGAGAGTAATCTCATACATAAAATTTAATCCCAAATCAATGTTAGTAGCATTATTGAGATAATTTTTGTATAATAAATGGTCTATTATGGCTCAAAATGACATTTTCTATTGTTCCTTTATAAATACCTTTTTATGTGGAACCTAAATTAAGTGGTCAACCTGTATTGTGCAGTCACCAAGCCATTCTCTGTTGGTGACCACTAAATACAAGTTTGACTGTATTTATATGCAAAGCCTGCATTTATATGCAAAGTTGAAGTGAAACTTTTTTGTTCGTTCTGATTCCATGACAGAAAAACATCAAAACATCAATAAATATGCTAAGAGATGCAAAATTACAATTGGTTCTGTATGCAGAATGGTATACCATAAAAACCCACAGATAAGACACACCTTTTCTCCAAAAATCATCACTAGAAATTATGGGTGTGGCTTATCTGCGGGAACATTTGAAAAAAGTGCTGCAAATGTTGATGCCTATGTCCGTTTTCACGTCCAATCTAATGCCTGGTTACTAAGCTTGGAATGTTCCGCTCACGTTCTTGTTGTAATGCAAAAATCTATGGAAAAACTGTGTTGAATGAAGAAATTCCTGTCAACAAATACCAGAAAAAGATGAATCATATGTCAAAGTTGGTAGAAACGATGTTCATTATATTAAAGTGGTAAACTTGTGGGTAAGACTTTGAAGTATTTTCCATTGCAATGTTAACAGTGAGTTTATGTTTGATGAAGGAGACTTCTCAAGACTTGACTTTGGATTTCTTTCAATTTCTTTCAAAATACTTTTTTCCCAAAATTTGAGCTGCTAAATTCAGGGTGCAGCTTATCTGCAGGTGCAGCTTATTGGCAGGTTTTTACAGTACATTTTTACCAAATGCATAGCTAGGGTACCTCGTGGTAATGGATACTGGTCTTGTCTTGTTGCCCTGTGCACAGCTGTAGCTCTGTGTTACCCTACAATTTTTTTTTACTTTGCCAATTCATTTGTCAATTTACACACAAACAATTGATTTCAGTGGAGGAAGATTACTTCCAGTATGCAGTATGCAGACCTTTTAAATTTAAATCTTGCTGTTGCAGTTTGAAACCTTCAAAACAAATCTAATTTGGACCATTTTTTTGTTACTTTGTAGGAAAATAACGATGAAATCCATCAGGAACAGATGAGAGAAATGGCAATACTTAATGGCATGGAGGAACCGGTTCCTGCTGCTGCTCCAGTTGCAGTTCCTGCACCTGTTCCTAGGGGACGCCCTCACCCCAGAGGAGTTCCACATCACTTACACCACCCAGCTCATCATGGACGAGGAACCCCAGTTCCACGTACAACTGCCATTGCAAGACCTAGAGGACCCGCTGTAGGACACGTGACTGTATCAGCAGCACGCTCTGCTGCTGGACTAGGTCCGTCATCACCAACCGTAGCTCATGCTGCACCAAGAGCAGCCGCAGTCCCAGGGGATCCATATGGAGTAAGTGAACATACAGAAGATTTGTTTTCTCAGAACCTGAAATAAAGTAATAACTAAAATAACTGTAAGAGAAGTAGGATTAACCTTAACTGAAACATTTTCATGGTATTTTAGGCTAAGCCTGTATGTAGTAAACAAAGCAGCAGAAGAAGATTGCATTCTCTTCAGAGGGTAGCAAGATCACAAAAGAATGTGCGATCAGATTGAATGAGGGTGGAATTAGGCAACTCCTGTTTGTCCTTAATCATCACAATCCTGTCATAAAATTTAAAATTAAGTTTAAAAAGGGAAATTAAATGTAGTAAATGCAGTGGTGTGGCACCCTAATTTGTAATATTAACCATGTTAAGCCATGTTAAACCAAAGTAGATCACTTTTGATGAAATGACATTTAAGCTTTTTGGTGTACACCACAGTTTATTCCATGAAAGCCCTTTTAAAAAGTTTTGTTTTGAACTGCACTTAAACTGTTTACCTGAAATACATTTACTTGTGCACTTGAATCTGCTAGGCAGTGCACACACTTCCTGCATCGGTTGGGGTACAACTGCTGACTACTGGAGAACAAGTGATTGTAAGTGCTCATAAGTAAAGGAGCCTCCGTTAAAAAAATGTGATAATTGTTTAAATCAACACAGTTATTACTGTAGTTTCAGTGTGAAATGTAGTGCAATTGTTTGGTTGAGGGGAGTTCTGTTAAGGGCCCTATGGGTACTCCATGGAGTAAAAGTCATCTCATTTCAGTAGCATGGAGCAACTGGACTATTCCCATTTCCCATTGTTTGGGGATGGCAGTCCATTGTTGGATTATCCCTGGAATTTCTTGTTTTCTTGACTTTTTGCTGGTGGTTTGTTATACTTCTGAGTTGATAGAGGCACAGTGAGAGTGTTGTCTGCTTCAAGAGCATAACACTGTGACCCAGCTAAGGCACCAATCCAGTGTCTAGTTAGCCATGGACTAAGCCACTGAGTGGATTTTGATGACTGAAATGTTATCAAAGGTGAAAAATATGATTCACTATTGTGGACTAAAGTCCTTTTCAGGACTTCCCTCACTCATATGATCATACTTCATGATTGACTGGTATAATTAAACTTGCCAATATTTTACATTGTCACTTACAATTCAATGTCTCCGTGAACAATTTCCAGGTACAGTTGTAACTGTACTCTTTCACAATACAGTTCCTTAATTACTGGTGTGACTTATCAATAATATTTTCACCAGATATACACAATAACATAAATCAAGTCTTGTCGCACTTCATATTTAAATGCAATAATCTTAAAGTTAAAGCATCCTCACATAGTAAGCTGTTAAATAAATAAAATAATCATGCAAGAAGGTTAAAAGTAAAATAGTTTGTCTTAATTGCATAAACAGAAGCTTCCACGTCTGAGTGATAAAGTGGTTTTAAATGTATTCATAGTGTTTAATTCTATGAATCACATTCAGTTGCCTTTTTTTCAGGGCTATGAGTCTTATGAGCCAAGCTATGAATTTGAAGCAGCCTACCCGGAACATGGGTGAGCACTTAAGTCATCCTACAGTCTCAAAATCTAATAAATTGTAATGTCAAGGAAAAATTGAATGAAGTTCATGTATGCAGTTACATATTCCTCAAACTTTTAGTGACAGTACATAGCTTTATTGTAAGTTCTATATAAAAATTTCTAAAAATTAAGGTTTGTGTGGAATTATTTGTGGAGCAAAGCACCAGATGGATGGCTGTTTTTAATTGATTTTCCTAGAGGTAATGAAGCAGCAAAGGTTTTTGTTGAGGAAATAGTCATGGAGTATGTCGTGTCCAATTAAATTTGCTAGGAATCTTGTGATGCCCAGAATATCAAAGCCATTTGCCCACCAATGAACCTTTAGCTTAGCTGAAAACATAGGGGTGTGCTCCTTTGAGATTTTGGGTATCACTGATAGCCATGGAGCTCCTTTCAAAGGAACACACAGAACTATTTTCAAAGGGCAATTTTCTCTTTTCAACATTTGTAGGCTGCTGGCATCACAGTATTATTTAAGGAGTTTTGGTAATGAGTATTACAACTTGGTCATTATGGCAAAGGTATTCAAAGGAAAGGGTGGACAATGTCATCCAACTGATAAGAGTTAACAAAACATACTGCACTATCTACTAAATTTAGATTTTCTAATGGGTAGTGCTATCCATTCTTGAAAGAACCTGGGCCAGTTTTTTTGGTCTTTGGGTTAAACATACCTGTACATTATATGAATCAACAGTGAAGCAGTATACTATGAATATGGCCAGCCAGGAGAGGTTTTTGATGCAACTTTTGCAGGTAAGTGCTACATCCTGCTAATTTTTGTTTCCTCTATATCAATTCCTATTTATGGACAATGAGAGACTTTTGAAAACAAGCAAAAACTGGATTTCTGGTCATTAAATCTGATTACCTTAAAAGCCTTATTGTGAAAATTATATGCTGTGAATTAGCAAGTGAAGTTGTAAACAAATAAGATTACTTGTGTGAAGGGTACTTTTCCCCTTTAAAGATGAAAGGAAAATCTAACCATTAAGCATCTTGAGTAGAGATTGATTTGGAATTTGTTTCACTAAACTAGCTCTGTCATAGTGAGATTAAATATTAATTCATATGGGTATTTTTACTTTAACTTATTTAATGAATTATAATGTAAATAAGGACTGTGATTTCTTTAATACAAGATTGCAGGAAAATGTTTCTGTGTGCACAATATGACTATCATTAATATGACATGTCTCTTCTCAGAAGAATATTATTTCCAATAAAAGTTTGTGATGTTTATTTAGTAAGTTAACTTTTACCTACTAAAGAATTTAAAAGGAGAAGAGTTACACTAGTCCACTGAAAAGGAAATTTATTTTGAGTGGCAGTATTCTCAAAGGTTAAAGCAAGGTTGAATTGTCTTTGCTGTAATAGAACTTGTGCCTTAAAGTGTAACTCTGTACTTTATAGGTGATAACTTTCCTTTACTGTTATTTTTAGGTTAATTCCAGTTCCTTAATTAATGTTATAAGGTGTTAATGTTAAACTTACATAAATTCTTATTTTAGCTCCAACAAGAGTTCCTGCAAACTCATCTGCAACTTTCAAGGCTCCACCAGCTCGTACTGTGAAGAAAATTGTTCGTGAAGCAACATACCCTTATTGAAGCAGTTAACAAATTATAATTATTTTCTATAGCTTCTGATTTGAAAAGTGAAGCTTGCTGATAGTGTTTTGATAAATTTCTCAGAAACCATTATGTATGTTCACCACTTTTCTTTTTACAAGGAACTGGTGTTCAGGATTTCACGTTCTTTCAGTGCAGATAGTTTCATAAGTTTGTTGCTAACTGTTGTAAATCATGTTAACTTTTCCCTAAGATTAATAGGATAGAATTTTGTATGGAGCCTTCAGATCACTCAAATGGCCATAAATTTGAAAGCATACAATCAGTATTCCAAACATTAAAAACACTAAAAACAATCCAAAAAAAACCTCTAGCTAAAGACTAACCAAGCAACAATTTTGGTGTAGTTACCCAAAGTTGTCATAATGTTCCAAATTTGTTTATTATTGAAATCTAATCAGAACATGAATGCATTCTAGTAATACTCATGGTAAATTTTCCCCATAAACTTAAAGCTAGAGGCAAACGTATAACTAAATTTTTGTCAGCAACATGCCCCTAAATTTCAGACTTTCAATTTCAGGGATGTATTTGTAATGATTAAATGGTATTAAACATGTGCATTACAGGGATGAGTCTACAAACATCCAAAACTGCAAAGCATTGTTAACCACTTTAAAGGGTTAAATATGATGTGGCTTAATCTTTCTACCATGTATGTTAAATCTAAACAGTTTAATCTATCTGTCATTGATGAACTCAATAAAGTGATAAACGTTGCTAAACAGTTTGTTTTTTTTTTTTTTAGTTTAGTTGTCCATAACAGCCAAAAGTGACTAAATTGACACTTAGAGTATTGTTGTAAGTGTAAAGATCAAAACTTAATTATGAACTTAACAGTGTTCTCACAACTTCTCTTAAACAAAAACAAGAAGCTCATGTCCCTCATCTAAACATTCCCAAAACATATCTAAAGTTCCGCAATAAATACATTTTTGATGTGATGAATTGCTGTAAACTTTTAACTTTCATAATAGAGAAATTTCAATGTGATATAAATAGTTTTGAATATGTGTTTTTGAGAGTTTTATCTTAATTATTATTTTTTTAACATTCAGATGTTTGTATTTTTTTGGTTGTTGTTGTAATTTTGAGATCAGTTTGCTTTCTCTTCTTTTCATCTAACCTCTTCACTGATGCGTGGTTTCTTCCTTAAAGATTTTCTAAAATAATTTAATGTTGGGTTCCTAAATTCTAACCCTGCAGTAGAACATTCATGAATTGACAATGTATCTAATGAAGGCATCCATTTAAATGGAATATTTTTTGATGAAATATCCACACCGAAAAAGTTTGATAACTGTATTTTCACATAAATGATGCTTTTACAGCTATTTTTTTTACATACAGCAAATTGCATATGTTTTGTAACTGCTTTCTATATAATGTGTGTCCACAAAAAATCTGCTTTTGAAGATAGGTTTTCTATTTCATTTTCTTGTATCTATCAATAAAATGTTGGTTTTGTAGTCAACTGAACTGGCTAATGCCTTGTGTTAAACTTTGTCTGTGTACATTTGTTATTTGAAATCATTCTGGGTAGCAATGTTAAAAGTATGTGATTGTTTGAATACTCTTCCTTCCTTCCTTGGGACAGAACATTTTTGTTATGTTTCAACATTTGTTTCTTCATGTAGTTGGATGTTGGTCTGTTTCCATGCAGGTGGTAGTAGAAGCAAGAATTAAACTGTAAAATAAAGACAAACAAGCCAGTCATTTGTTTGATTGACCATGGTCATGTACTTTACATTGACTGTTGTTTTCCAACTTTTCATCAATAACCAGATGTTGTTCATTTGGTATCATGATACCATCAATTTTACCTGGTAAATGATTTTTCTTAAAAGTGTCTAAGCAGAAGACCTTAGTGTTCATCTTTGCTCTTGGAATTCACACCTTAATTCAATCCAAGAGGAGTAAAAACAGTAATCTGTAAGAAACCATTGACTTAATACTTAATTTGTATAGTTTTTATAGCTCCTAATTACCAGGCAAAAAACAAACAAACAAAAATCCATGTAAACGAGCAGCACTACTTAAAAACTTCACAGTAATTCGAAGAAATCAAGATAAATATGGACTCAACAGTAAGCTTTTGAGAATGCAATGATGCTCGAAGAAGACTTCATTGATGCTGGGTAATAATCTGAAAGGTAACTTTCCCATTTTATTATCTTTCTTTTGTGTAATGTAACAAAATAAATTCAGTTTAACTTTTAAGTGAGGATGAATCCTCATTATCTTCAATAGATTATTTTAATTTTCCCATTTTGTCTAGTGACTAGCATCTAATTTCTCCTACTCAGTATCTGCCAAATCACACATTAAGGTCATGAGAATAAAGGAAATGATTACTTTCTAAAGAAGCTCGGGACTGTTAAACAAATCCTCCTTGTCAGTTCCATAGGAAATGTATGGAACGATGTGGAGAATATGCATACTGATTAGAGGGTGTAAAAGATTAAATGCAGTGATGCGTGATGATTTTAATTACTATAAGAGTAAAATCAAACTTAAACCAATTCAGTCAGAGTGACAAATGCAGTTGGCTCTGACAATTTCATGTATCAGCAAATTTGTTTTGTCAGGCATGGAAATTCTAAAGTTAAGCTTCAGTTAATCGTGATGATAGTAAAAATGAGTTGAGAAAATTAAATCGGAGTTAAGTGGTGTCATCTAAACAATAACAATCCTTGTTCATGTAGAAATGAACAATTACATTTTGAATTAGTCATTTTACAAGTGGTGGGGATATGAAACTGGTGCCAGTTAACCCACCCCACCCCCCCACCCCCCCTCCTCATTCCTTAAGGGGCCTTCCTGCTACTTCAAGATTTGGATTTGCCACTTGTAGCATTGGAAAATTCGTAAAATTGCCCAATAATGACGTGGTTTTGTTTTGTTTTTTGTTTTTTTTGTTTTGTTTTAGTGAAACGTAGGAAAGTGATTTTTCAGTGATGAATTTGGATCATTTCCAAAGTGATACGAATAAAGCCCCCCCGAAGACGACCTGATAAATGGATCAATTCATGGATTTTTAGGTAAAGATTTTATTCATTTTTGTTACTTAGTGCAGTGAGCTGTATTTGCAATGATTAAAGTACTGAATATGAGACAAGTAATAAAATGATGATGATTTGTAATTATCAGGGGTTTGAATAGAAGTAGGGTAACAGATCTACCCACTTGTGATGAGCTGGCCACCATCTTTTAGACACTGTACTTCACACACACACACATTTAATTCGCTACAAATGGGTTCAATTTAAGCAACAAAAGGCAATATAAACTGGAGTAGACCCTGAAATGCAATTGCTAGAGTCAAATTATTCCAAAGTTTCCCTTGGGAGCCCATACCCCACTTGGAGTAGGAGGCTCTCCAGGCCTTCAATAACTTCATCTGATAAAAGCTTTTTTCAAGCTAAGTCGCAGTTTTATGTCTCCAGACCCAAGTGTCCATCCTCATAACAGTGGCTGACACCTCCAAGAACCTCTTCATACAGGAAAGAGCCTCACCCTTGTGGTTCTACCTGGGGATGACTTCATGGACATTGTTGAAAGTTCTTTAAGGCCAGACTGCCCAGTGCATAAACTACAAAAAGATAAAAATATGGCTGTGGACTTACCATGATGTTAGACTATTCCAACCCTATTTAAGAATGTTGTCAAGGTGACTTACAACATTTGATCTCAATAAAGTACTTTTACAATTTTATTTGTTCTCGTTTATTATCAGCCTGTTGCTGTGTTGCTAACTATTGAGTGAATGAAAATTCCAATTTAAATGTAACCAGCGCAACACCGTTGATTGAAGAAAACTTTTTTCTGACATCCAGTAGGGATCCCGATTAACAATAAGATCCTGAAACAATTTCTTGTTACCTCATTGTATGACTAAGTCACAATAAGAGGTTTAGTATGGAACTAAAAGTCACTCACTCAAACGCTCCCTACTGATCAGTTTTTGCTTTTAACTTGGATTAAGAGCATTAATCCCCTTTTACCCCTACTAGTTCTCTTTCTGTCCTCAGAGGTGTGTTACTATCTTGTATCCTTATGTCTGAGAGGGGGGGGGATTTAGCGTAAGGACTTGAAGGGATCAATACCGTATATCCTCGAATAGGCGCCCAGGCGCTTACTTGAAATTCGGCTAAAAGGAAGGGCGCTCATTGGAAGGAGAGTGCTTAATTAGTAAGCGCGGAAAGAGGACTGACAGAGAAAGAACAGATGGCGCACTTGGGGAACTTGTGAGTTAGAAATAACTGGAAGTGGCTTGATGGAAAGGAAATATTCTCCTTTACTGGTTCTTCAGTAGTTGAAGCTTTAGCTTGTGCCAATATTTTCATGGCAAAATTAGAAAAAAGGTATTAACACCTAGAGCACAATTAAACCGCTACTTTGGAAGAAACGTGTTGACGACGTTTTATGTCTGGAACAGAACCAAAGACGTTTGAAGAGTGTAAGATACCAAGATGAAATTTTGGAGAAATATATCTCTGAATTTGATTTCACTGGGAGAGAAAGGTCACTCATAACTTACGTAAGATTATGCTCGCGATCGATTGTAAACGTTTCCTCGTCTGACGGTCACCGAAATGCCGAGAGGAGCTTCCTGTTTGACTTTACTCCGAAATGCTGTGTATCAGGGCTACTGCGAACTCGCTGCTAGTTTTCCTGCCAAATCCTAAAGCTGTCTTTCGCTCATTCCTTGGTTTGAAAATTGATCTTGTAAGCCATAAATTATGGCGGCTTTCCATTCGTGCAGGAAGACCTCTTGATGGCTTCATTATCGCGAACACGGATTGAAATGACAAAAATACGTAGCAAATAGACGATTGACACTTAATAGAAACAGGTTTTCCTTGTATTCCTACTACTTAAGAAAGTGAGAGAGGAGGGTGGGGGCGTCGGTTTGACTTTATGGCCTAAGGGGTGGGCGCTTTTTTCGGGAGAGAGTGCTTATTAGAGCGTGGGCGCTTATTCGAGGAAATACTAACAGTAATTTAAAATACAGTAAATTGGTTGAACCCGAGGGTAACATGTGATCGTGTAGTTCGACCGTCGTGGTTAGTGTAGTCCTGAGAAGAACTGTTGTGCACTGTGTAGTAGTGACTGGTGTTCGACAACCTGAGCGGATGTCATCACCAGAGTCGAAGGAATAGTTGTTGTCAGTACTAGGTCTGGTTTGTGTAAACTGACTGGTCAGTGTAGCCGTGAGGTAAATGGCGTCTTTCTTGTCAGGCTGAACGCCAAAATTATGGAAGGTGGCATTTCCTTCCTTTCGCTCCATCCTTGATTAAAGCACACTTTTGTAGTCCTCTCAAACGAAGAGGAAATTTGCGTTACAACTGGAAAGAAAAGGGCTTCAAAGTTCTAATAGCGACGATGACAACCGTCCCAACGATAGATAGTTTGATCAGATACATCAGGTCATTTGAACGACGACGAATCGATCAGGCGTAGGAAGAGGGCAGGATACAGAATGAACCTTACCCATGTGAACAAAGGATAAGCCTTCCTCATAATTTATTACATTTATTTACAAAATTTGCAGAACTGATAATTGAAATGCACTTTAACCCTTTCACTCCTACGAGTGACCAAGACAATTTCTCTTTACAATATCAATACAATATCAAGTAGACAAATGATGAGAATAAAGAATAATGTTAATTAGGGGATTATTAGTTGATCCAATATCAAATTCTCCAAACTAACATCGTAAGAACTATATGGCAGACAGTAAGGAGAATACTTAAAGGGTTGAGGGCCTACTATCATTTGAAGCCGTTGCAAGGTAAAATTTAGTTTGCTATAACTCGACGTTTAGAAAGGAAATAGGTACCGTTGATGACATAGGGACACGCCCAATCTCTCGTGACCCAAAACAAAGAAAGTGATCGGATCTCCAAAGGCATACGGATTCACGTAAAGTTTTAAGAGTGTTATTACTCAGCACGTTTATCGGAAGAAAATTAAAGTATGCATTTAAAGCAAACATAAAGACATGAAAAAAGAGGACAGCAAAATGTGTCGTGACTACCTTATCTCGGTGAGTTCTTTCTGGCACAGTCCACCCAACTATTCTCGGCCACCACCGTCTAACCTTCGTCGAAGATCTGATTGGACAAAGGTGTGCCGCTCTATTTTAAACAGTATTAGGATAAAAGGGGCTGGCTGAGGTTTACTTATTGTAGGGAGATTGTAAGATGCCGCTTTGTTACTCAGTATTCAAGGAAAAGCTTGGGGCTGAAATCTGAGGATCTTTCATGCGATTAGGAATAAAGAATAAGATACTTTATTAAACACCATTGCAGCCATAGGCTGAATTACGGGATATTTACAAATACTGATGATAACAAAGAGAAAATAAGAAAAATCATCTACATCTTATAGACATGGCTAAAAATAAAACTGTTCTTCAAACGCTCGGTTTTACATAGGGGGAGAGTGAAATCACTTTTGCGTCTCAGTACATATTTACAACTCTTCCTTTGGGGGAGGAGGCTATGGAGATTGTGGGTGGAGTTACCGACGATCTCGTCAAACAGATCAACAAATTAACAAATTAACAAATTGAACTAAAAATCGGCGGTTGTTTCGTATGAAGTCAGGTAATTCTCTGGTATTGCGCTGCGTATCGTATACTTTCACATCATCGCATACGAATGGCTCAGTAAAAGAAACGCGTGCAATCATTTATAGGACGAGGTGGCCTGCTATCGAAGTCCCTATTCAAGTTTGGTTACGTCTTTTTTTCTTTAACTTTTATTCCTCTCGCCCTCCCTTTTGTTCATATCGTATGTACTCAACTGTAAGCGCCTTCCCCCAATAACCGTCCACCCCTTAGGCCATAATGTTAAACAAGCGCCCCTCTCGAAAAAGCGCCTCTTCCTCTCTCACTTTCTTAAACAGTAGGGATACAACGAAAACCTGTTTCTATTGCCACTTTATTTGCAATTTTTTAAGCTTGAAATATAGCGGAAGAATAAGCACCCCCCTCGATTAAATGTCCTGACATCAATATTAAATTAAACGGGAAGCAAGAATGTCAAGCTTACAATTATTTGTTATTTTTCGAAGACAAGGAAGAAACTGAGCCATATGTAATTTTCATCTTTCAAATGATCGCTCGGTGTTAGTGCCCTCAAGTTGTAAGTTTCTTGCAATCGTCTGAGGAAAACAACAAACAAAAAGGTTAAAGCAGCGCGAATTGCCTGTGGGAGTTTTCAGGAGTGCCTACCGGATGCACGGATCCTACAATGTAAGTGTAGTCCAGTTCATTTCAAAAGTATAACTATTGATTATTACTTAAAGTCAAGCCACCTCCTATCTTTGATGTCATTTGCCTGTTGCCATAGTTCATTCACTGTATTAACGCCGTCAAAGGTAAGACCTGCGATGTGGTTATTTTCGAGCAAATTACCGATCCACTCTGTCCGGTTTTTTGTTTGTTTGTTTTTTATCTATTATAACAGTTACTATTTTTGTCTTCGACCACGCAAATCACACCCGCAAAGTTCATGAGTGCAATGGGTCAGTTTTCGTGCACAGATAGCTTACCGTTTAAAGACAGAACTTTCGTTGTACTCTCGATCTGATCCATCTTGAGAAGTAAATCCAACCGTTCCAAAAGCGATGAACATTGAAGCAGGACGTTTCCCATTAAACAGGGTAAAATGTTTCATTTTTGGATGCTCAAATCCATCATTAGTTATAAAAGTGTGACGTGCCAAACCGAAATACAGTCACTTGGTTTTTTTAGTATCTTTGGCTTCGATCATGCAAATCCCACCCGCTAGAAAATGAAACGTTTACGAAGACAATGAGTCGATTATCACCCAAAGATAGCTTACCGTTTAAAGAAAAAAACATAGTTTGTACTGTGATCGATCTTGTGATGAAAATCAAACCTTTCAAAGGGGTAAGCGCCAAAGCCTGATGTTCCTTAATAATATGTTTCCCAAATATTTTCCCGCCTGGCCCCACCAAATTCAGTCAATATGCATTTTAACATACATCCACTAACTGTTGAAAATTC